AATAGAAAGGCTGTGTGCTGCAGGTCCCCCTATAGTCTTCTGTTTTTACTGTGTTTTCATCGAATATCTTCCCGCAAATCTTCGGTGGTCTTTGCAAAACTGATGATCCACTGGACACCAATATCAACAACCAGCAAAATGGTGTGTGGTTCAGATGTGTGTGGCCGGTTAAGCATATGCATAAACACTCCCAGAAATCACCGTAACGCTCCCTGGCACTTGGCGTCGTTACTTTCTGGCTGGTTGTGGTTTGGCTGCACTGGGCACACTTATGCATATAAAAGGGGGGGAATTAAAGGCCCACCAGCTCCCCTAATCTGCCTCACCGGGCTTTGTTCCCTAACCCCTGCTCCACTTCTGTCCCATGGAGGTTTGAAAAACAAAGCCCACAACTATAATCGTAAACTTGTGGTTTAATGTTGTTTAATGTGCTCGACACTTAGGTGTACAACCCTACTGTGGAAATGAACTTGTTCTTGCATTATTTTGTCAAATTTTGCTACTTTTTAAAATATGCATCTGATCTATTAGTTTCAAATAAAACACTTATCTGTTATAATTGTCCCAAGGATACAAAGAAATGTAAAATTAACCTTTCCCTATTCGTCATAAATGGAATTCATATTAATGAAATCACTTGATGGTTTTCATATTTGCTCTCAGAAAATCTTTCCTTTGACTCATTTTGCCCAAGTAGGTTCTTCTACAGAAAAATCTCTTCATTGCTCCTCTCAGCCCTGAGCTGTCCTGGGGCTTTGGATGCGGCTGGCAGCTGCTTCGTCACAAATCCAGAATATAGTGCATCTCGATACTCCCTTGAGTAAAAGAAAACACAATGTCAGCAACATTTTGTAACTATAAATTCATTTCATTTCTTTCAGACGCACTGCATCAGCAATGGGAGGAACTGTCCTTGTTTCAGTGATCGGTTGGAGGGACTGGGACACTTCTCCACTGATGTGCTCATGGCTTTGGTATGAGGAGGTATTACCCCATACAGAAAATCCCTGATCCCTGCACTTTTTTTTTTCTCTGAACAGTCCATTTAGGATCAAAGTGTAACAATAAAGATTGCTTAAAGTGTTTGCCTTGAGGATGAGGAGGTGGTGGAGGTATTTCAACAGTGGCTGACCACAAAGGAAACACAGTTGAGAGGAATGCCTGGAGCCCACTCCTTGAGGTAATTAGGAGCCTGCTGCCGTCCGCTGACATCCCTCTGCCCCTCCTTTGTCATAAGCTGTGGTGTCAGCCGACTCAACTAGCCAGCACGCGTTAGGCTGATCCTCTAAAACCGCCACAGTGTGCCTCCCTCTGCACACACATGTGCATGATGGGTGGATATTGCTGGGATTTTTTTTCTTTTTTCTGGGATTTCACAGAACCGCAGTGCATACTGTAAGAGGCAGAGAAAACAGATGAGTCAACCATGCAGTCATTCAGCCTTCCTGTCTACATGCCTGTGCTGTTGTTTGTGTGGCTGGGTTTGTTCAGTGTGTGTTACATGCTTTCTTTTCCTCGTCTTTTTTTTAAATTCCTCTCCCACTTTTTTGGCTGCCACTCTTCCCTTTTTAATTCAGACTCCAGTCTTTTTCTCTTCTTGTCTTGCCCAGTCAGTAATACGATGCTGCCATTGGTCTCAGTGGGGCCTAAATAGACTTCAGTGAGAATTTAATAGTGTGACCATGATACATAACAAGTGTCTGTCCAGCAAGGTGACATCAGCAGTGGGTAATCTGCTGGAATCTGTGCCCAGCAGAGGGGCAGAGCTGAGCTGAGGGTTTTTTTCAAAGCTGCAAGCAGCACCAGAGGCAACCAAGAGATATTTAAGCAGAGAAAAAAACCTAAAGGGGACAAAGAATTCAAATTTTAAAGGGATGTATTTAAACAGCTGTAACTTAAGCTGTTCAGTCAAGCTATTGTCAAAGATTACTTTATTGTTAATTGTACAACTTTCCTTGATTTACGTTCTTATTATTTTAGACATGTTTTCAGAAACAACAGAGAAACAAGCATTCGTTGCTCACAATTTCTGCCACATAGCTGTTCGGACACGTGTTTCATTTGCCACATGGCCCCTCTGTCGTTTTTAGAGGTGGAAGAAGGCAGAAAAGAGTAGACAGGAACAGGATGAGGAAATGGCAGAGAGAATACGGATGTTTGAGGGACACAAATAAAGAAACTGAGAGGCTTGCTCACAGGAACTGAAAAGAATAAGAGGGAGCTATAATAGACAGTAATAAAGGGACTCTGGCACCTTGTATCTATGTCCATCAGTAGTAGTAGTAGTAGTAGTAGTAGTGGTAGTAGTAGTAGTAGTAGTAGTAGTAGTAGTAGTAGTAGTAGTAGTAGTAGAAGAGAGACAAATGTTCACCTTGACCCATTTTGTAGCCTCTTTTCTTCTTCTTTCTCTACCCCTCTCATGTTACCTTTATGACCTCTCACTCCTTCTCGTTGCTGTCCCCACCCTCCTCAGGCCCGTGTAAATGAGGCAACACAGACAGTGCACAACACATTGATTCATCTTAGCCTCTTCATGTCATGCAACAATGCCTGTCATCACCTCATCAATCCAGCCCCAGCTGCACAACTGATGGTGGTCTGGCTGTCTTCATTGTGACTTCACAATACGGCTTACCTGAGCTGCTGCCAGAACCATGAGGGCACCCACATGCCTTCCCATTTTAGTTAGCCAGAATACTAGATTGTGTGTTTGAACATCAATAACGTACATTCTGACTAACACACATACACACGCTCATTGATTCCTTGGCATAAAGCGTTCCTGTTGATGAGGTCCGGTAAGAGCATGATTACATTCGCAACTGTTGGCGTGCGCACTTCCATGTCAGTGTGGAAACTACCCATTGTTGCCTCTCAGCGGGGCAGGAAGCACCTTTCACAACAAACTCACCCTCCTTACTCTGATTCAATCCATTGCAACTGTGATGGCATCTGATAAGTGAGGTCATTTTGACAGCCTATCAGTGCGTCAGCTTGTTGTAATTTGATGAAAAGAGTTTAATGAATTCATTAACAAAATCCATTTATTTGTATTTGTCTTGTAGTTGTCGTATTTAGCATGGGATTAGTTGCAGTGTGTAGCTTATTGATAGTGTGATATGATTCGCATTCAAGTGGGCACACCTCAGAGGAAAATAAAAGCATTAATGGACTTGTTTTTTCCCACAGTGTACTGGCTAACAATAAAATGTGGTTCTTTCCATCATTTTTTGTCAACCTATAAGGAAATGCCATCAGAGTTGTGGAAATATCCTCTATGACTCTCACGCATCACTGCAAAACATTCAGAATGCAGAGTTAGGTTAACAAATTGGGCTTTTACTCCTACAGGGAAAACATGCCACCATGCTGGGCCTTATTTTCTGGTTATGTGCCACCAGGCCACCAAGAAAAAGCAGGCAGTTAACTCTCTTCTGTCTCAGTACACTGGATCTTTGATGGCCATCAGCCCTGGGAATAGCAGCTATGTGAGCATGACTGCACGGCACTATTTCGGTGTGCTCTGCTACTTGACATTGAGAGGCCGGGATTAGGTGGCTCCACTACTGTAAACGACCAGCCTCTGTCACACATGCAAGCAGCAATACATAAGAGTGCCATGAAAATACAGACACAAGATGTACTGTTTGCGAAATATACGAGAAATTGGTCTCTTCTTTTCTGCTGAGAAAAGACAACTATCAGCGTTTCTCTTCATGAAAACAAGGGTGTGAAACGCTGAAATACTATTTTTCGATGTCTCAACAGATGGTATGAGGAAAGTTACATTCTGAAATAGACACCACGCCCGTGGTTTGGCTGAACATCTGTCTTTAACTACCATTCCCTTGTGTGAACGTGACTCTCAATCAGATTTGTATTCCATACAGAATATATAGAAAGTACATGGTTCAAATCCACAAATACAGCTGAAATTGATCAATGATCTCATTTTATTCAGAATCTTGTGCTTGAAATGGCCTGGTAAACCCCTTTAACCCACAGAGTCAAGACTGAAGCAGCTCTCTACCACAGTCCCACACACAAACAAACACACACATAGACAGCGCCGGTGTAACAACATCCGTGTAGGAGGACTTCAAAAGATGAGTAACGTTTGGCTGCCTTTTGAATCCAGCTGGGTCTTTTGACTCTCCCTTCTTCCATTAAAACCTGCATGTGGGCATCCATGACAACATCCTTTTTCTCTTTTTGCAGAGCGTGGTCTCTCTGATCCCCGGGCTGTTTCAGATTTCTTGATACAACAGAGGGTGGTGTTTCTTTGAACCTGACATCTGTTGCATGCGTGAGTAATGGTGAGTGGTGCTGTGGCGTGATGCTTCGGGGTTGAAAATCAGGTGTTCTCCCGCTCACCATCCCTTTCTCCGCACGGCTCGGCGCACACACGCAGGCCCACAGCTGCGGGTGAGAGCAGGCTGCGCTGCGTGCCCGGCGTGATTGATCCGTCAGCTAGACTGGTGATGCTGCTGTCAACACCAGACAAATGACGTCTTCATTTTCCATGTGTTCCACAGAGAAGGCCCCCTCTAATAAACATATTCATTTTTGAAGAGATCATTTCCTCGACACCGCCTCCTCAGATCCCCACAGTTACACATTATTAACTGGAAAGATTTTATGGCTTCATATCAGCGTGGTTTGTTCTAAAAATATTTGCCTTTTGACTGCTGAATGTAATTGCGCTGATGGCCAGGATACAGGTGCTCTGCTAACACACCGACAGGAAATAAAAACATTACCTCAACCGCAGCTAATGTCCTGAATGGACCAAAAGAGCAAACTGCTGTTATCATCATCCAGACAAACATTAATGTAAGGCCCTACAGGAAGCCTGTGATGGACAAAAAATAAACTTGACCTTACTCTACCGATGTGTTTCAGTGAAACATCTGGGTCTCATGTTAACGTACCATAGGCACGACCAGGTGTTCAGTTATCCCAAGAGATAAAATGATGCAGAAACTACAAGAGCCAACAGTTCAGATTATCTATTTATTTTGCTCTAAAAAATCACAAATAAAAATCACTTCAAGACTGCAGAGCAGGGTTTGAAAGGGTTGAACACTTGAATTCACATTTTCTTTCATGACAGCTTGACAGTTTCTCCTCTGGTAAGACATAATTTAACCTTTTCACACCCATTTCTCGCTACAGTGCATTCCATATTCGATGCCCTTTAAAGTTTCCTTGAAATACAGATGCCGAGAGCGATTGTGTTGCCTTTAATCAGTACACAGTCAGTGCAGAGAACCGTAATGACCTATGTTAGTCCGTCTTTATAAAACTGAAGCGAACATGAGGCCTTTTGTGGCCTTAACATCCCCGAGCCAGCAGGACAAAGTTGGATGGGGGAACATGAAAGAGAGGGCTCGGCCCTTCCTCTTTACCAACTCTAATGTGGCTTTTGAGCATAAATCCTGAACCCACAACTACTGGTTGGACGAGGCAGCCTCCAGATTTTTCTCTAAAGCACTGTTCATTCTCTTTTTTACACCATTAGAAGGTCAAACAAACAAAAAAAATCAAATCTTATCAATGATCAATTTATTAATCACAGTGCTATTGATCATTTACTGAGTGCCAGAATTAAAGTCAAAAGACATCAAATACTTTTTCATTTTCATGAAATACTAGATAAGTGAAGAAGTATCTGCATTTTATTTCTGTTTCATAAATAAATATTGTCCAATAAGAAATATAAAAAGAAATGTAACATTAATATTTTAAAAATGGATGAAGGTGGTTAAAAATCTTCATAAATACAGTAAGCTTAAATAAATAAATAAAACTTATAAATATAATGTATTCTGTACACGCACACACAAAAGTTGATGGCCTTGTGTGGGAAAATATAAAACTGCTGTCTCTTGAGAAAAAAACAAAACATTCTGATTGAGCTCTCGTTGCTGTTAAAAATTTCAGTTCCATTTGAAACTTTTCTTTTCATACAGTCAAGAAGCAGCACAGGGTCCAAACACTGCTCCTCCTTTTTGTTCCTTCGTGCTGATCACATCTCCAGTCCATCTTCTGAACCTCTTAGTATTCCAGCTTCAGACGGGCCGTGTTCTTCTGGGGCCATCAGGAATACGTTCAGCTGTCCTCTGTCCATCTGAGAAATCTGCCAGAACATCGGGCGTTTGCCCTCTGCTCCCTTCTCCGCGCACGTTCCTGTTTCCTCCGGGACCTCCTGTTGCAGTTCGCTTTTGTGTTCCAAGCTTGAGGTAGAATTTCTGCATCTTTGCCTGAAGTGATACGAGAGGGAAGCTGTGAGCAGATCTAATCTTTATCAGGGAAAAGGCAGAGTTTGGAGAGTGGAGAACGCGTCTGTGGTACGCACCCTGCTGCGTCTCCTCAGTGGTCGGATGACAACCCTAGTTTGACTTTCTCCTCGCTCTCTACATCATACGCTCCCCGCTTGTGAAACCTGAAATAAACAAGAGCCAACAAGCCTGGTTAATAAAGAAAAACCCACACACATACTTTTTTGTGTATGTCATGAGTAACCATGGGGTTAACTCACCTAAGCATTAGTAAAAGACCGATAATGGTGAGGCAGACGGATGACAGCACCACGGCCACTACGGCCAGGGCCGTTGTCCGGTTGTAGCCCCCGGGAGAGTGGGAAGGCAGCGTGAAAAACTCACACCTTTCCCCAGAGTAATTTAGGTCGCACCTGCAGAGAAGGCAGCAAAGGATTCTGGGTTAGTGCTTGCGCGGCTTTCGGTGCTGGAAGCGTGCGTGTCCACGCGGGAGCGGCCGTACTCACACACAGGACGGCTGGCGGATGCTCCTCAGGTACTGGCAGGTGCCGTGAATGCAGAAATCCTTGAACTTCTTCAGGCAGGGGTTTCTCTTCTTTCCCTTGCCTTTCCCCCTCTTTCTTCCCTTTCCTCTAACTCTCTTTGGCTGAGTGTTGTCTTCCTCCAGGATGTTGGACGGTTCTTTGGGTTTGCTTGACATGGCGACTAAACCGGAGAAAAGGGAAGACACGAGATATTAGGATTAGTTCCGCTCCATCCTTTGAATATGAGAATGTTGCGACAAAGCCAAAGAAAAAGCAGACGCCTTACCTCGTGGCAGTTCCAGTTCATAGTCCCCGGATATGCCATCTTCATACTCATCATCAGAGTAATATTCATCATCATACTCGTCCTCTTCTTTGTCTTCCTGATCATACTCTGAGACTGTGTCGGCCACGTGCCCGCTGTCCTCCTCAACCCTCCGGTCTCTGGTTGTGTCCAGCAGGTTGATCACAGACGTGTGCCTGTCCTTCTCATACCTGTCCACGGAAGCACCTGTGGCCAGTCTGGACACCACTGGAGGAGAAAAACAGAGCATTGGAAATATATCATCTTGCTTCCACGGAGTTGTAAAATATACATATATAAAAGGCCAACAATGAAAATGGAGGCAAAAGGTAGTCCGCCAACACACAGCTCGCACAGGTTAGTGAGCCAAGGTGGGTGGACCTCTGCAGACAAGTCCAAACATGTTCCTAACCAGTGCGCTCTTGATGGCATTTTTATACTAGAGATGAGGCAGAGGCTGGAACTATGTGTGTTCTGCTCCAGGGCACAACAGCAGATAGAACCCGGTAGAGAGATCTCCACCGGAGGAGACCGCTCATATTCTCTGGCTTTACAAGATTAATGTGTAGGTGAAGGAAGGAGCGGGCAAACACTCGTTCTGCCTCAGACGCACGCACAAATGCATGGACAGACACTTAGCTAATGTTAGGCAAGAATATAAGTTAAAAATAAATGTATCCAGTTACATAAAGCATGTTCTAAAATAGAGATATGACCCCGATAGCTCCCGAGTAGCCTGACATGACGAAAAGGGGGGCTGCCTTAAAGTTTGGAAGTTGACATGTTAGGGCTCGGGCGGTGTTTGAGAGGATCTTAATTGTATTTTTTAGAAAGAAGAGTGTCAGGCAAGCAGAAACACACAGAAAATAAGACAAATGATTTCGGATCCAACTTGACATTGTTGTAGGACAGTGGCAGGTCCACCGGGGCGCATTTGACTTACCCAAGGCGTGGACCAGCAGGAGCGCGAAGGGGAAAATCCTCATGATGGCAAACACTTGAAGCAAGTTTGGAAAATCAGTTGTATTCCTTTTTCCTGAGCCGAGTCAGAAATATTCCGTGTTTTTCCTCCTTTTTTTTTGTCTTTTCTTAGAATTTTCTTTTTACGGACTTATTCCACCGGTTGGGGTCCCCTCGGTGCTGCTGGGCAGACGGTCGGTGTGTCCGCTCCCGGCCGGCTCGCAGCGGTATTTATGGGGCTCCTGCTGACCCCGCCTTCACAGCCACTCACGGTTCCTCAGTGTGTGTGTGTGTGTGTGTGTGTGTGTGTGTGTGAGGACGCAAACGTGAAGAAGCTACACAGTAAAAACTACACTCAACCAAATAAGTATATAGAAAAGAAAGCACACTAAATCGACGATCTTTTCTTAGTGTGTAGATATGCAGCGTACGGGGGTAGATGGTCACCGATGTGATATCATTGGCCATTTATTATACAGATGCAATAGTTTCCGTGGGAGCGGAGGGAAATGTGCATTTTAGTTGGATAATCATGGAGGTCATCCACTACTTGAACTCCTCATTTTCAAATTTGATTCCCCCCCCCACAGTTCTGTCAACTCTGCGACCCAGGCCAGGCAGCGCTGCCTGTAGCATCAGTCAACTTCAGGGAAAACGGAGGTGTAACAGCCAAATGATAGAAAAGACGAATATTAAAGTGACCGTGAAGGAATGAAACGGAAAAAGTGCGGGGATTGAAATACAGTGAGCAAAACGCGTCCACGATGAGCATCAGATAAACAGAAATATTGGCTGATGGCTGTGCGCAGATATTCAAATGTTAAAAACTAGCTATCAATAATACACTAATGTGCTGTGTGTTGTGATGAGGGAACAAGCGGCTGTGTGCTGGACTAATTGTCGTTTCCCGTCAATAATGCAAGAACGTTGTAAGAGTATCTGCACCCAGATGAAACAAGCTGCTGGCGCCACCACTCGGTAAAGATATGAACTACATCACAGTGTTTCCATATTTCAACCATAAATAGGTTTGGATTTAAATTGAATCTTTACAGGTTCTGCAGTGCTGTACAAAGATTATGTCAAATTCAATTTGCCAACACTTTTTAAGTTGTGTGTGGACATGATAATAAACGGCCAGAAATTATCTATGTTTATGTAGACTATATAAACGTTTTTAACAAATGTGTTGTGTATGAGGAGTATTTTACGCCTTGGTCAAACGGGAGTTTGATTTTGTTGTGATTAATTCTCAACCAATTAATTATGCTTGATTTTAAAACCTGATGTCACCGTTTGACGGGACTTGGTGTTTTGTAAACTGGAGTTTGCTGTTTTTTTTACCCCGTAGTGAAGCGCTAATGTTTTGCTACGTTGACTAGCCGAGCGCCATTTAATCCGTAGAAGAAGAGTAAAGTTCTTAAAGAGCGCGTGATTGAGCTGACCGGATCACGTGACCTCAGGGAGGAAACAAGGGAGGGGGCTTAAACATGGCCGACGAGACAGAGGGTGTAAACACAGCTGTTGACGAGGACCCAGAAAAACAACAGGTACATGGGCTCGAAGTTTCAGGTGCGGCGACTCGCGGTGAGTCTGAGGGAGCCGACGGACCGGACTCGGCCGAGAAGTCGAGTTCTGCCGCGGCAGAGAACAGCTGGTCTGCTCCCATCTTTTCTCTGGCTCGGAGGGCCACGGAGACTATTAGCAGTGGGATGAGCTACGCTGCTGCCCCTAGGAAGCCCTCACAGGGGTCCGCTGTCAGCTCTCCAACCGAGGCGGAGCCGGGAGATGATCTCAGCAGCGCCACACAGAAGCCTCCCGGTAGGCGAGGAGTTCTTTCTGATATTTCAGGGCCAAACAACTTGATAGTTAACTTGTGTAATTGTACATCCTAAAAGAGTTACTTCCTATTACTGACTGTCATCTGACTCAATGACATGGAGTTTGTCACAGCTGTTTGAACCGTAAATTCTTAATTTCATGGACGTGGTCTCTTTGAGATTAAGCCTCCCAAAGCCTGTAGAAGTTTCACTGATGACAAGTCAGAGAGAATTTTTTTTTCCATCCTGTCTTTGCAGTTCTGGCCCCCAAGGACCACATGGCAATAGAGAGATCCAACCTGCTTAGCATGATGAAGCTGAGCATCAAAGTCTTAATTCAGTCCTCCTTGAGTCTCGGAAGGACTCTGGACTCAGACTACCCTCCTCTGCTACAGTTTTTTGTTGTCCTCGAACACTGCCTCAAACATGGGCTGAAAGGTGAGCCGTCGAACGAGCTGCCTGCCTGCTGATGTGATGTCACAGTTAGAGATGAGAGACCTCTGCATTATGCCACTTTGCAGCAAAGAAGTCGTTCATTGGTCAGAACAAGTCCATATGGGGGCCTCTGGAGTTGGTCGAGAAGTTGTGTCCAGAGTCCGTCAATATTGCCACTAGTGCCAGAGACCTGCCGGGCATCAAGTATGTCCTCGGAAATCAAATCCCAATAATGCGTCTGAGCAAAGCACACAGAATCTCCATGTTTTTTTTTTGTTGTCCAGGACTGGCTTAGGGAGAGCGCGGGCATGGCTGCACTTGGCACTCATGCAGAAAAAAGTGGCAGACTACATGAAAGCCCTTCTGGACCACAAAGACCTCCTGAGGTTGGTTTGAGTTGTCTGTCGGATGAATTTAATCTGCCGAACACTGTAAATGTTTCAGTTAATTAATTTGTTTCCCATCTAACCTCCCCAGTGAGTTTTATGACTCTGGAGCTTTGATGATGGAGGAGGAAGGAGCGGTGATGGGGGGTCTGCTGGTGGGCCTCAACGTGATCGACGCTAACCTCTGTATTAAAGGCGAGGATCTGGATTCTCAGGTTGGTGCTGGGAAGCCTGCCTGGGCTCCACCTTCTCTGAGCAACAAGTTGATCTGTTTCTGTTTCACATGAAGGTGGGAGTCATAGACTTTTCCCTTTACCTTAAAGACCCAGCCAACAGTGAGACCCCAAAAGAGTAAGTGCATGCTGTCCGATTTCATCTTCATATTTTTCCCGATGTCCTCCATTGTTCTTTGTTATTGATGTTCAAACCATGTTTGTGTGGTAATTCCCACCAGAACAGGCCAGACTGACATCATCCACTGACTGATTTAACTCTTTCCTTTTAGTGATGCCAAGATGACAGCCATTTTGGATCAAAAGCACTACATCGAGGAGCTAAATCGTCACCTAAGCGGCACCGTCACTGACCTCCAGGCTAAAATGGACTCTTTGGAGAAGACCAACAGCAAACTTGTAGAGGAGGTCAGGCATGCTTTCTATGCACAGCTGTGTGACTTAGCTGATTTATCTTTAGTCATTTTAGATCTTGATTTAAACACATATACCTCCTCTCTCAGCTGACTGCAGCTACAGACCGAATCAACTCCCTGCAAGAAGAGCATGACCAGCTGAAAAAAGAGAACGAGACAATCTTACAGTCCAGCCAGAAAAAGGAAGAGGTTGGACAGCATCTGTAATTCAGAGCCGTGGGAATACTCCAGACACAAAACACAATGTAATCTGCATCCGTTTCCAGGCTGCTCTCCAGGACAGCCAGGTGGAGCTGGAGACGTACAAACAGACCCGCCAAGGCCTGGATGAGATGTACAACGTGGTGTGGACGCAGTACAAGGAGGAAAAGCGGATTCGCCAAGTTGGGTAGCGACAGGCAGTAGAGTGCTGTGGCACTACAGCGGGTCAACGGAATATGTTTTGTGCTTAGCTCTTGTGTCTGTGTTGGATGATGTCAGGAACTAGAGCGTGAACTGGAGCTCCAGGTGGGCTTGAAGCAGGAGATGGAAGTGGCCATGAAGCTACTGGAGAAGGACACCCACGACAAACAGGACACGTTAGCCGCCCTACGGCTGCAGCTCGATCAAGTCAAGACTCTTAACCTTCAAATGTTCCACAAAGCTCAGGTAGACACATGTTTTGGTTTTAGTTTTTTTATCAATGCAACACCCCCCCCACACACACACACACACACACACACACACACACACAAGCATTAACTAAACATTCATACGCATGATTTGGCGTATTAGGAGTCGGAACGACAAGCAGAAAAGAAGCAGGCAGAGGCAGTGCAGCTGGAGCAGAGGATGAATGAAATGGAGAGAGTCATGATGGACCTGGAGCAGAGGTATGTGTCTGTTTAGTGTTGTAATCCAAAGAGATCGTCTGTTAGTGTGTTTGTATGAAATGTGCCAACTCCACTTTTCAGACTGCAAAACTCAGAGCGAGAGCGCAAATGCAGCGACCAATCTGACCAAGACCTGAAGGTGGAGCTGGAAGGAAAAGTGGATGCTTTACAGAAACAACTCACAGACCTGGATACTCTAAGGTAAAGGTGCATTCTGTGGGAAAACTGGTGTAAGATGGAGTTTGTTATAATAATTCTGACGACAGCGTTATCTTGAATGGATTCAACATGTTTTGCATAAAAGACTGATGACAAATTATTGTCAGGTCTTTGAATGGGAACCTTAGAAATGAAGTTTATATCATCTACAGAGATTATATCTGTAGATATGCAACCCAGTATGGAGAGAGTTGAGTCTCTGATGCAGTTTTAATGCGATTAAGGGTCCTGAACACACAGCTCTGGACCCGTACTGGTGTGAAATCACGTCTGTTCCCAACACAGGCTGGGTTTGGAAAACGAGCTGCGGACTGAGAGGGAACAGAGACAGAACCTGCAGAAAGCTCTCCAACGAGAGCAAGACAACAGCACTGAGCTCCGCACTCAGCTGCAGCAGCTCCAGGGCCTAAACACGGTCAGTGGAACACACACCCCGGGCAACGGTTTACACTAGGCATGGCAAGATTCACCGATGCGTATCGGAACATCGGAACGACCTGTGCGATACGGTTGCATCGATTTGCAAACGTCTGCATCGGTAAAAACCGCACATAAACTCGAGATGCATCGTATAAAACTACCTGCATCGATACAAACCGATTATTATCTTCTATTATTATAACTTTTTAGAAACGTGTCTTTGAGTTTTAGTTGCGTTTCTTTCCATCCCTGTTTCCATTCAGAGAGACAATCACTCTCTAAGTTTCACTTCCTTTGTTTCAAAATAAAAGGCACAGTTAGCTTGCGTGCCATAACTTGAACTATGTAGTCCATGGTGTACTTTTCTTCTGCATTGCATCGCATCGTATCGTATCGTATCGCACTGTATCGCAGCATTTTAAATTTAAATCGTTCTGTATCGCACCGGATCGCAGGAGGTTGGAGAATCGTATCGAGTCTTATCACTAGAAATTCCATGAATCGTGAATGTATCGAATCGTTGGCTGTGTATCGAGATGTGTATCGTATCGCCTTGGTGGTGAAGATTCCCATCCCTAGTTTACACAGATTAAGCTCACTTTCAGAAATGAATGGAATACATGCACACATCAGCTCCCAAATTGCTGGTTGGTTTTATTGAACTAATTTTCAATGATTGGACCTAGAAACATTTATACAACATGAGTAAACAGAATTAAAACATGAAATATCATTAAAAAAACAAAAGAAAAAACATTTCAATGTCATGTGACAAGTTTTACCTAAACATATGCATTCACATGCAGATGTATTGCCAGCGTGGTTAAGAGTCCAGTTCTTTTGAAAATATTTACAACTAAGGTGGAGGTGAAGCAACTTAATATGCAGTTGATTCATTCATTGACTCTGTAAGATGAGGAAAATCAAAATAATCAGTAAGTGGTCCTGAAATTGAGGTCTCAATCATTTTTAAGGGTCATGGTGAATGTGATTTGTATCTAGTTTTGGCATTTCCTCTAAGTGGGTGGGGTAAAACCTCCTTAACTTGTGCCTTAGTGTCTGATGTGCCTCTTTGCTGGTGCAGGAGCTGCAGGATTTGAAGCAGGAGAAACAGCAGCTGCAGCAGAGATGTGAGCAGCAGGAGCAGGCTCTGCAGGAGATGGGCCTGCATCTCAGCCAGTCAGTATGCTTTCTTCTGTTTTTTTTGTTATTTATTTTATGCGACAGGATTTGACCGATATCGTCTTTTATTTTTATCGAAGGTCAAAACTCAAGATGGAGGACTTTAAGGAGGTCAACAAGGCCCTTAAGGTGGAGTTTGTGGGAGTAGTTTGTTGTTCTGGTGCTCGACATGGGGCCTGACTTATGCTCTTATTCAGGGACACGCCTGGCTGAAGGATGATGAGGCCACTCACTGCAAGCAATGCCAGAAGGAGTTCTCCATCTCACGCAGAAAGGTTTGTTCACACAACGTTTAAGGCCGTCATGCACCATCACACAAGAGTCTGAGTTGAGCTCTCTGCCCACAGCACCACTGCAGGAACTGCGGAGACATCTACTGCAACGGCTGCTCCAGCAACGAGCTGGCCTTACCGTCGTATCCTCGGCCCGTCAGAGTCTGCGACATGTGCCACTCCCTCTTACTACAGAGAAGCTCCTCCACGGGCTCCTGACAACACTACTTAAGTTTCGAGGTTTCCACACAAGCTCTCCGGACACCACACAAACCCGACTAATATCACTAAGTAGCCAAGTCAAATAAGGAAAATCATCACATCTGGTTTGGTGTTCCAGCGCTCTAACCTGAGATTCAGGTTCATTGGTTCTTGACTAAATGGGAACATTCTCTAACATTCAACAAGAAATGTATCTTATAACAGAAAAGGCCTGACTTTGCATAAAAGGTGAAAACATTTAGGCGTCAGTATTTTCTTGTTCACTAACATCGGTTCCTAAGCTGACTCCTAATGTTTAAAATTATGCTGTCCCCCCCTTAAGACAATTTATATTCCAGCTTTTGCTGAGAATCTTTTGGTAGTTTATTTAGAACACACAAACATTTTATAAAAAGTTTTTTAATTGACAGTTCTAACCCCTGGTGGACTTTGTGTACTGGGTAAAACTATTTTAGACACTTATTTTGAGAGTTTGTGAATCATGTCAACTGCTTCAAAGCCATTTTCCCTGTTTGGAAATGGTGAGAATGTTTATTTTTAGCTTGATGTTTTGTAAATGAATAAAACCTCCTGTTTTACCAATGCTTGCTCCAAATAGATATTCCAGACTAGTTTATTCACTTTTTGCACAGAAAATACAAATAGCATTTGAAGCAGTAGAAACCTCCATGGCAGCAGATTTGAAATTCGTTTGTCCTCAACTCAGCCCTCATCATAACACAGAAAACACTGCTCTCAATGGTCAAAACTGTAGAAAACAAAACACTCAGACCATGTGAAGTCTCAAATTCAGAGAAACATTGTAAGTGAGAAGTAAAAAAAACAAAACAGAAAAACTCTGAAAACATCAGGGGATACCAGACATCTGCAGCTTTTCTGCTCATGCACTCAGACTTTGAACTTGTGTTAAATCCCAAAGCACAGAAAATGTTAACTTTGAGAAACATCTAAGATGACGATAACACAAAACGGCACGCTTCTTGGAAATTTAAAGCATGGTTTTGTAATGTGTCGTATCAGTGAGGAATGGGAAAGAGACTTCAAACATTTCTTGAGACAACGGATGAGATCACCTTTCCCTGAAGTTCATAACCCCAGGACAACAAAGAAAAAGACCCTCACCAGACTATCCTATGTTTTACAAGGTGAGACATTTCCAGTCCTTCCAGCAAAATGCTGAGTTAAAAAAAACATCAAATTTTGGGAAGAGGGGGAAAAAAAACAAACAGAAAAAATTAAAAAACTACATTCCCCATCCCCCACCAAGTCCATTCATTGAGCCTCTGCTTCCTCCTCCTCCACCGCCATAGTAACTGCTTCCCATTCCACCCTGGTTACCTAACAAGAGAGAGAGAAAACACACACTATAGGACCGAGGAGTTCGCCTGCATCATTGTGGTCAGGTCTGAGGGGTTCAAGAGCAAAAAAAAAACAGGAAGTGTAATGAATCATCGTTAACACACTTATACTGGTGGATGCTGAAAACGGAGCAGACACTCACTATAGTCACCGTATCCACCCATGTTTCCTTGGCTGCTGTAGCCACCGGAGTACCCTGAGCTCAGCTGACCTCCACTGTAAGATGACTGGTTCCCTGTGGATGAAAATCAGGTTTGTTTTAAGATGAATTTAACTTAATACAATGACCTCACTGTGTTTGTATCAAAACACACACAAGAAGGCACACCCAAATGAAAAGGATTAACTTCTGAACAGCTCTAACTGCATGGATGCATGAGGTCTTGCCAGAGAAAAAACTATAGTTCTATTGAAACTGCTTTAAATCGGTTTAAAAAGGCCCCAAGATCATTGTGTGCGTACAATAGCTGAAAAAAAGCCATTAGAAAGCACATGACATACCAATTCAAAAGTTTTAAAAAGAAAAAGTTTCAATCTCGTGTGCAAATTTTTGTCTGGCACCCGCCGGTCAGCCGTGGACTTACCCATGCCCCCCATCATCTGGCCACCATAGGCTCCATTACTGCCACCTGCTGTTGAGTTTAAGAACAGCTCCACATAGCGGTGCTCTGAAACACACACAAATCAGAGTGAACAAAGCTGCTTTGAAGAGCCACGCTGTTTGGTGCTTAACAGGCTGGCATTAAACCTACGCATGTTGGCTTTGTCTTTGGACATGGCTGCCACGGCATCTTCATGTGTTGCAAACTCCACATCTGCCTCGCCAGTGACACGTCCATCTGGGCCGATCTCAATATGGACCCGCACAGGATTCAGCGGAGAGAAGAACTTCAAATGAAAAAATGTTAACAATTAAAAAACAGGACAAATTAAACGCAATTTCTGAAGAGCACGTCCGGCATAAAAGCCTTCACTATTAGCAGCGGGCTGAGCGTGTGTGATCCCTTACGTTGTAGATGTCCGTCTCGGTGGCTCGGTACGGAAGGCCCCTCATGTGGACACAGTGGCCTGTTGTACTCTGGAAGGAAGAGCCAGCGTCGCCATAGCGTCCGTCCGACACACCTGCATTTACAGCGAGATTAACACTATGTCTTACTGGGACGTTACATCCTAATCTCATTAGATCTGTTGTGCAATGTTAGCATGAAAGCACAGGGGCTGATTTAAAACAACTGCTAAGCTTAAAACCCTCTAATGCCACTTTCCGCCACTCGCCTGCCCACTCCCACTCACCTCCTCCATAGCCCCCTCGGCGCATTCTGTCATAGGATCCCCCTCTGCCCATCATGTTGTAGCCGCGACCACCAGAGGGCCGGTCGTAGGGGCCAGGTCTCTGCATGCCCATAGGCTTCCTCTGGGGTTCGTAATGAGTCCGCACCTCAGCGCGACTACTCTTGAAGATCTCAATGTACCTAAGAGCATAGAGATGACCCGGTTAGGCCATGAAGAGTGGATGGAAACTGCATTTGCTTAAAACTGGGCTATGCAGATGCTGTCATGGTGTAGTCGAAAATATCTGAATACTCTATATTTGTAAAGATAAAATCAAAGAACAACTTATTTAACTACTTAGTTGGAAAAAGAACAAGGAATCGTCCAACTTATCAAGGGCCTTGGTAACTTTGAACTTTTCTTATGGTTACCTGAGGCAGGTAGAGATCTTTGTCCTTGCCATGACAGCCAGTTTCCTTGTGTTAGAGGGTCAGAGAGAGCTCCAGCCCTATTGCAACCCACTCTTAAGCATTACCTGTGGCAGTGGGCTCCAGATCCTTGTGTACAGTGGTCCTCTGATTTTACCACCAGGGAGACTCCTTACCATTTATCAACCTGGACTCATCCTTAGTGCTAAGACACCATTGGATTTGATTTGTTGAGAACTCCAATTCAGGACACGATGGTGCCTGAGCACTAATGTTCCCACTGAATATTGTGAATGTTTCGAAATACTCGATCGTTTGGTGATTACATGTGTGGAATATATAGACAGATATTCTAAATGTTGTGTCCGTTTTGTGTTTGGTTCAAATGTTTAAAGGTGCACACCATAAGAAAAGCAACTTATCCAGCCAACCAACCAACCATCCCCACCTGTGCCCTATTCTTTCCTTGTGTTTCTTTAGAGCCTTTTCAGCTATATCCTGTGAAGCAAACTGCACGAAGGCCTCCCCCGTACTCCTCCCCTGGATGTCCACCGGCAATGTTATCCCATTTGGCACGATTTCCAACCCTTCAACCCAAGGACAGATAACCCCAGCAGGGGACATATTAAATCACATGCCCAATCACAGAGAGAACTTTCTCTAAAGAGAGTTAGAAAACTTATGGAAAACTATACATCACACATAAACCAGTTTAGTTAACTGGCCATTTAGAGGACTTACATTTACTGTACTCTGGGGATAAAGCAGAAATGACAGGAAAGAGGGAGAATATGGAAAAGGGCATTGTGTGGGACACCAGGCTTGTATTGGAGTGTTGATGAAGAGAGAACAAGATTTGGAAGGGTGACATGAGTAAAATTACGGTTTGCCCGGAAGCCAATATCTTAAGATCTTGCATTAACGACATGAAAGACCATGGTATCTAAAAGACGGGGTTGTGAGGAAATTTAATAAAAAGAAATGAAACTGGCGTACGAGAGAGTTTATATCAGATATGAAAGGACCCTTTCCATCCAAGGTATAAATTAAGTAGTGCTTAGTGATAGCTAATACATTTAACACCACATCCAAAGACCCAGTTTGAGGGGGAAAATAAATAATGTGAGCTCAAGATGGATACGATGTGTAAAGTTGGGGAAAGGGGTATTTTACAAGCAGACTCCGGCCTTTAGACAAACCACTAAATTTGAGTTGTAATTCCAAAAACCTTCCTTTTCTGGCATCATTTCCTCACGAATTAACAATCCCCCCCAAAAGTAAAATTAATAATAAGTATTTTTATACTTAGAAAATAAAGAACAGCGGTCATCCTCTCTCACAAACTTTGAAAAAATTAGAGAACTAATCAGCGCTCGTACGAGAAGTGGGACAAGTAGAGATGGAGAAAAAAAAGTTTAAATAATCAACCTTAAGTTGATTCAAAGTAAGTCACTGATAAGACAGTTGTTACCTGAAAAAAACTGCACAATCTCCTCCTTGCTGCACCCGAAGGGAAGGCCTCGGAGCCGCACCAGCCCATCTCCTGCTGTCTCCGGGCTGTTTGGGCCTGTGTGCTTCATTACCCAGTCCATCTCAACATTGTTGGATTTAAAGACTGCAGTGAGGGAAACAAAAACTATCAGAGCCTGAAGCAAAAACAACTGCCGGACTTGTCCCTGGCCAGCTCTTGTACCCACCTTCCACGTATCTGTGACCCATGGTTTCTCTGTCCTTTTTCACTGCGATCTTCAGGCACTCCTCCGTCTCCATTTCCACAAATGCCTCACCGCTGGGACGCCCTTCTCTTGTGTAGGTGAAGTGGATGGCGGTGCCGCTGTTCATAATTTTACACCCTGCAAAATGTTCTATTCATTTTAAATTCCACAGTTGCATTTTCTGCTGATTATTTTACATTTGGAATATTTGGTGATCCACCAGTACACACCTGCGAAAAACCTCTGTACTTCGTCCACTGAGCAGGACCATGGGAGACCCCTGATTCGTACAACGTATCCCTCTTCAGCCATGATAGGTCACAGTCCCTAGGGAATTCAGTGAGATCACTTAGTATATACACCACATGTAACTATGCTAATTCCTAAACATATGCATTGTGAGGAAATCCATTGTGTGCCCTGAGTTTTCCAAAGTATTTTCCCGCCGGGCAACATTAGCATATTTTACAGTATATTTTCAAGAATCTCGTGTTCATAATATATACCGTGGTTATAAATCTTTTTTTTCAAAGATTTTGTGGACTTATCTAATGAAGTCCGGCTGAGTGGCAGCGCCATCTTGAGTCCATTTATTAGTGCCAAATCGAATAGATAAGACATAATTCTTATCGTGGCGCTTTTCGACCAAAAGTTGTTCTGGTAGTTTCATTAAAGCTCGAAAGGGAAAGTCATAATTACTGTATTTACGTTTCCCACAAACTTTATACATCCGATTATCAAATCGTCATATAGTTACCGCGCAAGCGGCACAAAATATACGGCAAACCACAGTCATTCGACAATTCCTGTGAAAGTAATGCGTTTTAGTTCATGCTACTCAATTCGTAGAGCGAATACTTTGTTGGAGAGGTTAGAATAAATTTAGTTAGTTTAACCAAGGCGTGTGGCCTACTGCACACGCTCTACCGCACCCGGATCCAAGAACAAAAGCGGCCTTTTCAGCCTTCGCCATGTTCTTAGCATTCACTGTTAGCCTTTATGCTAACATCGGTTACAAATTTAGTGTTACATAAGCATCTAGAATATATGCTAGCACAATTATTGTCCAATTGCCGCCCAGCTAACTATGGTTTTGCTGTGATATACTCAAGATTAACCATACATACGTGAATTGGATAGTTTACCTGGTTCAGCAAAGATGCAACACGCCGGAGTTTGTATGATAGGACCTACGTGATGCAGTCGAAAGCGTTCACTGAGTTGCCAGGATTACGCATCCATCCCCCCTTATAGGAACCCCGAATGGTGACACTCTATGTTCAGACCGTGGGACTGTAGCCCAATCTAAAAGCTGTGGTGGTTAATTCAATTTGTATGTATCTGAAATATATGTAATTATTCAAAACGTTTACAAACTTGAGAAAATCCCTTATATAAAACAAAGGTTGTGTGAAAAAGTGTGTATTTTAGATTAACCTGGCAACCCCGGCAGAACAACCAGACGCCTCCGAATGGCCTGCGTTCACGCCCTAAAACGATGACGTTGCTGCCCGAGACAGTCTGGCCTAGTAGCATCTCTTGACAAACCATTAGAATAGATCTGTTTACCGGGCCAGTCAATTTTTTCCCTTTTTCTTTTTAAATTGACAATTTATCTGCTTTTTTTTTTTTTTGCAAGACATCTTATAGCTCATTCGACCCAATCAACCAATAATTCCTCAATTTAGCCTCCTTGACGAAAGACCTCTCATTAATTGATAACCAAAAACAGACAAATAGGTTTTTGTGCCAATTATGTATTGCAGTTTGTAATTACACAACGACTCACATAATCTGTTGTCACAACATGAATATATCGTAAAACCTGAGCTCTGGTTTTAAGCCTCTACCATTCGGGCATGGCAAGTGAAAAAGCAGTTTTCTTACTATTCCCAAAGCATTTAAAATCCAACAGATTCACTTAGAATTACTTTGAATTGTGTTGTTTCAATATTTGACCTACATTGACCAGAGAAAGCAGATACAAAAAGCTATGTGAAAACCATGGACATATAGATTTGAATATATGTTTTAATACGATATATTATGCTATCCTATTTTCATTAAACTGTTTAGAAGCTAGAGAGTGGGCACTATGACCATCACAATGACCAGCACAATGAATGTATGTATCTCCAGAGATGGATATGAATTAAAATAAGTGTTGAAGCCAAAATAGGATATAAGATAAATAGATCAACTTTACATTAAAATTACATAATCAGGGAATTCAACAAAGTACATCTTTCAACTACTATTAATTACTTGAGTGCTACGATTTAGCTCTTTAGAGGCAATCAATGTAGTTACATATTTCTGCTTTTATTCTATTCTCACAACCTGTTTTTAGTTCTGAATTCTAAGGGATTACTTTGATTTTTTTTAATGCCTCTTTACTACTCTTTGATTATCAATTTAATTGGTATTCATGAGTTACCTTATTTGATTTATTATTTCAGAAAAAATTAAAGGTTATTACGACTTTGCAGTTGTTACTCTGAGCCAGTTGGTTACCTGAGTGATGAGACACCACAAGTCAGTGGCGGTGTTGCAAAATTCAAACCAAACTTTTAAGGAACTCTAAGTTTCCATTTTTAGTTTATGAGTTTCTTAAGAACAATATTTTGGATCAGAGGAAACTTAAATGTAATACTTAGGTGACATAGAAGTTAGGAAAAGTACTTGGTATGAGCTTTTGGATCACAGACTCATCTGAATATATACACTTTGATGACCTTGCTTCATTAAAATAATATAAATGTATATGCGAACAACTCGTTTTTATATGAAGTAATAAAATATATGCATAATAATGTATTGCATCACATGAAATTAGTCAGTTATACCTTGACAGCCATCGTGTCATGTAAAATCACATTAAATAAACGTTTGTATTTTACTGGAGCTACCAGTATACTCCCAAAATAGTCCATCTGTGTATATACTTTTCCATTTGGAGTCTAAATAAACTATAGAAACTAGTAACTAGTTAAGTTAGCCTACCATGTCATTTCTTGACGTTCTTTCTACAGCCTCGTGATATTGGTAAACCTAACATGACGTTGCGGTCTCATGTTTGAGAAGCATATTTTTTGACCTATTGAAAAGTGAGCTTGTTCCTTCTAAGCCAATAGTCTTAGGAGAACTCTTCGTTGGGGCGGTCTTTCTGAGAAACAGTGCGTATCGGGTTAGGTTGTTAGAAAGTTAATGGCTGGGGGAAAGAGATCCTCCTCAACCCTCGCTTCGGGAGAGTTTCTGGATTCCCTGAAGTAAAATCAAGCAAATATCTTCTAAGAAAGCGCCTGGACGGAGGTTTAAGTCAACAACTAGCTTGGTAACACACGTATCGTGAGCATAAGTATGCAGGATGCAGTAGCCGGGACGGCAATGCTGACGGACGGCTTCGAGGACGAGATTGACTCGGTGACTCCTCGCTCCCCAGTGGCAGGGATGGGGGTAGGAGCGACACCAGGAGGAGTCGGACTAGGGGGCATTGGGATTGGTGTCGGTGGAAAGAAAGTGCGTTTGTACGGCGAACCAGGCGGGCCTGCAGCAGAAAGACTGGATTTCAAACTAGCGGCCGCGGCCGTTCTCTCCTCGGGTCCAGGATCCGGCAGCGACGAAGACGAGGTTTCAGAGGTAGCAACGCTAAGCTAGTTAGCTAAGCCCAACTAGAGAACATTCCTCTCCTAGCGCGAGCTGGCTGGCTGCTAGCTAACGCATTAGCTCGCATTTGGCAACCACCCCCTCCCAGGCCTCCGAAATTACGTAAAATTAGCCAACAATCTTGTAGAATAATACATCTCGTCAGTTCAGATGCTTCTGGATAGTTCGATGTCGACAGTGTTTAGTGAGACAAGGGCAGTTATTCACGCCAACCGGCTGAAATGTTTTATTTATGCAGCGCAGGCTGTGGTCACGGCCTAGTTCGGGTGGAAGCGACGACGGCCTCGTTTGGTGCTGTCGTCTCACAACACCCATCACAAGTTTGTAGTCCTCCAACAGCTTTCCAACCACGGCAAATGGAAGATGTCCACTAACCCATGGACGTTTACGGCCACCTAAATACCTGCCATTTCATAGTTGTGGTGCAATTACGTCACTTTTCCAAATCATGTAAATGAACTCCGATCGTCCCAGGGCTAACTTTTCGATACGTTTAGATAATGTTAGTTTTAACGGAACAACTCGAGCCGTACAGATTTGGTTCTGATACATGCACAGGTTCGGTTGTTCCCGTTCAGGTTTGGTCTGTTTTAATGCCACCAACACTGTCAACTTAATTCTTATGGTCATATTGGAGCGCAGCTTGGATTCGTGTTGTGAGGGGTCCAACTTTCCATGTCACACATGGGAACAGGTGTGATGGCATCCCCTTATATCAGCTACATGTACCGTATAGACGGCTTTATTATCATTTCACATTCACAGCAGAAATTAGAGCTGCCTCAGCGCAATATGCGCCACTACATCTTTCGTGGGATTTTGCAAAAATGTTAAGAACTCAACAAGTCCAAATCTTTTTTTTTTAATTGTGAGCATTGTGGTTTAAAATACGTTTGGCTTCCTGGGCACACCGTTATCACGTAATTGAGTTTATCATGTAATATGACAACACTAGACCCAGCTGTGGAAGTTGTCACACAGGTAGATGGTGGATGTATAGTAAGGGCATATATATCAAAGTTTTCCAATTTGACATTTGCATTGTATCCTGGAGGATGGTTTTGAAGTTGGCATAATGCCACTACAGTCAGATTAATAAGGGCAGTGGAAAGAATCAGCACCTGACCACCGGAGGTAACCTGTTGAACTGACTACTATACTTCAGTAACATCTGAGTTGAGGATTAACGGACTGAACCACTGCAGTCAAGACAGCCAACTAAGGATGTCAGCTGACACCGCTGTCAATATAATCTGGCTGTTTTTGTCCGATGAGCCGCCTCATCACAGTGAAATGAGTAAATAAAATCTCAAATTTGTTTGGTACACCTCCGGCAACCAGTGAAATTGGATTGGAAATGTATGGCTGGTTTGTCATTTTTCCGCACCCCCCCCCCAAAGAGGAGTACAAAGAAGATGCGGAACATTTGTTGTGGTGTTTTGCTCCACTGGTGAACCTGCTGCTCTGGGCTGTAGCTAAAATCTGAGCCCCAGGATTAAGCAGATGCCATTCTAGGCCTTTCCAGCTCTGTGGATACCAACACTCTGGGATCTGTAGTTCGTTAATGGTGAAGACTGTTATCCATTGTTGATTATAAAGGCTTTCGGTGAACTACAGTTCCCATGTGCCACTTTGCTCTGTGTTCATATGGTATAGCTGAATTCCTCCTAATTGCTGAATGTTGACTCTCCTCACATGAGTCATATGGGGGACACCCTGGAAGCCTGCCACAGTTTACATATGGACACAGAGATATTATTACTCCTAAATGTTATGGAACAAGATGTTTTGCAAGCCGTTGAATCACAGAGGTTTGCGATTAATACAAATCTTACTAGTTTAGACTCACACCTCCAAGGCAGTCTGTTTGTTCAGGCTTTTTGTAACATTTGCACTGTATGAGGTACTTGCCCACGAACATTTCAGAAGAAGTAAGCATTTTTTATTAATCCTCAGTGCGTAAGGTCAGTAGGCTCAGGTACCAGCAGCAGCCTGCCCCTGAATATGAAAGCCAACTAAAACTTTGCATAGCCCAGTTATTTGTACAGGGATCCAATGAGACTTTCAATAAGAAAAGAAGACAACATTATTTTGTATCTTGATTTTATTCTATTGGGAGTAAGTGTTTTTCTAGTATAGTTTCTAGCAGTTGGAGATACTGAAATAGAAAGTTGTGAGATTTAATCCACCTTTTAGACAAAATATCTTGTGTACAAATAGCTGGCAACTACCCAGACTGACTAAATGCACAAAAGCCATCTTGATACTTTCTGTTTGTTTAATTTCTGAGATAAGATGTAACTTTCTTTTAGCTTTGGCCATTTGGACATCCAATCCCACTTTTTTTTATATTTACCTGACCAGGTCGAAAACATGAAATTATTTATTTTCCTCATTCAGAGAAATCCACAAATGAGAGCATAGTTTATTTTATTTTTAATACATAGTTAAAAAAATGCAAATTTCGGATCAAATTGATGATTAAAAAAACATCTGTAACAGTGAATGAAATCTTTGATTGGGTCTCCGTTTAGCTGAATAATGGCTTTGGCAGTGCTCAGGTATGAGCCTGTAGTGCTACAGTTGGGCAGATGACTCTCAGCTGAATCGCACTGTTTGCAGGGGTTATAATTCCTAGTGCTTCCCGTGCTTTGACTCTGTTATCTCCGTGCACCAAGAGAAACCATAAATAAACAACAGCCACATGTCTGCTCTTTTTATAGTTGGCATACTTTTTTTTTCCATCTACAGTGATATTTATACATCATTTGTAAACCAAGTGAAAGAATGATTTATTGTATTATGGGCCATGTTTTCACCCTTTTCCCTTCACTTGATGCTCTGCTTTCCATCAGTAAGCGCTACTCAGTAACTGCTGCTTTTTAGATATTACCTCTCTTTGGAAGCACAGTGCAAGCTAACTTGAACATCAAAGTAGCTAAAGGAATTGGGATGAAAACAAATCTCTGATCTATGTCTCTGTCCGTCCTAGGTGGAATCATTCATTTTGGACCAGGAGGACCTGGATAACCCCATTATGAAGACAGCGTCAGAGTTGCTTTTGTCCAGCGCCACAGATGGAGTAGATTTGAGGACTGTTGATCCAGAGACACAGGCCCGACTTGAAGCTCTGCTGGAAGCTGCGGGTATGCATACTTTGCCTCAAATTCAGTTTAAGACTTGATTCATTTTCATTTGTAGGGAATCAGTGTCTTATTGACCACACCCATTATGAATAACCTCTCCCATGCTGTGCTTTAACACGCACTCACTATGAACACATAATACCACACCTCTCTGCCTTGGCTTCTTTTTCTCTCCCAATGCACTACTTGTCAGGCTAAATTTTCTGTTTCTGTAAGTATCACAACTGCAAATAGCTTGAACGTGATTATAAATTTGTTTAATTAGAACTTGTAATCTCTATTTAAGAAGGTCTGTATCGATTAATCCAGAAGGGCTGGGTGTCCTGGCCTCATTTAGACCTGTGAACATTACCGTGCAGATTAACACAGGAACACTCCTGAGCCTCCACAGCATGCACAGAGTTTGTGTTGAACAGCTAATAGCTAATCTCACTCCAGTCCCCTCTCTCCCATGCTAGTCCTACCAAAAGAGGGGATAAATTGCATAATCTCTTTTCCAAAGATCTTTTACACTTTGTACAACAACCATAGAAATTAGGATAAAAGTTTCTCCCAATCTCTTTTATACATTTCTATCAGTACTTATTCCTTTTATTCTTCTAATTTTTTTTCTAATTGTTTGTCATGGTTGTGGTAAAGGAAATTGGGAAGCCTCTTCATTCAGATCATGAACATAGTGGGGAAAATACCCACAGCTGTCAAGGCCATCACCATAGAAGAAGCCAAGTATCTGCTGATGTCTGTGGGCTGTAGAATTGGGACAGTTTTTAAACTAAGATTCACAACTAAGTTTTGGTTATTTGAACTTTTAAGCGCACATTTAGGTGCAAAAAATTGGTCAACTGAAATGGGAAACCTTCCACGCACAGTCCACATGGCTGCAGATACTTTAAATGAATTCTTTGATTATGAAACTTGATGTCAGTTTCCATTTTACGTAAACCAAAGAAAGAAAAAGTAGTTGTGACTTTTCAACATTTGCAGAATAAAGGTATTCAAGATATTAAGCCAGAAACATTAACAACTGACCCTAAAAATCTTAAGGATCTAGAAAAAGTCTAACTGTGGTATTGTAGTAAAGGGGGATTCTGCTGTTCACAAGTCCCAAAAAACTTCAAAACAAACATTTCCCGCCCGTTTGTCATCTGGCAATCAAGCCAAGAGTTGTAATGGTTGTTGGGTTTTGCGGTTCCTGATGTTTTTTACCCGTTTCTGAAGAAAATTGACCAAAAAATAGTCTTATAAGCCTGTAGTACAGAAACTTGCACAGCAGCATGTGCAGTGGCTCGCTGACCAGGAGGCAGCAGATATTAAAAGGACACAGAGCTGTGTGTACGAGTGAATTGTTTTAAACTGAAAAACAAATCTTTCAAAATACCCTTTAAAGGAAAGCAATGATGTGCTGTTATAAGTATATTAAGAAACTTCAAAAATGTTCTTACTCTTTAAAAACTGGCCGATTCTCTTTATATAGTTTGTAAACTGAAGATTTTCATTAGATTAGTATATCTTATTAGATAAGAAGGATCCTGATTGTGACTGAATTGATAAAAGAACATTGTTTTCTCAATGTGTCAAAATTTTTTTTTTAAGAATTGTTAACGGGATCCTGTTGGTTTAATTAAATCAGATTTAAGCCATAAGACAAAGCACAAGTGGATTAGTAATGACATCTTATTTTTGACCACTATCTATTCAAGAGCCACCCTGACTGTTATTATCCATTGGCTATACTGATTATAGATTTGATCAGAGGCAAAAAAACAAAAAGCAAACAAAAGACAACAGCAGTCACCTTGAGAATCCTGGAACGGGAACATTAACATCTGCTCTGAAATGGAATATCCACAAACCAAAACCAAAAACTGATAAAGGTCTGGATGCCCAAAATTTGTGTTAAAATGTTTTAGAGGCACAATTTTGGCTGCTTTAAGCAGTTTTTTCCCCCACAGTGCTCATCATGAATTCTAGTCTTTTAATGTGGAGATCTGGAGTACAAAGTTAGGTTACCAGTGCTGTTGACATTTCAACAAAACATCAGTATTAACCTTAATTGGCCTGATTTGGAGCAGATGACAGCCACAAAAAAAACAGGAAAGCTCTCAAATGCAAAATATAAATATTGAAATGTTTTGAAGTTCTTGTGAACATGCTTTGACAATTTTTTAGGGCAGAGAATTATAAATTCAGTTTAAAAGTACAAGTGGGCTTTATTTAATTTGATATATCAGAGGCAGTGATCACACAGGGATGAGGATCACACATGCTGCTGGGGACCTTTTTAAAGGGGTTACCGGGTGGAATCCATTTTACTTTGCAAGCCACTTAGAGACAGTAAGCTGCCAGCTGGACTGTGTAAACTTTAAATATTTAGAAAATAAATGCTCCATTTAATCATGGAGAAGACTATTACCGAGGTTTGTTTGGTGCTTCATTTAATTATTTTTGTGAAGCTTCAGGTTTTGTTTGAGAAATGTGTTTCTCTCTACTTAACCCTAACTTTAAATACTTCAGTTTTGGTTTAGGATAAAGCTATTGCCTCCATTTGTGCAGACTAATGAACTTCTTTTCTGGGCCAATGTACACATGGCTATTAGAAATGTCACGCATAAGTAGACTTTGATACTGATTTTCCTGTTAATTCCACATAACGGGCATTATCAAGTCAGCAGGGCAGCAGGGCCGCCCATAAGCCTTTTAGTGAACTGTTATGTCAAGGCCTCCGCAATAAGTAAGTTACATTGACTAGCCTTGTGTGCTCTGATAAACATCTTACCTTTGATCCAGATATGCAAAATGACACTCGCCTATACAAAAATCAGGCCGCTGCCGCATTCAAACCACTGTCCAGCTCTGCTTTAGTCAGGAGACACCGTGCCTTTTATGTTAGCATGAGCTGGATTCCTTGAAGGCCATGGATGGGAACTGTTTTCCACCGCTTTGACAAATTACTGGGATAAAGTCAGATTGATTTCCAGAGCTCGGATGTCACACACATCTTTGGGATGGTCCTGTTGTTTTTGTCACTTTGATAAAGTCATTATTCCCGCAGCGGGTCACCTAACATAAGGTTTTTATGCTGAAATTAGTCATGGAGAGCCCGGGGAGATGGACCTTCCATAGTGCGCTTGAATGCTGTTGAGTTCTGAAGGAAAAAAGCAAAACATCTCTTACTAATGTCTTTCATAACATCCTATTAAAATATCGGAAACATCTAACATAATGGAGGGCTACATGTCATCCCCCCTCTGGCTCTCTATATGTTTCGAATACATTATGTTGAAAAGTAACAGCAACATTTGTACATTACGGCCGACAGTCTGGAGTAGCAAAACCTTTTTCTGCCTTTTTAAAGTATTGGTCTTCGGTCAAATTATCTTTGCATCTCTCTGAGCAGCAAAGAACTGAAGCATTTAATGAACTGGCAGATTTAAAATGTCATTTTCCATAGACATGCAGCACGCTCTGTTTTAAACAAAGCAAAATGGAGTTTTTTTTTTTTTTTTTTTTTTGCTAAATTTTTTACAAAGGTCCTCAAAAGTGGCAACTTACAGTAGAGAAGCAGGAAGGTAAATACAGTAATCCGGGAACATTTTTTCAGAAAACTGTCTCCCCGAACAATCCATTTAGCTTGTCATCTGTAAGTCATAATAGGAGTTTGTCTTTGCTGCCACTAAGCCGATGGTGACCATTCCGCTTCAGTGACTTGTTACCAGAAGGCTCGCAGCAGTAATGTCAGCAGATTTTATGCAGAACGCTCCGATTTAGTGAGCACGGCTGCTTGAAAGCGCTGAGGGCGTGAATGCCGGCGTGTTCTCCACTTTTGGTGTACACACCTAAACTGACGGATTTCATCTCAGCAGCCAGATTGGAGAAGTTGTTGTTCGTGTCAACATGGCAGTTTGGGGTGGAGCAGAGCATTAGCTGCTGCTTATGGGTAAACACACAATAAAAAAAGTATTGCTCTGTCCTTTGACATGACAGGTAATGCATTCATGTATGCATGTATATATAAATTTGGGTGAAAATGTTTCCATCTGCCACATTTTTGTGTTTGTGGTACTCTGGGTGTGCGCGGCTCACAGTGTAGCCACTAACCAGCTGAAGGAAAATGAAAATATGTGCAGTACACGTGCACTGTTTTGACCTCCACGAGAGCTCTGTGTCTGTTTTGCATTACTGAGAAGTGACACGGCCTAAATTGGCAGACGTCAGTTATTAAAAGCGTAATTCAGAGTCAGAGTCGGCCTATTGTTTCAGAGTAATAGAATAAGTAAAATACCCTCGGTTTGTTGTCAGCCAAAGCGGTCATGTGGTGCCAATCCCCAATCTTATGTGCAGTTTGATGTAGAAAAAATGTGTGCTTTTGCTGAGTTGATCAAGCATTAACATTAATTATCAACTTCCTTGACGTCCTCCTCTGTGCCTTAGGGAGAGTTGTGAAATCTTGGTCTCAGAGACGCGCTAAGTTTAGCTCAAGTTGCAGTCCAAGTGGTGAAAACGTAGGACCTCAAGGACTGAATGCTCACTTCTGCCCTGCTAATGGTCATGTTGGAGCCCAGGCTGCACAGTCTCTTTCTTCTTCATCTGGCCCCATTCCCTTTAGTTTTTTTACACATGCCTTTTAAAGGACGTGCTAAAGCCTGAATGGTTGTTCCGTGGTTGGATAACAGCCCTTATTCTCGCACTTGAAAGTGATTGTATTTCTTTTTTTAAATGCCCTTTTGCACGCTTTTGACCCCCCCGTGCCCCCATCTTGGCTCTTTCCCCCCAGTTGAAGCAGAAACACTGACACAGTTTCATGCGTTGTCAGTTGGATGTCTGTGGCTAGCATTTTTCACCACTCATCGATGTCTTTAGCTGCTTCTGTGCCACCAAGATTGGACATTTTCTTCTTTTCAACTTTTAACAACTTAACTAGTTTGCATAACTAACCTCCTCCTTCACTGCATTCCTTGTAGTGGACGCACAACTGAGATTGCATTCACAATCTAGTTGTGGCCCAGCAAATGTTGTTTTAAAATTACAAGAAAACAAAAAGAATTATAGATGATACATTGAAAGTAGTGACAGGATGTGTTAAACGACATTAACAAAAGCTTGTGTGTGTGTGTGTGTTTGTTTTGTTTTCCCTCCTTGTGTATGCGGCTACTAACCCTGGGTTGGACTGGCTGGACTGGACTTGCTTCATCTGGTCTGGTGTGGTTACGTTCCCCTGTGGTTTGCACTGCCCTATGCACCTCTGCCTTCTTGGTGTTCGGCAGGCATCGGTAAACTGTCCACTGCCGATGGTAAAGCTTTTGCAGACCCCGAAGTGCTGCGCCGGCTGACGTCATCAGTGAGCTGTGCCCTGGACGAGGCGGCAGCTGCCCTGACACGGATGAGAGCCGAAAATACACTCAACGCCGGCCAAGCCGACAAGTATGTATCCCAGCCTTTATTCAGTCGTCCCGCCCCCTGTTTTCGCACTTAGTTCTTGCGCGTGCTCATGTGTTTTGGTTATTGTGAGGCGAATGTGTGTTGGCCTGTCGCAGTGGCGGTAATTGTAGCAGTTTGGTTATTTTCAGCCGTAGTTTAGCGGAGGCGTGTTCAGACGGGGACGTCAACGCCGTGCGCAAACTGCTGGACGAGGGACGGAGCGTCAATGAGCACACAGAAGAAGGGGAAAGCCTTCTGTGCCTCGCCTGCTCGGCTGGCTATTACGAACTCGCGCAGGTACGGAAGGCACAACTCAGACGGGTTCAATAATAACAAAACCACTGGATACGAGTTGCCCATCGTCTGAGTGTCCCTAAACTTCCAATCCCACGTGTCTTCCTTCAGGTTTTGTTGGCTATGCATGCAAATGTGGAGGACCGGGGCATCAAAGGGGACATCACGCCACTCATGGCTGCCGCCAGCGGAGGCTACGTTGACATTGTCAAACTACTTCTAGTCCACGGGGCAGACGTTAACGCACAGTCCTCCACGGGTAAAGCTGGCGTCCTTCTCCCCATACACTGACCATCCATGTCCGTGGTCTGCTCGCCCTCGCGCTAACCCTGCTGCTGCCTTCCAGGCAACACGGCTCTGACATACGCCTGCGCTGGAGGCTTTGTGGACGTGGTGAAGGTTCTGTTGAAAGAGGGTGCAAACATCGAGGACCACAATGAGAACGGACACACCCCCCTAATGGAGGCGGCCAGTGCTGGCCACGTTGAGGTGGCCAGGGTGCTGTTGGAGTATGGCGCCGGCATCAACACACACTCCAATGAGTTCAAGGAGAGTGCTCTAACACTTGCTTGCTACAAAGGTCAGAGCCCCAACGACGTGAAGTCCTCTTTAATTGCTCCTTATTTTGTAACCTTGCCTCACTTCAAAGTTGTTTTTTATGCATCTGTTCTGCTCAGGTCACTTGGATATGGTGCGCTTTCTGTTGGAGGCTGGAGCCGACCAGGAACATAAAACAGATGAGATGCACACGGCACTGATGGAGGCCTGCATGGTGAGCATCTGACCCAAACCTCATTAAAAAAAAAATATATATAATTTAATATAATGAATATAAGGCATCATGTTTTCTTTTATGTGATATATTTTTTTTATTAAATTGATTAACATTTCATGTCACTTAAAGATATTATGCGCCCAAAAAATCTGCATTTGTCTGTGGTTAAGTAAGCAGTTGACATGAAAAACAAAATCCTGATGGTAACACTTTACGGGCAGTTTAAAAGCATTCTCGTAAAGGTAACATGGTGTTAAAATTGGGGAATAAATTCTAATAAATGGTTGGTTTAATGCATTTTTGTACCCTGCAATCTCGTTGTAGTGCTTAGCGCTTGAGTGTCAAGCAGGATTTAGACATTCTCCTCCTTCCACACACCTGATTCTGATTAAAATGTATCTATTTAAAACCCAGAAGTTTTCCTAATTGTGCATTGATGCAGGAAAACGGCCCCTGAGGACCGGAGTCGGACACCTGTGAAATAGGGGTTCCCCATTTATTCAGGTGCTTATCTCTGCATTCTCTGTGTGTCTCGCTGTCCCAGGACGGCCATGTGGAGGTGGCGCGGCTGCTGTTGGACAGCGGTGCGCAGGTCAACATGCCGGCCGACTCCTTTGAGTCGCCGCTCACGCTGGCAGCCTGCGGAGGACACGTGGAGCTGGCAGCCTTGCTCATAGAGAGGGGTGCCAACTTGGAGGAGGTGCGTATAAGGACAGGCACATGAATAACAGCACTGGTTAGGAAAGTAAATACACAAGAACATATTAACATACGAAGGAGCAGTTCTCAGTGGTGCCTTTTGAAGCTGTTACTATAAATATGAATTAGCAGCTGTTGACTGATGTCTTTTCTGTGATGACATGCTTCCCTGCTGCAGCTGAGATCCAGTCCACTGAGCTGAATGCTAGCCACACATTATTTGACTTTTTTTTTTAATTAAATGGAAACCATATTCTAACCATTTTTAATTTGAAACAAACTGCAAATAACTTATTTAACTTATTTAACTTACTTATCTTTTGGGAGATTACAAGATAAACTGTTAAAAATTAGGGAATATTTCAGTATTGATTTAATCTGAAATAAACTGACTCAAATTGTAAAATCTTTCCTTCCTCAAAATTAGTGTGACAAGATTCTTTGCAAAGTCACACTAACTTTCACCTCACACTGTAACCTGACCATGAGCCACACTCCACCTTGCATTTTCCTAAGCCTCCGTTTGTGTTCAGGTTAATGATGAGGGCTACACTCCCCTGATGGAGGCGGCTAGAGAGGGCCATGAGGAGATGGTAGCACTGCTGCTGGCTCAAGGTGAGGAGCTTTGTTCTTTCATCTGGGGAACAGAAAAAAGATGTTAAATGCCAGTCTACGGCATAGTTTAGAAAAGTCTTGCTGGGATCCGTCATCCACAACTCTCCCCTTTTGTTAAAGCAAACGGTTATAGGTGTCTAACGTTTTTTAAAAACTTTTTTCTGCTTTACAGGTGCCAACATCAATGCCCAGACAGAGGAGACCCAAGAGACAGCTCTAACTCTAGCATGTTGCGGGGGCTTCTTGGAAGTGGCTGATTTCCTCATCAAGGCAGGAGCCGACATCGAGTTAGGCTGCTCCACTCCTCTGATGGAGGCAGCGCAGGAAGGCCATCTAGAGCTGGTCAAATACCTCCTGGCTGCAGGTGAGTAAATCAGGATACAGATGACAGAGTTAGATATAGGAACATGGTCTTACACGTTGCCATATCCTTACGATCCTCTCTTTTGCAATCCAGGGGCAAATGTCCATGCCACCACAGCAACGGGTGACACAGCATTGACATATGCGTGTGAGAACGGACACACCGATGTGGCAGATGTTCTCCTACAGGCCGGAGCCAACTTGGTACGCCTTGGTTTTTTTGATCCCATTGACCACTTCTGGTGGCACATTTGTGCAAATGCTCGAAATGTTAGAAAAAAAGGCTTATATCTCATCATAATATAACTTCATTGGGATTTCTAAAACAAATTACATCTGTTATGTAACACTATGGAGCCCACAAATGAATCTTTGTCTGTTCCCCAGGAGCACGAGTCTGAGGGGGGGCGGACGCCCCTGATGAAAGCAGCAAGGGCCGGACATCTCTGTACAGTGCAGTTTCTTATCAGTAAAGGTGTGTTACTGACTAAATTCACCATACTTGATGCACTTATTTTGAAGTCAATAATCATTTTAACCTAACTCACTTTAAAAAAATCTGTATCTTAAGGTTTAGATATATCAATCAAGTTAGACCTTTTGAATGCACCTTTGTGGCTGTGGTTCACAGATTTATCGCACCCTCCTTCACAAGGAGGCCATTACATCCATTACCTTAATGTGGAAAACAAGTTCTGTGGTTGGCCATTAGAGAGAATGAGAGTGTTTCTGTTTTTTTAATTGGTTGTCTTAATATCCATTTTCAGCTTTTTTCCCCCTTCTGTTTCCTGTTACATTTGCTTTTAGTTTTTTTGTATGGTAACCTTGTGAGGAGAATATTATAGTAAGAAATGTCAATATTTTACAGGAAAAGAGACCTATCCTTTATAGGCAGTGATATTAAGATTCAGAGAAATAAGTGAATGCTTTTCTTTCCAAGTGTACACTGACACGTGTATGTTAGTCGGAGATTAGTTTGTACAGGTTAGTTTCTAAGTATTGTCCTACACATTGAGTAAGCCTTTCTTTTTCTTTTTTAGGTGCTAATGTAAACAGAGCTACTGCCAATAACGATCACACCGTGGTGTCCCTGGCCTGTGCTGGGGGGCACCTCGCCGTGGTGGAGCTGCTGTTGGCACACGGGGCCGATCCAACGCACAGACTCAAAGTAACCTTCTTTGTGTTTAGCTTTTGTCTGCATAAGGATACACATGTGTTTGAAATGCACAGCTTCTGACAACGGGTGTTTCCTTTGTAGGATGGCTCAACCATGTTGATAGAAGCTGCTAAAGGTGGCCACACTAATGTGGTGTCTTACCTGTTGGATTACCCCAACAACATCCTGTCTGTCCCAGCCCCTGACCTCTCCCAGCTCACACCCCCATCACAAGATGCCTCTCAGGTATGTTCTAAAGAATATATATTTCTTTTTTTTTATCGATAATGTTAGGGGTAAATTATCTTCTCTTATGAAGAGGTGAAACAGTGGTTTGATTTTCTTAAACCTGACATTTCCTCTGTTAAAACAGGTTCCTCGTGTCCCATTCCAAGCTCTGGCCATGGTAGTGCCCCCCCAAGAGCCTGACAGAGCCCCATCAAACATCGCTACACCCCCACCTGTCTCCAGCAAAGGTAAAAATTACCACTAATCAGTAAAGCCTTTATTTTAATGCTATTCTCATATAACTCTTGATTACTTTCCGTTTAAATGCAGGCATGTCAAAGCAAAGGCAAGCAGCCCTACAACCCGGTGTCCCTAGCTCGGTTGGACGGGGGCCTGAGGCAGAGCCCCTGCCACCATTCCACCTGTGCCAGCCTCTGGAGTGCATCGTGGAGGAAACTGAGGGAAAGTTGAATGAGCTGGGCCAGAGAATTAGCGCCATTGAGAAGGCTCAGCTACAGTCGCTAGAGCTCATTCAGGGGGAGCCGCTCACCAAAGACAAAATTGAGGAGCTGAAGAAGAGCAGAGAGGAGCAGGTATAATTCATCATCCAATTACTGACATAATTTTGAGTCTGAAATAAGATGGGAGTTCCCTTAAAAGCTCTTTTGCAAATAAAACACTGTTGGAGACTTAGCTGGACAAAGATATGACTGTGGTGTGTTTAGGTGCAGAAGAAGAAGAAAATTTTGAAGGAGCTGCAGAAGGTGGAGCGCCAACTGCAGCTGAAAACGCACCAACAGTTCACCAAAGAGTACATGGAGGCAAAGGGCTTAAAGGAAGAGCAGGAGGCGGGGCAGAGCCAAGGTCCAGGTCCAGGGCCGGGGAGCACGACGACCCCTCCTCCAGGCCCTCTTCCCTCTGCACCTGGTGGTCAGGTACACACTGGCTCTGACACGGATGAAGAGGCCAACAAAGACGGGGAGCAAGAGGAGCTTCCAGGAGAGGAAGGGGATGAGGTCAATTTCTCTCTATTTCCCCCCCCCCCGCTTTTGTTTTTAATTTGAATTGTGTTCACTGATGTCAGCTGTTTGCGTTTTATTGACATTGTCTTTCAATGCTTCCATTGTGTTTTCAGGAGGAAGAGGAAGATGACGAAGACGAGGCTTCATATGAGGAGGCAGACGGAGAGGATGATGATTATCTGAAACTTCCTCAAGTGGGCACCATCCTCTACAGGGATGGGCCGCAGCCGCCACAGCAGCCTCCTCTTCCTCCGTCGCCACAGACTCAGGCTCAGCCTCCCCCCCCTCCTCTTCAGACCGCCTTTGTCCCCATCCAGCCCTTGCCCGACTACAACCCCGCAGACTACCCGGGCAGTGCCAGCCCAGAGCTGCAGAGGGTACTGGTGGGGCAGCAGATGCTGGGGCAGCAGCAGGCTCAGGCTCAGCAGCTGGCCGGGTTAGGCCCAGGCATGATACCTCAGCAGGCTCCAGATGGGCTCATGGTGGCAACACCAGCACAGACACTCACGGAGACACTGGATGACATCATGGCAGGTAAGGCCGTGGCCGCTTGAACGTCGCCGTTTCCAACCGGTGGCCGGACCTGCGCAGGCCTAACCCGTGTGTTTGTCCTGCAGCTGTGAGCAGCCGTGTGCCCATGCTGAACACTACATCACCCACCCCCCTGTCCCAGCCGCCCACGCAGACCAACGGAAACATCGCATCTCCCCCTTCGGTCCTGCCCCTCTACCCCTCCGTCGACATAGATGCTCATGTAAGCTGGAGGGCTGGTTTGACATGACACACGACTTTCAGCAGAGTAGTAAATACCGTAACCTGTTTTCACCCCCTCCCCCCCACAGACGGAGAGTAATCATGACACGGCGTTGACGCTGGCGTGTGCAGGAGGACATGAGGAGCTTGTGTCTGTCCTGATTGCACGTGGAGCCAACATTGAGCACAGGGATAAGAAAGGTACAGAACATGGACAAAAGGAAAAGTAAAAAGCTTTTTTTTTTAAAAAAAATATATGGAATCATACCTATATTCCCTTTTGGCTCCACAGGATTTACTCCTTTGATCCTGGCTGCCACTGCTGGCCATGTTGGAGTGGTTGAGGTGCTGCTTGACAAAGGGGGTGACATTGAGGCTCAGTCAGAGAGAACCAAAGACACTCCCCTCTCCCTGGCCTGTTCTGGGGGGCGCCAGGAGGTAAACTCATCCTCTTTCAATCCAAATAAGAATATTGCCTCAGATTAAAACATGCCATTTTCTTAACTACGTTAAAAACTGTTGTTAATTTATTTTTTGTCTAAATATAGGTTGTGGAGTTGCTGCTGCTAAGGGGAGCCAATAAGGAACACCGCAATGTTTCAGACTACACACCTCTTAGCCTGGCTGCTTCTGGGGGTTATGTCAACATCATCAAAATACTTCTCAATGCCGGAGCTGAGATCAACTCGAGGTGAGCGCCCAGGAGTTAGTAATAGCACTGCTGCACTTTGTAAAAGTGAGCATCGTTTAGAGGAGCACATGATAGCCTGAATTGTAAATATTTGGAAATTTGTATAGATGTGGAAAGCCTGTTTCTCCCCTGGCGTCATTCCTCAGAGGAAGTATTCATGTTATTCCGCTGCTCCTCCCCTTCTTTTTCATTATTAGTGGGAATGGAGGTAGATCTAAGTATCTGCACAGGTACAAATACTTGTGCTTTACACAGTTGTCATAGTGAACTCTTAGAGATCTGAGAGGAAGATTAAATGTATGTGAGCCAAATGAAAGCTGAAAGCAATATTGTAACGATATAATGAATACATTCGCCCTTTCCCTTTAGTCCTCGGGCAGACTTATTTGTATAGTTAATGTTGTATTTTGGGTTTTGGTCTCTAAAGGATGTCCTGACTTGTTCCAACAGGACTGGCAGTAAGCTGGGAATCTCTCCTCTGATGCTGGCAGCCATGAATGGCCACGTGCCAGCAGTGAAGCTGTTGTTGGATATGGGCTCAGACATCAACGCCCAGATCGAGACCAACAGGAACACAGCTCTGACCCTTGCCTGCTTTCAGGGGAGAGCTGAGGTGGTCAGTCTGCTGCTAGATCGCAAGGCCAACGTGGAGCACCGTGCTAAGGTGTGTAGTTTTGACTTTTAAAATATATGTATCAGGGCAGCTAACTTTCTACTTAACCGAGTTGTGTATATAAATGTATATATGTATATATGTGACCGTCCTGCTAACTGATCTGTTGTTTGAACAGACTGGTCTTACTCCACTGATGGAGGCTGCATCAGGAGGATATGCAGAAGTGGGTCGAGTCCTTCTGGACAAAGGTGCTGATGTCAATGCTCCCCCTGTTCCTTCATCCCGAGACACTGCCCTCACCATCGCTGCCGACAAGGGCCACTACAAGTTTTGTGAGCTGCTCATTAACAGGTGAGTGCTCTGAGGCTTTTCATGTGTGGAGTTGAATTTTAGTATTCCTACGAGTTGTTTGGTTCTGGTTTCTTAAAGAAATGCTTAGATTATTAAGCAGATGTATCCAGCTGTTAGAATTAAAGTTTAATCTCAACCATAAATGTCATAATCCTCTCTCCTTTTTTTAATAGCAGCTGTTTGTTCTTTATCTCCTTTCAGGGGCGCTCATATTGACGTGCGTAATAAGAAAGGGAACACTCCCCTTTGGCTGGCCGCAAATGGTGGTCACTTTGATGTGGTTCAGCTCCTGGTGCACGCCAGCGCGGATGTGGATGCTGCAGACAACCGCAAAATTACTCCACTCATGGCTGCTTTTCGCAAGGTGTGAGCCTGAGATTTAACCAAAGGTCATTGTTGGGCCGCATTCGGGGAAACTCACTGTCTCTAACAAATTCACCGAACATTTCAGGGTCACGTGAAGGTGGTGCAGTATCTAGTGAAGGAGGTCAACCAGTTCCCCTCAGATATTGAATGCATGAGATATATCGCCACCATCGCTGACAAGGTAGGATCCTCTTTAGTTCTTTTTTGCTGCAGCTGTTCACCTAACAGATGTGACAGAATCAATTGTGTTCAAGCAGAGCTAAAGCTGTTGTTGTTCCTTGTAGGAGCTCTTGAAGAAGTGTCACCAGTGTATGGAGACAATTGTCAAAGCAAAAGACCAGCAGGCAGCTGAAGCCAACAAGAACGCTAGCATCCTCCTGAAGGAGCTCGACTTGGAGAAGGTAACGTTGCTGCCATGCTCTGGGATAGAAAACTCAGCCTGATTGTTCAAATGCCAAGAAAGGGGTTGAATGTAAATCGGTTGTGTCCAACAGTCTCGGGAGGAGAGCAAGAAGCAGGCGCTGGCTGCCAAACGGGAGAAGCGGAAGGAGAAGCGCAAGAAGAAGAAGGAGGAGCAGAAGAGGAAGCTGGAGGAGGAGGAGGGGCAGAAAACCAAGGAGGAGTTGTCTGATATGCAGGAGCAGAAGGAGGATTCAGCTGAAGGTACAGCTTGTAGAATACCGTTTGCAAAGCCTTGGGTTTGTTTGATCAGTTGATTGATGTCCTGCTTCCATCTTGAATTTTATCCCAGAAACTGAAGTTCCTATTGAACCTCCAAGCGCAACCACCACTACCACAATCGGTATATCTGCCACCTCCACCACTTTCACTACCGCTTTTGGTAAGAAGCGAGGGAGCGTGGCCACTACCCCGAGCACCAATCGTAAGAACAAAAAGAACAAGACCAAGGATTCAGCACCCAGCGAACCCATCATCTTACAGGATCCTCAGGTGAGCACGCCGCTCAGAGCTGGTCTCTGTCTCTCTGAAATGTCCTTGTAAGTTGCTTTGGTCTGCATAATGCACACTGAAGAGTGGAACCATTCTTATGGCACGACTTCTCTTTTCAGGTTGCACTTGCGCAGCATAAGGCTGACAAGAATAAGATCCATGGTGAGCCACGGGGTGGGGGTGGGGGAGTGACGGGCGGCAACAGTGATTCCGACCCCTTGGACAGCACCGACTGTGCCAGTGAGAGCAGCAGCAGTGGTGGAAAGAGTCAGGAGCTCAACTACCTCCCTGACCTCACCTCATCCGCCTCCTCCTCCTCCTCTTCTTCATCCTCCTCCTCCTCCTCTTCAGCCCCCTCCTCAGGAGCAGCTCAGTCCCAGACACTCATGCCCGGCCCAGAGAAGAGACACTGTCCTCAGCTGCAGACTGAGGGCAAAGTGGACAATAAAGTCACAGTGTCCATCTCCAAGCCAACGCAAAAGTGAGTGTCTCAACAGGTCAAACACATCTTCTTCCTTTGTTCCACAGCAGACCTGGGTTCAGCCAGTCACAAGAGCGGATTTCATCCTAACTGGATCACGTTATTAAAAGGGATTTCTGTCTGTTCTGTCTCAGAGCTCCAGATACAAGCGACTCCACCTCCAACTCTCTGCCTTCTCCATTCAAGACCATGGCTCTTCCTGTCACCTCGCCCAACAGTAAGCTCAGCCTCACAAGTCCAAAGAGAGGCCAGAAAAGAGAAGAGGGTTGGAAAGAGGTTGTCAGGAGGTCAGTTCACAGTTCGAGTCGCTCTGTTTTGTAAGACTTTTACACGTATGCATTCAATACGCACATCATTTCTGACTTATATGGAGCACATTAAGCTCTATTACCACTGAATAAATCCCTAAACACAAACATATCACTGCTTCTTTCAAAGATCAAAGAAACTATCTGTGCCAGCCTCTGTGGTGTCTCGGATCATGGGCCGAGGTGGCTGCAACATCACAGCCATCCAAGACGTGACAGGAGCTCACATTGACGTGGACAAACAGAAGGACAAGAACGGAGAGAGAATGATCACCATCAGGTAAAATACTGTCCTCTGGTGGACTGTTTCAGGAAATGCAGATTTGATAGAACATGTAACGCTTGTTGGACCTTTTTTCATATCCATACACAAATGTTAAACACAAATAAAACCTTATTCTGTTATTTCAGATTTTGACATGGTATGTTCTGACCAAAATGCTGTATTTTATTGCAGAGGAGGAACTGAATCTACAAGATATGCAGTCCAGCTGATCAATGCCCTAATCCAAGACCCAGCCAAAGAGCTTGAGGACCTGATTCCCCGGAATCACATCAGAGCCCCAGGCTCTAAAGCGGCATCGGCTTCCTTCTCCAGCAGCACGGGGGCCACCAGTGGTTCAACCGCCGGCCCAAAGGCTCTAAGCTCATTGGTCACATCTGCTGGTGTTTCGTTCCAACCCTCCTCATCGACATCCGCATCCTCCTCCCAGGCTGGGGGAAAGATCGGAAAGGGCCTGTCATCAAATGTCAGACAGCCTTTCCCTGTGTCTCTGCCCCTGGCATATGCTCACCCTCAGCTGGCTCTACTGGCGGCTCAGACCATGCACCAGATCCGACACCCTCGCCTGCCCATGGCGCAGTTCGGTGGCACCTTCACACCGGCCGCCAGCACCTGGGGACCCTTTCCCGTGCGTCCCGTGAGTCCCGGCAGCGCCAACAGCTCTCCCAAACACAACGGAGGAACCAACAGCGCCGGGGCTCAGGCCAGGCCCAACTCCACCAGCGGTGAGCACGCCAGCACAGCCAGCTCAGGAACGCCAGTCTCAGCCACCAAGACCACCACCACCAGTGCGCCCCACACGTCCGCAGCTGCAGCCTCGCCTCATACTCCCAATCCCACTCCATACAATCCTCAGCCCAGCATCCCGACGCCCTCCTCGGTCAGAAAGCAGCTCTTCGCTCCTGACCCCAAGCCCACGGGCGCCCCCCCTGTGACGGCCGCACCGGCCTCCAGTTGCCCCAGTGCTGGACGGGGTTCAGGCTCTCCCGCACATCACAGTTCCACCACATCCACGGCTAATGCCTCTCAGCAGCCAATCGGATCCATTTCCCAGCCTCCCATGCAGCCGGCTAAAACGGAGCCCAGCGCCGCCGCCTCATCTGGAAAAGACAAGCCATCTCTGCCTGCAGAGAGCCAGCCCGTGTCTGTCAGTGAGAGCATCAACTCTGCGGGGTTCTCTTCTTCTGCAATGGCTCTAGCTTCCAAAGCAGAGCCACGACAGCAGTTAGCACCCGCTCCCTCCTCTGCACCATCCACAGAGGCTCCTCCACCCCTCCCCAACCCGCATTCCAATTCCCACCTTGCCTCAGTACCTCCTCCAGTTCTCTCCCACAATGTTGCACACCCGAACAACACCGTTCCTCACTTCTCAGCCCCCGCACCCAGAGTCTCCCATCGTATGCAGCAACCAGGGCCTTACTATTCCCTTCCCGAGCAGCAGCAGCAACAGCAGTCTGTGTTTGTACCCTTCAGTGGTCAGCAGGAACCCCCAAAACAGACCCAGAACCCGACATCCCAGGCGGCAGGTCTGCCCCCACAAGCCCAAGCTCCCGGCTCTATTCAGGTCTCTGCAAATCTGGGAATAATGAATGGCTCTCAGATGCAGCACGTCGCCAGCGCAGGCAAGCCTCAGCAGCTGCCGCCTAACTACGGTCCTGCAGGTCTCTTCAATTTCAGCAGCATCTTTGACAACAACAGCCAGGTGTGTTTAATCACCCTTCACAATAACACCCGGGACCTCGTGTCACGTTTAATCTGCCAATGCTGCATATGATGCGACTGCTCGCCAGATGCACTGTGATTCTAACCAGCTGTGGTTGACTTTCAGGTGGGAAACAGTCAGGTGTGGGGTGCATGCCACTTACCTGCTCGATCACCCCCGGAGCAGTCCTACTCGGCCCCCCCAGCCTACATGAGCATTGGCCAGATTGAGAATATGATGCCCCCACCTCCACCCGACAGCTCCAAAGCCCCCGGCTACCGTTCTGCCCCTCAGAGGATGGTGAACAGCCCCATTGGTACGGTTTCCTCCTTTGACCTGGTTTACATTACCTTTTGTTGATGCATGTGTGATCAGGTTTGCACCGTTTAAGGTTCTCGCCTTCAATTGTCATGATTAATGATGACAGTAGAAATCACAAAACAGATTTAAAGCAAATTAGATAAATCTCAGAAATGATAATGTTGCTCACTTTGCTCTGTGCTGGCATTCATATATGGTGTGTTCCCACAGCTTTGACCAGCTATGCCACCAGTATCTCTGGCAGTCCCGTGTATCTGCACGGTCATGCTGGTGTTGGGACGCCCTCATTCAATCGACAGCACTTTTCCCCTCACCCATGGAGTGCATCCACTTCCGGTAAAGACAAATTTGAATGGCCTGACTCGCACAGTGTGTTACTTGTTTGAATCTTATATTTATCCTGGAGTGCTGAACAAATGAATCTTTAATATAGTACATTGAAAAGTACAAACCTGAGCATTCGGTTCCCTTTTCATCTTCTTTTATACCAGGCGAGTCTCCAGTTCCACCTCCCCCCACGGTGTCATCCTCTGCCCTGTCCACCTCAGCCGTAGCCCCTCCTCCCCAGCCAAAGCCAAGCAACACTTCGCAGCAGGACCGGAAGGTTCCCCCGCCCATTGGCACAGAGCGGTTGGCCAGGATCAGGCAGACAGGTTCAGTAAACCCGCCTCTCCTCACGACCAGCTACACGGCCTCTGTCGGACAGGGGGGCATCTGGTCTTTCGGAGTTGGCAGTGCCTCAGGTACGAGCCGTTTTGGAGAGCTCTGTCAAAGCAGCCGGACAGCCCCACGGAGGATTTCAGCGGCATTGTTGTGTTTTGGTACAGAGGCCATGTCTGGTTGGTCCCAGCCCCTGATGGGCGGCCACATGATGCATCCTCAGCTGCAGGCCGAGCAGTCCGCCTTTTCTCAGCACCAGCCCATGGAGCAGGACGACACAGGCATTGCGAACCCCGCTAACAGCTACCACCAGCCTCAGCATTTGCCCAACAGCTACATGGACTTCCAGAAGGTAACGCAGAGCCACAGCTGTGTTGGTAACCCCCCCCCCCCCGTTTTTCTTGTATCCGTGTATAACCAGTTCCCTGTCGATCTCTCTTAGGGGATGCCCATGTCAGTGTATGGAGGAACCATGCTGACCCCTCATCCACCCATGGCTGAGGGCCCGGGGGGTCCAGTGTACAATGGTTTGCACACAGGTGACCCTGCATGGAACCCCATCATTAAAGTGGTCCCAAACAATGCAGACAACTCTGACCCACAACAGCAGGTAAGTTAACATTTTTACCCAACTTGCAATGTATTTATGAGACGGCGTAGTTTACTATAATGGCATTCCCGTCTTTCAGGTGTGGCCTGGCACCTGGGCACCTCATGTGGGCAACGTGCACCTGAACCACGTCAACTAGATGGTGTCCACAGCAATGAAAAACACACACAGCATGACCCACAGCGCAAACATGTAATACCAACCGAGGAATATGACCGAATGAGATGGAAAAAAAAAAAAAAAAAAAGAACTCCATGTTAACTTTAGTAGAGACCTGAAAGTGCAGAGCAGAGGTTAAAGAATTGGAAGTTCTTAATGACGCCATTCTTTGATGTGCCTATCTCAAACAATGAAAGAGGAAATTGAGCTAAAGCCGTTCTCCTAATGTGTCCTGATGATGCATACAAACATGCGCGGTCACCTGTTCAACAGGATCCATTCTCTGCGTAGTTTAGCGATTTTGACTTAAACCCACATACACCGTTCTTGGGCTGCAGGGGGCTCAACATGAAGTAGCTATTTAAACTTGGCCCAGAACTAGATGATGATGATGATTACCTAAAGAGAAAGAGAAATCAGAACCTTTTAGAGTGGTAAATACATGTATAATTGTTTACATACTAAAAAGGGTTAAAATGAGAGTAAATTTCATGTCGTATAGTGGCTCTACTTTACGTAGCCTGTATTAATGTGAAATATTTACCTTAATATTCAATAAAAAGATTGAAAAATATTTGTGTGCCTCTTTGTTTGAAATGATATATATGTGTGTAATTTTCATTTATGTGTTTATTACAGAACATGCTGCTCCTTAGCCACAGACTGGCCAGAGAACATCTTGGTTTTGCATTCAGCTGTTTAAAATGCACTTTAGTTTTTGGGCACCCTTTCTTAGGCTTTTTTTCTCCCCAGTCTTGGCACTGATTTCATCCCATCGTTTCTTATTGAACAATGTTTTATTCATGTACCGTATATATACATTTCATCTAAAAAAAAATAGTGGATAACCCCGAGGACAATCCTACATATAAACCAAAAGAAAAAGGGGAAATCCCCTAAATTATCATTCAGAGCTTTTCCCCTTTTCTAACCGTGTGCAGCCTCTACAGAGTGCTTTATTGTGCACTCACCGTTCATTCCGCCCTACATAAACGGTCGAACAAAGCCTGATATTGTTCACTTATGTATGTTTGGTTTGTTAGAACACTGAGCTCTGAGCAATGCTGCCCCTCAGTGGCCAGAGAGGGCCAGTAGCGGCTAAAACGGAAGCTGGTAAAGATGATCCTGCACAACCAGAAAGTTACCAGTAAACCTGGTGGTTCAACTGTCTAATTAGTCTGTTAATATTGGAAGGTGAGGAGGAATTGGAGGCCATGAAGTTGGTCCACCCGTGTTTGAAATTCCGACTCTTACTGCGAAGGGAGGGACAAGTGTAACCGGAAGTGAGTTATAATTCCCTTTCGTCGGCACTTCCGAATAAAGAATGGCGGCGGCAACAACACCAGCGGCGCCTGAGCAGCCACCAAAAGCCCCACCGGCGGGGGCCGTGCCCTTTGACTTCTCCCAGCCCCCGGTCATTGAAGGCTTCACTCCTATGCAGAGGATGAAAGATGAGACCTTTAAGGAAAAATTCATACGGAAAACCAAGGACAACCCCTTCGTCCCTTTAGGTGAGTTATGAAAGGGGCGAGACGCCGCACAGCGAAGTTACCCAAGTGTAGTACACCGCGTCCTCTGTTTGAAAGGCACGTGCACATCAGGCTAGCGTTAAGTGTCACTGTTTAATTAACATCCCGCGAGGTTTCAGCAGCACCGGGACGAACGAGAAGCTGAGCCGGGGAGCAAAACACTAGCGGAAAAGTTGTTTTTATCTCGTTTTGTTTGTATGTCTGCGTTCAACCTGTTCATTACAAAGACCCTGACAGCCAGGGAAGTTAGTTCCTGCCTTATCCAGCGTCTCCCTTAAACTAATCCTCCACTGTCCGGGTCCCGTCCTGCTGATGCTTTTTTTAAACTGTTTTCCTCCAGGCTGTTTGGGGACCGCGGGGGCGCTGATGTACGGTCTCCGTGCCTTCCATCAAGGGAAAACCAGACAGTCCCAGATGTTGATGAGGGGCCGCATCTTCGCTCAAGGCTTCACCGTAGTTGCCATTATTGTGGGTGTCTTCACCACAGCCCTGAAACCCAAACAGTGAAGGCTCACCTCTGCCACGTCCAGCCGACTTGGAATCGGATCAGAGCAGATCCATCTTGAGAGTTTGGACTCTCTGAACGAAACTTACACAAACGATGGGCTAGTGTATAACTTCATTCAGCTACATGTGTTAAAGGAACATCGTTATTTATTGTTTTAAGCAAAAGGAACTGTGAATTGCACATGGTGGGAAAGCGTTTTGGGTCAAGCCTGCAAAGTAGCTTTTTCCCAGATCTAATAAAGAAGCTGCTCCTGCTAAAATAATGTCAAGGCTTAACTCACAGCCTGTGTATTGTTTTTGGAATAATCCTATATAAACTTTACATTGAATTTTCTGTCTTTGTGTTTTTGTAAACCATCACCTTGATCCCTCATGAATTTCAATTCATGTTCGAACAAAAACAACTTTTGCAGCAGGGACACAAAGATGGTTTATGAACTGGAATAAAAACATATTTGCACACCAAATAAACTCAGGTGATCACTCCACTTTTTTTATTTTCCAGTTTCCCTTTTGACATTCAGGTTTCAATATTCGCAAAGTCCAAATAGGCAACGCGTGAAGCAATGTGCAGACATCACTGTTTAAAACATTTTAAAAGAACATAAAAGTTTAAAATGCGTTGGTGTTTCACAAACTTGGTTCAACGTTTTCTTGATATTCTAAAAAAAAAAAAGAAAATGAAATGGGGAACAATGAAAGTCCTGATCTAAAATTTAGACAAAATGTCTTTGGTTGTGAGTTGTACTTTTATTTTAAAATGGAATTCTGTCCAATTAAAGAGAAAATAAACATCTGGCTTACTACTCAAAAGTGGAGTAAGAGCTCGACTGGAAAGGCCACAGGCTTATATTGGTGAAAGAGAAACAAGTAAGCTACTTAAATGTAGTATTTAGGGACATCATGCAATAAAAAGTGAACAAAGTGTTTGTGATACTATGAATATAAGAGGCATAAGTGGTTACAATCTAATCTGTGTTTGACCTACATGTTAGTTTAGAAAAACAACCGAAAACTGGGAGTCCAACATTTCAGCAAAGAAAACAATAAAGTTAACTTCATTTTTAAGTTAAGGGGCATAGGAAATATTTAAACTTACAGTAACAGTGTTCTCTCAGGAAAGAAGAGATAATGCTGAGGGGCTAAAGAATGGTGTAACATCAGAGCTACCCATCTGCTCAAAGGAGCGTCAGGTGGAGCACATTGTTTCAGTACGATGGGCACCGAGAAGGCAGGAGGGTTCTGGAAAAGGTTCCAAACTGACTGGTAAATTTAAGGAAGAGGGCAGATCGATTCTTACGCAATGTGAGGTTGAAACTGAAAAAGGCAATGTTACTAGAGGGGAATCCTCCTGCTGACGGCGTCTAACGGACGAGAGGTGTCTGTTTGAGGGAGATGAGGACGGAGCGCATTCGAGAAACATCCTTTGCCTGCTTGTTGGTTTTAGGATTGAAGTCACAGAGGCGGGCTACTCGCTCCCATTCGGATCCTGGGCTGTCCCCGTCGGTCTCTGCCAGGAAAGCCTCTTCGGACGCTCTGCAGGCGGGAGAACAGCGGGTATGAGTCACAGTGCCGGAGCATCAAACCAGGCACCAACCGAGCTCCTTTACAAGATACAGGCTGACTTCATGCACAGCTTTCAATCCATATTGTTCACAATACTTATACAATACCTTCCATTCTAAACATACTCAAAACATTATTAATGTTCAAAAATGCAAATGCTAAATTAGACCTTTAGAGAAAAAAAAAAAGAAAGAAAATAGAACAGACTAGTGATTTTAGGATGGCAGCATGCATCAGGTAAGAACGGACCAGGGCAGGCAGAGAGCGCATAACGTTAAAGAGCATAAGAGTTCTAAACCTACACAAAGCCTATCACATCAGAGTTGGGCTGTTTGTAGAAAGCCTTGTCAGCAATCCTAGTACGCAGGCAAGGCCGAGAGAGCGGGAAAAAGAAGGAGAGGAGAAGAGTTTCAGTGTCAAATAACAGGCAGAGAAAAGTTAGGGTGCGCTCTAAAAGGACTGAGAGACATTTTCTGATGAGGGTGGAGCTAAACGCGGCCCTGAGAGCCCAGCTGCCGGCGGAGCAGCTTGCCAGAGTTCTGACTGCTGTGGCGTGGAGCTGCTGCGCGGATGGAGGCCGGGAGTTCTGCTCTCTGCTGTTTGTGTTCTTTACAGCTAGCGCGCTTCCTGTTTTGTTTTCCAGGCGCTGGAACTGGACGCACAGCTCTCAGCTAATGTCTCATCAGAGAGCTGTCTCTCAGCGCCCCGGGAGTCAACAAACAAAAAAACAGAACAAACTACAGCTACAGATGCAGAGTGATACCGTGCCAGACTTGGACAGAGTCTGTAGGAAAGTGTGAGAGAATAACTGGTTAGCTTGGACAAAAACAGGAGAGGCTGCGATACATTTGTAGGCATAACATACAACAATCTCCAGGCAGAAGACGCTCTCTCCTCATTTTATTCCAATGCAACTCTAAACATCCAAGCTGTGCTGACTTTTTCTTCAAGGAGAAAATGTACAACTTTTTCCTACTTGACCTGCCCTTCATTTTAACATTGAACGTGCTAACTGAGGCCAGTTGAGTCTGAGATGTTTATTTAGGTATTGTTTTTTTTTTTTTGTCCCCAGTTCGCTTGAAGCGGACACAACAACAACATTTAATGAATTTTCACAAAGAATGAATTCATCTTGCTAAAAAAAAATACAACACTCGATGTCATCATGTGAGAACCTCACCTGTTGTTGGCCTTGTTCTTCTCCATCTGGTCATTCTGGTGTACATGCCAGTCCTCCAACTCCTTCTTTGCCTTCTCCCTCCACTCTGCCTCGGCCGCCTTGGAAGCAGTATCTTCAAACAACATGACAAATATTGACAGAATGTTCCCACAATGGGGGGAAAAAAAAGGAATTCCTGATAGATCTGTTCCAACATGTTCAGGCATGGAGCATCACTGGCCTTACAGGACAAGCAGGAAAACAAAAGATGACCAAATGAGATCTGTATCAGTCCTCCTTTGATCCATCTCTGCCTACCTAAGGCTTCGAGGCGCGTCTTCTGCTCCTCCCTCCACTTGCGTAGACTTTCTGGCTCTTGCCTCTGAATGTCCACCTGGGCAATGGCTGCATAGTTGTCTGTTGGGCCATTGGACTCCTTTTGGAGGACACAAAACATTTACCCTCACATAAACAGCTGTTTGGCTGATGTGCAGTATACAGGTACAGAGCAATGTAGAACATATACACAATTCAGCTTTTCTTCAGACTTACAACTCTCCACAGTTTACTCACCTGAAACATATCCCCGTTCACCGTGGCGGGCTCGTCTTCAAATCCGTCTAACATTACAATCAGAGAAACAGACACACCGTGTTAAGAAGAAGCTCTTTGGATTGCTTCCAGTCCCACCTTTCCTCACAGCTTTCTGAGGCTTACGCCTGTGCTCACTACCACGCCGTCACTGTGTTGGTGGAACGGTTGAGACCTAAGAAATGCAGCAGCACCAGTTTGGGCACTGATGTTGTCTGAGCTGCTCTTTGACAAAATGAAAGGATTTCCAGGTGATAAGTCAATGTATCCAACCCCCTCACCACAATAACCTCAACTTTCAGTCCATTAAGGAGTTATCAAACTTAATCACGATTGTTTTTCTTTTAAATCAAACGTATAAATCTCATAGCTGACTTCAATTGGGGGAACTACTGACGTTTTTAATTCTCACTGCTTTTAAGATGTGATCAAAGTAAAGGAAACCTGACATGGTTTGAAATCTTGTGAGGACATAAGTTGGACGTTGAGTACAGCGAACGTACCGTGCGTAGCCGGTGAGCAAAACAAACGCACTACCATAACTAAGCTAGGCTACAAAGCTAACAGTCTATGACTCAATTAGAAAACATCAGTGTCACTAAACTAGACTAAATGTGCACTGACGTCACGGAATTGTATTGACTAGTTGAGTTATTTGTAACGTGTCGTGGTGGGACCCATGTTTGCTAACTTTTCTCATTCCGCTCCCGGTACCGGTGTGTTTATTAGCCGGTTAGCTAGCTCGCCTGCTAACCGATGCTGACATTAGCTCAGGCGCAAACTTGCCATAGTTGTCCGTCTGCGGATGTGGCGGCTGTGGACCGTCCACTCCCTCCAGCGCCCCGAACCCTTCGCCGTCGTTTTCGATTCCGGCTATCTCACTCTCCTGCTGGGCTAGGAAAGCTGCGGCGGGGTCCTCTTCGGTCGGATGTGCTCCGTTGTCAGCCATCTTTCACAAAAAGTACAAGTTTAACTGAGCCCTGCGGGTTAAGCTAGTCGACGTTAAAACTGCAAAAAATGAAAAATAAAATCCGACAGTGGTTCAGCGACGTCAAACAAAAAGCCCAACAGGCTTCTTTTGGGTCCCCGGTGCTGAGTAAATTATTGTAGACAGGGGCTAAAGTACTTAAATGGTCTGGAAATGAACAAGCCGGGCTTGGATTTAGGGCCCTCACTGGTGATTCATGATTTCTGCACTTGTTCATACACTGTGATGATGGAACAAGGGCAGAACTCCGAACGGTCCAACTTGCGTCAGCTCCACTTTGTCTCCATCTGCTGGACACATGCGGTATCGACACCGATCCCCAATAAACCTCCCCATCCAGAAGGTCTTTGGAAAAGCTTTAGTGAGGACCTGTTGTAAAAGTTGGCGTAATTCTCAGTTATAATGAGTATAACGACGACGATGACAGTTAAAAAGAGACATTTTTGCCATCATTGGACTTGGTCACACCTGAAACCAAGTCATTCATAACTGTATATCTTGGTATTAAGATGCTAGGTTTACCCACAGGATAGTCAAAACACAACCCCCTGTTCGAACAGAGTGGGACATCCAGACTATTTTGCGGATTTCGTCTGTACTGCTGTTGAACTGTGCCCCTGTCGGCTGGCTTTTCCCCACATTTACAGCCCTTTTATAGCTGCGTCCCATTCTTTAAACGCCCTCACCTGGAGCCACGGACCGGGACGGCCCGGAACCCGACACGCCGTCAAAAACTGCCTGCAAGCGGCGAAACTAAGGCACCGGTGTGCGTAGAATAAATACAGTCATTAAAAAAGTTGGTGGATTGGCAGAGGATGGAGGGGGAGGGTGGGGGGGGCAGTACGGCCTCTCCTGGTCCACCGCCCGGAGCCACGGCCCACGTGACTCTGACGTTTCAGGCGAGTCCCACTAAAAAAGAATTTGAGGGAATGAGCTGCTCGCTCATCAGGGAGATCCGCGGTGGCTTCCTGACGTCCGCACCGAGGAAGTAGCCCCAGAGGTTGTCTGCGAGACCGGCGCCGTCTGTTTTTTTTTTCCTACTGTTTTTTTTGAAAACCCTACACCGACTCGTTATGTCCGGCGAACAAGTCGAGGGGCAGGAGGTAAGCCCGTTCATTAGTCTGAACATCCCGGAGCATTCCTCCGCGCCTGTCCGGAGTCTAACTTCTAAACAACAACAAAAAGAGCTACTTTTAAAAAGTCTGTTGGGTGTCACGGCGGGCCGCCGCTAACTAAGCACTGAGTAATTCGTCCCAGTGGAGAGTTGGTAAAGTTTGGCCCCGTCCGGCTCCCCCCGCCGAGTCCGCGGTTTGGGCTTCAATAAAGTAATAATATTAACTAAAAAGCGTTTAAAAGTCAGCAGGCCGAGCTTAGAACTCCGTACAGTGCAGTTGAGTGCAATTTTATTTCCAAATAAAGGTCCTTTTTAAAAAAAAAAAAAAAAGAAAACAAGAAAACAATTATCCGACATCCAGGGACATAATGGATAAGAATGAGTAGGTGTCATGTCGCTGTCACCGGTCAGGCTCGGGCGGTTTGTGTTCAGTGGCTTGGGCTCGTGATTGCCTGGCATTTAATTAGCAGCAGCACATTCAGGGTTCATGCTCCTCTCTCAGAGGTCTTGCTGTAACCTTCCTTAAACAAGTAAATAATCAATTAGTGGTGTGCTGGCATCTCGGGTTGGGCCTGACCCTCGTTACCTGTGGCCTGTGGGGGTAGAGCTGACCAGTGCCTCTCCCTGCTGCTGAGGGTCTGCACTGGGGGGCTTCTTACCTCAGGATGACTTGTTTGCTACCCCCCCCCCCCTCCCCACCAACCCCTGAGAATGTCAGATCTGCCTCACACAAGTAGATCGACAATGAATGTAAGGGAGAAATAAATGAAAGGCTTTATTTTTAGGCTTCATGGATTTAGATCATTTGGCATTCTTCACCGGTTGCTTTGTGCCCTCAGATTAGAAGGACCGCTCTGCCACTTCTGTGTAATCTGCAAGCACGCCGCCGTTTTTGCCTACTTTCTTTTGCTTGGTGTGTGCTGCTATGTCCCCCGTTTAGGAGCTGATGGTGAAATATAATGGCTGGTTTTTGGTTGAACTGTGTTTCATGCCCTCGAGAAAGAATGTAGAGTCCCATAAATTTCATGTCAGTTCAGGCCATCCGCTGTTTCTCAACGGCAGTTTTGGAAAAAAACAAAACAAAGCAAAAAAAATGAGAAGAAGTACTCTGACTTTTCTGCAGTGAACCTCTGCCAGGAGTTAGGGGGGTAGCTGACGTTACCTCTCTCCAAACCCCCCTCCCCTGTGACTCATGTGGGTGTTGGGCTGAAATAGTTTGGTGTAGTTTTACATTCCTTATATAGCCTCTGAGGAGTGAGCAGAGGCGAGGGCTTGCCTCTGTCGCGCACACAGGCATTGCGGTAGGGTTTGCCAACAGCGGCAGAATCTGCTGGCTCCAGCTCACTGACTCCTCAGCTTCCTCCAAGGTTTGGGCTCCCAGCCGGCCCTTGAGGATAAGGTAGGCGGGTTGGCGTGGTTGGATCTTTAAGGGCGCTGGCACCTGGGTCGGTTTAAGGAGGGGCAAGGGCCAGGGAAGGGCTGCGTGGACGGAGGTCAGTGGTCGGGTCACAGCAGGAGCCTCTGATGTAGAACTGCCCTCCAGCCGCCTTTGATTCCTTAGGTGTCCTTCTTGTAGAGCTTCTTGCTATTCGGTATCAGCAGGAAGATCTGGAGAAGGTGTTTGAGACTAATCTCAGAACACATGTGGGTAAAAATTCAATCCCACCTCAGAGGTTGTGGCCAAATGGGCCGGTCTTTGACTTAATTCACAACTCGCCTATTTTTACACCGACTCAAAAAGCAAGACTCCAGTGTTGCTGCTGTTTTTGTTTTCTCCGCCCAGCGTGTTGTTTCAGTGATTTGGACATCCATCGCTGAATTTAGCCGTCACATGAGACGCTCCCCTTTGATGAGGGCGATGCAGAAGGCATCGATTCATTTGCGTGTTGATAAATGTAGGAATGTTGTGACCCAGTTACAGCTCAGGAATTTTATTACCTCCCCAAAGGAGGTTATGCGGCCTGTACGGTTTGTCTGTTGTCAACAGGATTACCTAAACTTATAGAGATGGATTTGCAGCGTGGTTTTACCAGAGGTGAGACGCAGCCCGGCTGTGATTAACGTTTGACGTTAATGAGGATCCAGATTTGTGTCCTCGTGCGCAGCCGTGACAAAGTTGTGCCCTCACTGTTCCGTCCATGCCTTCGATATGATTACCCTCAATTTAAAAAGTCACCCTAGGAAAAGTCAGCTTAGTTTAATTTTTTTTTTTTCCGCACATGATTGTTTTTGTTCTTAGCTTTTGTAATAGCAAAGACTGAAGGAAGCTGACTCCAATGGCGTTTTCTTTATGGAATGTGGGTGTTCTTAGTTGGAAACAAAAACAGACAACCGGCAGCAAGACCTTGAAGACCTTTTCCTGGCTTTCAGCCTAATTCAAACATTTCCTTTTTCCCCTTTCCTCCAGGCTATGAACTTGTACACTGTTACCCTGAGCGGCCCCGCTCCATGGGGCTTCAGGCTGCAGGGAGGCAAGGACTTCAACATGCCTCTCGCTGTTTCAAGGGTAAGAACCAGTTATTACAATCAGCTTTTATTCATGTCTCAGTTCATGCATCATCCAGGTCCTTTGGAGCCCCTCTTAACCATTTGCGTAAAAGGTCACTCCAAGCAGCCATTTTATCTTTGGCCCAGCCGGTGTTTGAAAGCTTTGGGCCATTAGCATGCACCTCGCCAGTGTTGCATTACCGGTACGCTTACCACATCATTTCCCTGTCTAAACAGATGCATGTCGTATTTCTCAAAATGGCCACTGTTTTCAGACTGCAGCTTTTATATTTTCACATCACTCAAACGCTCACGGTGTGGATCCCAGGTCTCAGCGGGTGGGGCCGTTCCAGAGGCGTATGAATGAGCAACACTCACCGGTCACAGGAACACTCTCCCATTGGTCTCACAGTGCTTTGCACCCTCCATTTTAGGTCGGCGTGTCCTCACAGAATAAAAATTTAAACAAGCCGCTGTTGTTGCCGAGCGGCGGCCGTTTTCCAGGCCTTATAAGAGCACCGTGGCTTTGCCTGACAAACGTGCAGGCCTGCACTTGCAGCTGCACGCACGTGAAACAATTCCTGTGTTTCAGCCAGCTGCTGCACAGGCAGATCTGGTTTTTCTGTCCTGCACTGGTTTTCCACTCGTATAAGCCGGGCTGATCCATAAAAATCAGACCGAGTGGCGTTTAGAAACAAATCCGCCGTGTCTCTATTTGCTCGATTTTCCTCTAGGGAGAGATAATTGAGTCGGGCTGGGGACCAGTTTGTGCCCGCAAACTCTCTCTTTCTCCGAGTCATTAAGAGCATTTTTATATGAGGAGCAACAACCAAATGCGTGAAGTATGGCTCTCATTGGGTTGGCATACAGAGGGCACAGTGCGCAGCGGGCAGCATCACACCGAAGCCTGCGTTAGGCTGATGTAATCCTGTGGTGATGACAGCAGTTATCACTAACCCTGTCAGTACATGTCTGCTCTCTGCCCGGCGCTCCGGCAGACGCCACAGTCAGAAACACTGTTTCTCTTTACACCTTTTTGTTTGTTTCCAAAAAGACCAAACAAGACCTAATGTCATTGTAGATCTATTTATCTAGAAAAGAAAAAATATCTACTCTTGGATCTAGCTCTTCACTTTTGAGGAATTCTGGGTTTAAACAGACCAGAGGCACAACAGGATGAATAACTGGTTGTTCTTTTCTAGCTGTCCTTTTTTGTTTTTCTTCTTTGGTTTAGGTACATTAAGAATGTACAATTCAAAGCCTACCAGAATTTCCATTTTTCAGAACTGAAATATTCATTGCTCCCAAACTGGGTTAGGCGAAAACAAATAAAAGAAAAATATGTTTTTTGTAAGCTTAAATCCGTAATAACTGCAGGCTGGCTAATATCCCCCCTCCAAGCCTTAGGCTGCAAGAGTTATTAACACGTGCCTTGTTCTGTCTCTTTGCCTGTCAGGGACTGTTAGCTCTCATCCTCATTGTCATAAAAGAAGGAACAAAGAGCCCAACAGTCTCAGAGGAGGAAAAGGGCTCAACACAGGGCTGTAAACCCCAGATTTATACAGTATCCCTTAGTAACGGGAAAACAGAGTTCTCAGGCTCACTGGCCTTACATCAGATGAAGTTGGTGGTCTCTCTTTACTGGCTTGTGGCTGATGAGATAAGAATCATGATTTAAAAGCTGTTAGAAAACGAAGAGCATGTGGAATGATGGCCAAAATGATTTGTGGAATCTTGGGGAGGCAAAGAGATTTAAATGATACCCCCTGAGCTCCCTGGCCTGTTCGTGTGGCTGATGGTAAGCTCTGCTCGAGACAGAAATGTGACAATCATTGTCTAGCAGTAACTTAATATTTCAGCCGTGTCTGTTTGAGGCACTGTAAGTAGGCTTTCTTTCTAACTTTATGTAGATTTGGAGCTATGACTTATTGCCTCTTGTTAGGGAGTTGGTTTATGGCTTTCCTTGCTCTGCGAACGGTCTCGTTTCCTTCCTCTGTCTGCGGGCCCTGAGAGCTATGCTTTCTCAGCATTCCAAAGATTTTTCTCATGTCCACCCCACCGCTGCCAACAGACAATCCTGCTGTCTCCTCCCTGCCTCTGTCTTCCACTCTCCCTCCCCTCATTCACGCGATGAGAGCCTCCACTTTCAAAGGGACACTCTCTCGGCGAGATCAGAGGGCTGACCGTCACTTTTAAGTTCCGGTGAGTGGAAAAGGGGAAGAATGATAGAACCCGGGAATGCATTAACTTCAGCAGACTGACATGGATTTGGCTGTCGGTCCATAAGTTTACCACATCTGTGCCTGGCGTCAAATAGTACAGGAGCTCGTGCATCACGGAACCAGCACCCAAAGGACACACCGGTGGAGTCGCTTCCAGTTTTTTTGTACAAGCGATCAGCCCTTGACTCCATGGCAGTGAGAACGGGTTTTTGACACAGGAGCTCAGCTTTTGTGAGAACCCATCTGAATGAGGGCTCGCTCAGCATTCATTTGTATTCTAAGATGTTCTCTGAGGTATCCACACTCCAGACATTTAGCGTCACACGGCCGATGAGTCGGCGCTCTCACACCAGGCTGAAACCTCCTGACTCCTGGATCGCGTGTGAGTCAACAATGGAGTATTTCCGTTTTCAATATCTGAAGTGACAACATAACACGTTGCAGCTTTTAATACAGTTTCCATTTTCCCAAGAAAATCTTGCTCAATGAACACAAAGTTTGAGATCATTCAGAGAGTATATCAGTGACATTCCAAACACTCGGAAACACAACTGGCAACATTGACGAGCTGCAAAAAAATGAAAAAAGAAAGAAAAAGGCAGAGACGGTGTCTGCGCTCTTTTAAAAATGTATTTCCTTTCCCCATCTTGCCCTTGGGCTGACATTTGTATTTGTGTTCCTTGACACTTCTGTGTCCTAAATAAGTTTTATCTCTCAGCATCCTGTTGTGCGAGGGAAGTGATAGAGGAGTTGAGGATGTGTCCGTTTGGCCCCGCTCCCCGTTCTGATGATAAGTCGCTCCGCAGTTCTGCCCCGAAACTCGTGCCACTGTGTTCCATAAACATTACGCCGCGGCGGCTAAGCCTCCTGAGCACCATCTGGTTTCCATCCGCAAACGCATGCCACGCCACCGACATCAAAGCTTGGGAGAAAATTGCCAATGATGTCACATTAATAAGCAGAGAGAGTGGTATTTTTGTGGACGCCTCTCCAGCCTAACGCCACAGCTGGATGTCTCATGGAGTCTTACATTTCTGTTTCTGCTGGAGGGCCATCTGTTGCACTATCGCCAGCATCCTCTTTAACAACCACTCTTTCTCTCCCTCTCTCTCTCTCTCACACACATACACACCCAATCTCTGGGAAGAGAGGCCTTGTTAGAGGGGTGAATTAATAATTCAGTTTGGGCTGATGGATTGGCCACAGGGGGCATTTCTTCTGGTGGGATATGGGCTGTTGTGAGCTGTGTTTTTAGGTGAGTTAGTGCTGGGTGTTCCACTGCAGTCATTATGGGGGCATGGGATGGGGAGGCGGGGAGGCGGGGAGGGGGGGGGGGATCACATACTTGCAGGTTTAGTTTTCCATTTCTCAGAGTGATATTTATGGCGTTGCATCAGCTGTGCTGTGTGAGTGATGTAAGGACAGACGGTCTCCCGACCCCCAAATAGCCGTGGAAAGAATAAAAGTGCGGGGTGCAGAGTTACACGACCAGTATATCAGCAGCTGTAGATAAACGTTGGTGCAGATTGCCAAAGCAATGGCGAGCCTGCGCAGGCTTTACCTGCGAGAGCCCTCAGGAGCAGCGCTCCACAGCGCGCTGCCCTCGGAAAGGTGGGCCAATGCTTTGAAACGGGAGAGCCAGCTGAAACGGCTCTCCTGCCCCGCTCTGCCAAAAGCTTCTGAAACAGGCCACCAATGTCGTCACGGGCACTTTAAGTTGCACAGATGTCTTGCTATTAATGTGACACAGGCTCCTAAAATATTCATTGGAAACATGTGGAGCCTGCCTTTCATTTATTAGGGGTCCTTGTCAAAAAAAAGTTTTTTCCCCCCTTGTTTTATCGCACGACCACGTTCAGTCTTTTTTTTTTTTTTAAAGAAAAAAGTCTTGTAATGTTATCGTGCAGCGTGTGGCAAGAACAAGTGCATGTTTTCCAGTGTCCTTCCCTGTATTGACAAAGTGCTGGGGGAGGAGGAGGAGGCAGGTATAGGGTTTCTGTCTGTCCCTTACCAGCTAAAGGTCTGAGCGCAGCAACTTTAACTGCTGCCTTCTCAAGTGAGGGAGCAGCTGCACTCTGAACCTGAGCCAGAAACCCAGGTGTCTGCGTCCATCAGCACAGCTCAAACGCATACTGCATATAATGCAATATTAAATCCATAAGCTGTTTAGCTCTATAGCTTTCTCTCGAGCACATCTATAGGAGCAGTGGAGTGTGAGGAGCCCCTGCTGTTCTTCAGTTTTTTACCCTTACCTGCAGTAATATAATTCTCTGAGTGTACATGCGTGTTCGTGTGTCAGCAAGAGCTGAAAATGCCTCCCAGATCAGAGGTGAAACGTCTTGAAGAAGCATGAAAGAAGTCCAGTTCCCCGAGCTCTTCGAATTACCATGACCTGGAGGACGGACAGTCCGCAGCAACGTCGCTGCACATCACATTTGCATAACGCCGCGTTCCGCCACCAGCTGACCAATGGGAGCAGTTTCAGCTCAGGGAAAGCTGGATAGTGTAGTCTCAGATGTCCGCTTTGAGGCTTAAATCTAGAACGGTTTCGGCATTTGCTGCTATAAAGGCGCCTGAAAGTGGAGGTGCATTACTCATGCGTAAAAAAGAAAGAAATGAGTGAGAAATCCTTTTCCTGCTCTGCACACGAATCTGTTAATTTGTGACTTAACGTTGGAGTCCCATTGCTTTTTAATGAATAACGAGCGTGCTGCCACATCTTTTGTGTTAAACAGATGAAGCTTTGACAGTACCTCTGTGGTCAAAGCTGATGAAAAAGAACGAGATTCAAGGAAAAAGCCGCAGCTGGCGTGCATCTGTGTTCGCTGGGCCTCGATGTATGACAAGTCGGGCTCTACACTCCTTCAGAATGTGTCGCATGTGTTCCCGTTTTTTTCCTGCTTGCGTGAAAGCTGTTAGGTCGTTAAACTCCTTTTGTAAACTGCAAAGGAGAACGTCTTACCTAGCCTTTCTAATTGCTTCCAGTGAGTGCAAATCAAAGGCTATTGAAGTGCTGTTTGAACTCGACTGTAAAATAAGTGTAATTTGAATTGCCTCTGAGGAATGCGTTTCTTACTATTTTTATCTCTGCCATGTTTTCCCCCAGAACCGACTTAAACGTTGTTGGCTTTTTTTTCCCCTTCGCCCCCCCCAAAAGAGTGTCGAGTAGTTCTTTTTCAGCCCGGGCTGTCATCCGTGTGCTGTGCACATTACTTCCCAGCTCACGCAACTGTTTATGTTCAGAGTGCAGGATCAAAGCGACGGCAGGCGCGATAGCTTAGCTGAACATGGCAGAAAACTGCTGATTGAACTGCTGAGTCCTTTAAGTTTTCGATGAGCTAACATTTGCAGGCATTCGTGACATCATATAATTCCTAATGTTTTTGAAAACATTTTTTCTTAACATTATTAGTTTATCATTTTTTATGCTGGTAAATCCTAACACTTGCTCTCCTATCTAACAGTGTACTCTTTGTTTTTCTGTGCCCTTTCTATGCTCAATCTTCTGTATCTTCTCTCACTGTGGGTGAAGTGGTGGGTAAAGACATGGTAGCAAGTGTTGCACACGTGTAAAGACGGTTTAAAAAGCATCATTGCCCGTATAGCACAGGCTTTTGTCAGGTTTTTCCTGTTGTAACAAAACTCCATCCCTGATTCCAGCTCTGACTAATAAGTCTGCAGACGGCCCCACAGCCCGAGAGGATGATGTCATTCTTTTGTCAGTCAGTGACAGTCCTGTGGGGGAAGAAAAGGTAGATGGTTCCTTTCGGTAAATGATATGACTCATGGTAACACGCGGGCCCTGGCTGCTGCTATCTCAAGTAAATAATATACTGTTGACTGGTGACATCATGATAACTCTATGATGTGTGTTCCGGGGAGTGCAGAGTGAAACAGACCCAGACACACAGACTCCTCACGTAAATTATCAGCTGCTAACAGACATTACAGAGGAGTCGACTGAACATGGCGTTTTTGGTGCGTTTTAAATACGCAGGCACTGCGAGGAAATGTTTGGAAGCTTTTGCGATCTGCTCGCTTTATATCGGTTACATTACTCATAAGGTCCCAAATATGAGAACCGACGGGGAATTACTCATTAGTTTGTTCCCTTTACAAAGGCTGGGTCAGATGTGGAGCTTTTGTTGTCGTTGGCTGGCAAGTCTCAGGATTAAGTAAGACTTCTCAGAAAGGTCTATTACCCATATTTCTTGTGTTTTGGACTGTACTTGACAACCTTTTTTCATAATTCTGATCACAGACTCGCTCACTCTTTATGTAGTTGGAATTTGCTTGTATGTTATTACACTTATTTATCAAAAATCTGCTTTTTGCTTGTGTTTTTCCAGTAACCTTAAAAAAATCATCACAAAAGCTGGTGAATGGAAAAGGCCTGGCTTAAACAAGTACTGCATGCTGGACTAAAACAAGCTGCTTACCAAGAACTGATTATAACATCAAAAGTGTTTTTGATGAAAGGAATGTTTTGAACGGTGTATTTCTTTAGTTGAACACATGATTTTAGTTTGTTTTGGGGGTTTCATACCAGTGTATTTATGATTTGATCTAATTTTTCTATTATGACCAATAGAAATGACCAATTTCGTCTTAATCCTCGGCGTGTTCGCTGATGTTTCCCATCAGCCACCAAATTAAGCCTGACTCTCTCTCCTCTTTTCTGTAGCTTACACCGGGTGGAAAAGCAGCCCAGGCTGGCGTCGGGGTGGGAGACTGGGTGGTCTCCATTTGCGACACCAATGCTGAGGATATGACCCATGTCGAGGCACAAAACAAGATCAGAGGAGCCACAGACTCCCTCACCCTCACCCTCAGCAGGCAAGTCGTCTGGCAGCGAGTGATGCAACAAAATGGGACTTTTATCTCATGCACCCAGCAGAATAAATCTGCACAAAGCACACTCTCTCCTTTATTTGTTCTTGAACAAGATATCATAGAAAACTTTATGTATCTCAGTATGACGGATAGCGGCAAAATGCATTAAGATTCTCATTGTTTACAGTCAACTATTTTACTTCCCTAAAGGGCTCTGAGGGGTTTAACTCCAGATATGAAGAGATGTGTCTGAAAGATAGGTCTGGTCATACGCCGGGACATTTTGAAGGACCACTAATGAGATTTCAATTGTAATTCTGTGAAAAATGGGGCTACTTTGTTCAATATTTCAGGGAATTTGCATGTTCGTGCGTGGACAATTTATTATTATTATTATTTTGTTATTTACAGCTTGTGTGAGTTTTGTCCAGCAGTTCAAATTTTAAAAATGGTATTGCCCCCCCCCCCCCCCACCACCATTTAATTCTCGTCCCACTAAAAGAAACCCTGAGTACTTTACACCGTGCCTCAAGTTCAAAATGAAATAAAGAAAGTTCCGCCAGATGAAGGCCCCCTGTTAGTCGTGGGTCTGGAAATCTTTTAATTAGCAGCCGAAAAGCCTCCTACGGGCAGCACTTACACCTGCACGTCTCGCTAGAAATTCTTGACAAAGTGTCTCTGAGAAAAGAAGGGCAGGGAAAAAAAGTTTCATTTGCAGGTTGATTATAAGAATAAAAGATTTTTCTCCCAGAGAGAGATGAAATGTAATCATTCAAGCACCCTAAGCCTTCAGAAAAATGAGAAAGTATTGACTTGCGACGTAATAAAGATGAGCTTGCTGCTGTCGGGGGACTCATTTTGAGTTTTCTGATCCTCACACGTAATGGGAGAAAAGCTGTTATCTTGTTCACCTCATTGTTGCTTACGAAGAGACACTGCTTTGAAATTCCTACACATCTCCCTTTGCTAACTTAGTTTGATAGAGCATCAGTAAGAGTATCTGAAAAGTAGCAGAAGCACCACTTTGTAGACTTGGGTATCCTGGGTTTTGCCATATCACTCCACACATTCCACTCTTATCATATTCATACGCCGTAGACTTCAATACTCTGACAGCTGAGTCTGGAGGAAGCAGCCTTTTCTCCATATTCAGCACTGAGAAATAAAACTGTTAAAAAAGTAATAATTGAAAAATACAGCAAAGCTGAAACTGTAGTTTTCCTCTGAAGCAAAAGTTCTCCTCTTGCTGAGCATATCGTTTGGGTTTTTGAAGTAAAGATCTGTCTTTGCTCTTGCCTGAATCCCATAAGGCAATGGGGGAGATTTTTACCGAGCTTTAATAAGCCGGTGTGTTTACTTAACACCAGTCATATTTTTCCTCCACTCTGTGGTTTCCCTCATCTATTTCTCATCTCCTTGTGGATTCCAGCTTTTGTAAACATTTCACATTCTTCCACGCTCCTTTTTTTGTGCACTGATGACTCCCCACCGATAAATCCCCAGTCCTCCTCCCTTGATCTCTCCCTGTCCTGTTGTCATTATATTGAAAGAAAAGCAAATGTTGTTGTCCTGACACACCACTCAGATGAGCTATTGTCAGTTTTACTTATTCCTGTCTTGGCTGCAATGCACTTAGGGCTTATTTCTTTCCATTTTCTTTTTTTTTCTTTTTTTCTTTTTTTTATGTCAAGAGAGGAGGACAGCTGCGCTGTGATGAGATATGGTTTATTGTTTGGTTTAGTGTCCCGTTTTGTTCAACACCAATGAGCATCTTGTGCCTTTTCTTTATGGCAACGGTTTGGACTCTATCAGATCCTCTTGCCTAGGGAGCAGAGTAAAAAGAAAAAAGAAAGAAATATGTAATGTGGGTAATATATCCTGGGCCTCAGACGACGGAGATCACGCAGCATGTACAGGATCACATTAAGCCCATACTTCAGTGTTTGGGTGTCAGTGAGTGGCCCTCTGGGATGTGGCTGGGTTATGTTTGATGTGTGCAAGGTTGATTACAGTCTCATGGAGGATTTCTCTGTGGTCGGATTTCTGACTTTATCTGACATGAGCTCGAAAGCCCGGCATTTGCTGGCTAAAATAAGTGAGCCATGATATGAAGGGAAATGATCTCATGCTTCGCTCGCGTTCGGCTCCAACGCAGGTCAGACCGGGCCGCAGAAAGCTCCCTTCTTCCAAGAAACGGTGATTTAATCACCCCCCAATCCCGCTTGCCAAGGTAAATAGTCACAGAGCAGCCATCAAAATGCAGGCCCGATATCCTTGATTCCATTTGACTCATCAAATCACGAGCCAAGTTGATCTAAAGCTCCATGAATGTCACATGAATTTGTCTTCCTGGAAGTGTGACCTGCACCGGCGTGTCGGCGCACGTCCTCGTTTCAGCGCCGTCGCCTTCCCGTCTTAAACACCGCGCCGTCGTTTTCTGAGCAGGCAGTGACAGGAGCTGTCACACACTTCTCTCCGTCTCAGGACGTGCTCTGCTGCATTGTGGGTGATGATGGGCAACTTCAGGGCCGGTTCACTCTTTACTCTTACAACACTGCTCCAGTATTCAGACACTGGTTTATGGTGGGGGGCCACCAGCAGCCACAGCGCTGCTCATACAGGACCTGAAATCAAGACGTGAATACTGTGTTTACACTGTACACGGTATTTCTTTTTTTTTTTTAAAAGGATGAAACTTTTATTTGTAGATTTTCCCCATCGTTCGTCTTGTATTGGATTCTGTTTCCATTATCATTAGGGGTTATTAGGATGATGCTCATTGAATAAAGATTAATTCAGGCAAAGCAACAGTATTGAATAATTCTCCCATTTAAAGGCTATTTTATTGCGTTCAGGGATTTCATATTTTAAGTTATAATTCAGGTAATCAGTCATTGTCACTGTATCCTCTCTTTTTTTATATGTTGTTCATGAACCACAGTTCACCTGTGGAATACATTTGGTCCGTGTTTGACAGTTTGCTTTTGTGTGTCTTTAATCTAATGAGATTTCTCAGTGTTTTAATTACGATCTCTGTCTTTTCTTCCCTCAGAGCTTTCAAAGCCAGCCAAGATCATAAGGTAAGCGTGTATTTGTTTGATACCGTGAGCTCACCTCCGTGTGAACACCTGGGTGATTTGCTGTGGTGTGTTGCTTGACTACAGTTGCTTTGATTTGGAAGCTTCCTTTAATCTCGACTGGCTGTTGGATTCAGCTCTGCACTGTGTCACCCTGTTTTTAAAAAAACAACTTTCAGACCAGTGGCCTACATTATCCATGCCCCGTGCATTAGCTGAACACCAGTCAGTCTGTGAATGAGTTGTTTGCTGGATCAAGTGTTGTGAATGTTGCTTTTGGAATTTTCCGTCGTTTCCTTTGTTGCGCCTTGCACAATCCCCAATACCAGATAAGTACTGATGCATTCAATTTTTCCATCAAGCTTTTTGGCAGCCTCCTGCTCAACTGATTGCAGTTTTCATAGCACAATGGTGCTATGCGGTGTTTAGTGAGGAGCATACAAATACAAAGTCGATGTTCCATTTTAGTAGGTGTGCTTTTGCAGCCCATGCATAATGCTCAGTGAGAAATCTCATTAGTTTGAGATGCCAGTAATACATGACACTCTCTCACTTTAAGCATTTTCGTTTTAACACAGCAGCAGATTGCTCCGGCCAGTCCTTGGCTGACAGCCAGTCCAAGTAAAATAGCAGGGTTACACTTCTTAAGCATTTCTTCTGTGTGTAAGAAAAGAAAAAAGCCAGTAGGCTTTCACAGAGCTGCTACTCAAGTGTACTGTAATCATTTGCTGTACGAGTCAGGAAAAGCTCCGGATTGTGCAACAGCAGAACTTCCTAGTGTGTCAGATGTCTAACTGCATGTCGTGCCTGTGCTGCATTGTCTTCCTCTCCCTCACACCCACAGGACTCGCTTCCTACGGTTTCTGCTCAGCCAAAATACTCCTTTGCGCCAAGCACAGCCATTAACAAGATGGCGCGGCCATTCACAGCAGGTGGTGGTAGCGCCAACTCAGGACCTGCGATTAAACCCGTGGCCTACTCACCTAAACTTAACACTCCACGCTCACAGAGCCCCGCCAGCACACAACAGCCGCAGAATGGGTAGGTGGAAAAACAAACACTCGTACCTTTGGAGCTGCAATGTGACTAATGTGATTTTAATGGTGCTTTTCAACACTCATTATTTTGGCTTCCGTTTAAAAAGGGAAAGCAACTCCATCAGGATGTAAGACAATGTGCTCGGGTCATTTCTGCTTGGTTTTGCCAACACTGTCGCCCCCTAGGACACACAACGGGAAAGATTAATGCACCCTATGTCTGCTGACTCTCTGCGGAGAAGAATATTAAGACACAAAATGGGAAACATGAGATGGGCCATAGATTGATGAGATGTATAGTGTATCATTTCAAGCTCTGGAGTTGTTAGTCAGCTTGGCTGAAATGTGTTTGAAGCACCAACTGATCTATCTCTGTGTGTGTATATATAAGATGATGAAATATATGCCCTGGTACATGGATTATTGATGGATATGCCCGTTTGCAGTCACTGTTCTCGTTTCATCGTTCACTTTCCCATCTTTGGGGAAACAAAGTTATAGAAAACATGTCAGGAGGACATCTGCACAATTGATACATGAGCGGAAATGCAAAACCTGAGCAAATGGAAAAGAAGAGGTCACTTAGGAGGTCTCATTAAGACACTTAGACTCTCGAACATGAGTGAAAATGGTTTCACTTTGCACAAAATTATCTACTGTGACATTAGAGCAGCAATGCTGGAGGAGATTGTAGCACATTATACTATGGTTTACGTTTTTAAAATGTTTACATGAGAATTTATTCAAATTCATAGTGAACAGCCACCTTTGGTATGATCAGATTCAAGAAAAATGCACAATCAACTGTGTTGATATTTGATTTGTTTCTGGGTTTGTTTCTTCCAAACCCCACAAGGATTCTTGGGTTGGGGATTCTTGCGCCAAGTCAGAAAGTTGCAGTATGGCTCAAAAAAGTCTTAAAGGAAAGGCCAGGCCGCTCTTCCTCTAATTTGTGTAATGGCAGTGCTCTGACTGCAGCTGCTGGTGAGATGTGGTCCGTCGCTGCATTTAGCCTCCCTCATAAATCCTGCCGAGTTCTCACACAGCTTTTTACGCGCACGCTCCAGAAAGACTTTGTGCGTGTGAAGCTTGTACGGAGATGGCTAAATATTCCCTTGGGAGGAAAAAAAGAAAAAAAGAAGAGACCCTCGTCAAAACTGTTCGGAGAATCATTTCTTGTGATCTCCACAAAAAGCAGCAGAACGCTAGCAGCCGGTGTTCAGCGTGCCCTGCCCTGACAGGCTAAAACGGGTTTGATGATGGGTTGTTTGTACAGAAATTGCGCTGACAGCGCGTCACTGCTGGGGTATTTCTTATTATTTATAGGGTATCAAAGCACAGCCCAGATTTGTCTGAGCGCGATTTAACGGAGATCAATGCCAGGGTTTTTCTTTATCTGTGGCAGAAACCACATTTACATATTTCCCGAGCATTCGTGCAGATGGGATGAGAGGACAGCAGAAGCAAAGGTTCTGTGCCAGTCGACTGAGTCATTTTGGGGTGACAGCAGACGATTTGACAGACAAGCGGCGCTCTGTTTCTCTCACAAAGCCTGTTGACAATAACAGCACGTCTGTGTCACCTCTTGCCTGCCGTCTGCATTTTGCTGTATCTTCTTCGATCTCGTGTCCAACCTTTGTCACGTATCGACGTTTTCTGGTTCGTCTTCTCCCCAAACTGAGATCTGACCCCTGTCTCTCACTCTGTGCTTTCCTCTTCTCTTTTCGCTCCACAGATGGAAAACCTTGACAAGTTAGTATATTTCTTTCCCATAATGTGAATTGAACGTTTCTTGTTTGCCCTTTGAAACCCCTTTTTTAATATAAAATTTACAGTTAATCCCCTGGTAGGCTTGTGATCATGTGGTTTTACCCGTCTAGCACCTAACTGTGTCCTCTGAATACTGAAGAGCTGTTTTTAATGTTAAACCCAGACATTTACCATCAGACCTCTTTGTTATTGACCGTTTTCTGTCACAGCCAGAGCACAGTTTTCCAGTTCCTAACTCACAATCCTTTATCTACTTTTTTATTTTATTCTATTTTATTGGTGTTTGGTCTGTTCCACAGGGCTGAAGCTACTTATTATGACGATATCTACCAACAGTCCAAGTAAGGGGCAGCTGCATGCTGGCTGGGCTGTCAGCTTAGCAGATTATTGTGGTCAGGCTGTTTCTGAAAGGAAAGTGAGGCGCTGCGGCTCTTTGGTAGATTTAGTTGTTTGGCTTACAGAACCAAGATGGCAGTTCATTAGCGAGCATTCATCCTTCCTCCTCTCCTTGCTTGTTGATGAATGCGTGCATGTAGCAGCTGACCCAAAGCTGTGCGGAAAGACAAGTTTGAAAGGGACACCTCTTCTTTTGCTGCTACTTGAGTTGTTTTTCCGGAAATGGAAGAGTATTTGCACAAACAGATTACGGACGTCTGTCTAGCTTTTCCAGCTTTTTGTAAATGTGATTGCTAGTGCTGTATTGTAAACTCAATGTGAGCTGCCGTGTTCCTGTGAAAACCGTTGGCATGACAACCGCTGCTTGCCGGATTGGTGCCGAGTTCTGCATGATCCGTTCTCGGTGGCCCTACGGGCCGGGTTGGCGCGGCCTTGCCTTGGCCGCCATCCCCGGGTCGCGCTGACCCCGCCCGCTGTGTGCCGCTGGGTGTGTGTGCAGGCACGGCCTCAGGGTGGAGAAAGTGCCCTGTTTTATCCCCAACGACCGCAGCAAGAAGAGGCTGATCCAGGACACGGAGGACTGGCAGCCCCGCACCGGCACCACCCAGTCCCGCTCCTTCCGCATCCTGGCCCAGCTCACAGGCACTGACTTCAGTAAGTCAGGGCCTGAGCCCGGCGCGATAAGAGAGGGACGGGTCGGGGTCTCTGTTTGCGGGGATAAGCCGTAGGAGAGGGGTGGGGGGGGCGCTGCGGCTCTGATCACAGGGTGACAGCTGAGGTAGCGAAAGCTGTTTGTGGACTTTCCAGCGCCGCAGCTGTGAATCATTCCCCACCAATCCCTATCTATGTGATAAATCAGCTAGGCAAAGCAAAGAACGGCCCTCTTTGATTTACCATCCTTTTGGGACTATTGAGCCCACCTGAATGTGAGCCACACCCACTGACTTTAAAAAGAAACATTTGGACATGATCCACGATGTAACATCAGATATTTACACAGATTATTCAAAACATTTTTTTTATTAAAGATGTACCGGTAACGTTCATTGATGCTTTTTTTAAAAACCTGTTGGGTAATATTATTGGCCTGATGCGACGAGGCTTAATGCTTTGGCAGCATCAAGCTCGTTGGCTCGTAAAAATCCATAAATTAGCCACATCGTTGTTTAAACCGCTGTGTTCAAAGCGTTTAAAGTAGCAGCTTACAGTCCGGAAATCACCGTAATGCTGATTGCATTGTTAGTGTTCTAAATCCCCTCAGATGGATGTATGTCGTGGGGAGGAGGTCTGTAGGGCCTTTTCAGCCTGTGAGACAATCTGACATTTGTGTCTTTCCTGAATCTCTCAGTGCAGGACCCAGATGATGAAATTATGAAGAGGTCCAGGTAAAATTTGAGTGCCACTTATTAGTGTTTGTGTTTGTGCTCTTGTGTGTTTGTGTGGCTGTTTGAGACCACAGCTTTTCCGTTTTCCTCTGCGTATATATGCACTGCTGTGCACATCTACGCAAGTCTGTTAGATGGCATCATGAAGTTTAGAAATTTGTGTTAATTTGCTTTACTGCTGAAGTGTTTGACATTTTGGAAGAGACGGCCATTAAAGAAATGGATTTTTATTTTAGTCTCAAGTTGGAAGCAAAAATGTTTAGAATTTATCCAAAAGCTTAAAAAAAGTGCAAATTATCAATAAATTGTAAAATTGACTAGTTTTCTATGCAGCTATCAGATCATACAGACCTATTTGTCAAAAATGAAGCAACATTTAAGTTTTGCCATTAAGATGAAATCGTATAGTAGAACTGAAGGAAATACATCAGCCTGCCTTTGTGAACTTTAACAGCAAAGGTCACCGCCAAGTTTGTGATGTTCTGAATGTCGCAGAGGAAAACGGCACAACACCGAAAAGCTTTTCTCACATTGGTTGATGTGTAACTTCAAAAGACTACGGTGTGAAAAACCTAGCAAGAATGGAGAATGGTGTGCATGGCAGGGCTTGAAAGGGGGAAGTCACAAGCATCTAAAAACACTAAACACTGCTAACCGTGACATGGTTGATACAGATGGATGTGGGGGAGCTGAGTAGGAAAAGGGAGCGGAACACCGAGTGAAACAATGTGACGAAACCCACACAGAATGAATTTGTGATTAGGAATGACAAGATGGAAGTTATTACTTTTTTAAAAACAACAATAATAATTACTTTGGAAAGTCCTAAAGTGAGTACTATGCAAAACAATCGATATGAAAAATGAACAAAATCTCTCTGAACTAAATGTCCACCCACTCAATTCCTGCTGGAAACCAGTGAGTGTTACCTGTTACAGTTGTTGCTGGAACGTGTCATCATGGCCCACTAAAAGGGCTTGCTTATATGCTTTTGAGATCAACTAAGAAGAGAACCCGATTGGCAGTAAAATAAAATCTGCGTTCTGACCTTCGAGCACCATTACTTGATGTTTTGTTACCTTGAGCAGAGTCTGGGTTTTTAATCTTCCAGTCTTCTGTTGTTTCTTTAAAGCTCAAAATTCAGTCATTTTTCAGTCTTTTAAAAAAAAATATATATTTTTAGTAGAGACACTTTGGAAAAAGGTAGCTCATTGCTCTGTGTGTGTCTTGAAAACCGTCCAGTCATTCCTAGATTTAGTGTTACAATTACTTAAGCCTACTAAAAACATGACATTATGTGCTTTGCAGGTCTGGTTTTACATCTCTGTGCTGCTCTACTCCTTAACTGCTCTGTCATCTTGTCAATTTGTGCACTTTGCTCCCATTCTGCTCCCCTGCTCATTTCATTTATTCCCTGCTCTGCAATTCTATTTCCTCCCTGTCTCTCTCTGTTTTCATATCTGCGTTGCCTGCGGTCAGGGAAAAGTTCCTCACTGAGATTCAGAGTCCTCGCTACGCTCGTCTGAGGGACTGGCACCACGACAGGTCTGCCCGTGCCCTTAATATCAAATCCTGAGCAGCTAGACGCCACCTGGACGCAGAGACTGCAAGCGACATCTGCGCCCCAGTGACTACGTAACAAAGATGACGACGATAGCAGACTGTCAGATGGCAGTGAACAAGCTCCCCCTCCTCCTACAGATGGGGTGAAAAAAAGAAGTTTGGGGAAACAAAGAAAATCAAACCAAAAAAGAATCATAGCCTTGATGACAAAGCCCAAAGTGGAACCTTGCATACTGAGCCTAAGTGTAAGATCTCCCTCTGTATCTCTGACTTGACGCCGGTTTTCCATTTCTTGCCGCATTGCTGGGAGTAAACTTGTGGGAATTCTAACGGTGAAGTTCAGAGCTTCCTTTGATCCGTCTCTGTTTGCCTGTTTACATTTATTTAGCCCTTAAGTTTTCATTTCTGATCTCCTCATCTGATAGGCGCCTCTAACTATAAAGAAAAGTAAAGGAAGACAAATCTGTGCTTTTGTTTATTTTTGTTTTTTTTTTCCTGCTGTCATCACTAATATCAGAACTATATAAAAAAAATCTGAAAAAAGCTACTCATGTTCTGTCCTTTCTTTCATGTTTTCTTCTTCTTTATTCAGATTTTGAGCTTGGTTTAATTTTCCTCTTGATAACACTCTGTTTTTTCTGTGTTCGGATCACCTCAGTTGCTTAACTCAGCCAGTCCAGTGAACAAAAATGATTATGTAGAAGCAGGACTTCCTCAGTATTTGCGCAGGCCTGAATTAATGGGGTGTCTCCTCGGAGATCAGGGTTCAAGGTTTACTTTTATTGCCTCAGAGAAAATTGTTGTGCACTCGGGCATAAAAACAACAAATGGGCACACACACACTCACACACACAGAGCAAATAATACCTATCCATAAAAGATGGAGCCGAGCAGTGAGTGAGGGCGGGTTTTTGTCCTTTTGCTCTGGCCCGAAATAAACATATGCGAGTGTTCAGCATGTAGTGCAGAAAAAAAGACCAGTGTTGCCACATTCATGTTTAATCACGATACACGCCGCTCCGCTGTCCTGCTGTACTCAAATGCATTTTTTCTTTATTTTCTTAAACTGTAGCGTAAGTTGGAAATCCTATTCTGAATATTTAAGTTGGAAATGACATCTAAAAGCCATTCCAAACAAGATGAAATATACATTTCCTTCTTTTTTTCCATTTCTTTCGGTGGCCAGAGAGATGTATCCATGAATTTGAATATTTCTAGACCTTGACTTTGAAGGCTACATCCCTCAAGAAGCCATGGGACCAGGACTTTTTGCAGTTTTTCAACATTTCACATTGCTTTTGTAAGAGCTCACTTCTGATATTCTATATTCTCATGAGATTTTAGTCATGTTTTCAGAATCCAGCTACGGCCCAGAGATGTTGTTATAGAAGCATACCACCTTCATCTTGGCTGTTATGACAACCAAAGAAATGTGCCATCTTAAGGAACGTTTGGATTCTATTGTCGTATTGAGTCAGATAGTTTTGCCCAGAAGAATTTAAATGAGAAAGGGAGCTATTTTTGTCATATAACAATGTGTGATGTGTAACTTTGTCCTTTTTAGTACTGATTTAACTTTATTAGTTTTTCATTTTGAACTTTTAAAACATACTTTAAAAGAAATATGTTTCATCTTAAAATAATGAATGAATATTGCCCAAGTTGTTCATTCATGGTGAAAATATAAATAGTACGTAGTGCAAATGAAATCTGATTTAAAAATGGCACATTCTATGGATTTCCTGGTAGAGATGCAGCCACTTTGCCCTGCTGGGTTCATGAACGTCCTGATTCTCGCAGTTTGGGGGTGACGCGTCCCTCCTCGTTTCTCAGCATGACGCGTGCCACAGGAGTGGAAACGAGACGGTAGAGCTGAAACCGAAATCCCAGGTGCGAATAGGAAGAGCCAAAGACTTAAAGAGGGGGAATAAAAGCGCGATGTGGGAAATCGTGCACCTGCATGGCATCACGCTTCTTCTTGTTAAGAGGAGAGTAGTAAGCGGTGGAAATGTCAAGGAAACACGAGCCGGGTCCCTCCAGGTGGGAGGAGGCCGCTGTGGAGGATGTTCTTCAATTTGCACCTGCAACCTTCACCCGAGCGAGGTGCAATCTGAGAAACCTCTGGACGTTGTGCGAGCCCCCCCGGCCGCTGGCCTGCTGCCAGCGCAGGGCAGCTCTGCGGGGAGGTGAGGCCGGGGCCACGCCGTTGACCAGGCCGATATTCTGCGAGTTCTTAGGTGGAGTCCCCAAAGAGACAGGCGTGCCAGCGCGCCGGGCAGAGGGCGGCTGACCCAGGGCCCGCGAGTCAAACTGCCTGAAACCGCCTCTGGCCTTCTTTTAACCCGGCCACAACAGATCCCTCTCAGCCGGCAGTCTTCTGGCCCAGCTTTGCTGCATTTTTTCCTCACACAAACCTCCATATTTAGGCGTTTTTTAGAATCCTTCAACGAGCTCTTAGTTCCCCGCTGCGTCTGCTCCACAAGCAGCGTCAACATTGTCATTATTTCTTCGAGTGTGCTGTCTTTTCTAAATTACGCACTTTGTTTCAATATTTTTTCTTTCTGAATTGCCCCCAGGTTATAGTAACTTATTTCCATCTAAGTTTTCGCTGGTGTGTGTTTGGATGTGTTTTAAGGGGAATTGAGAAGCAGACTAACCCAGATGTAAACTCTACCACTGAATGAGGCTGTCGCAGGGTAATTCATTTCACATTTTCCATCTCTTTTTGGCAAATGAGACGGGATTTCATCATCTTTCATTAGTATACTATCTGACACACTTGATGTAAACATGGGTGACGCCTGAGGAGGTGTTTTTTTATTTTATTTAGACAGATTGTTTTTCTCCAGATAAAATGTCTCCAGAGCTCACAGATGGGATCAGACGCTGTTTTTCTCTCTCTGTCATGGTTTGAAGATTTTCTGAATATAGAGACGCTTGCTGCGGGTAACAGAACTTTGGAAAGAAGAGAACTCTATTTCGACAGTTCTGCTCACGCGGGCCTGAAGTGAGCGAGCTCTTCTGCATCCAAAGCTGTCTGCACGCCGTGTCTGATGGGCTGCTCTTCTTTAAGCCTGTGAATGATGTCGATCAGTCAAGAAAGGTGTTGGAGCTTCTTTATGTTCTCATTAGAAGAGAGCCTCCTTCACCTTCTCCACGCTGGGCCCGGTGTGTTTACTGGATGCACATCTTGGTTGTTGAAAGTTATTGAATTGCATAATTGATTTTTCTCACATGGAGTTGCATAATCTTTAGAAATGGGCTGTCAACACTTTTAAATCTGATGGCAGAAGCTCAGTGTATTTCATCACTTGGGGGAGGGGAGGGGGAGTCAGACCATCTTATTTTGCCAGTTGTTATGCAGATGCTGAGCAGCGCTCAGGTAATAAGGAGAACATGACTGTCCAAATCCACTGCACACATTCACAACTCTGGTTTAGTAACCATGGTTACTAAGATCTGTTTGCACCATCTGGGTCTTTTTCTAATTAGTCCTTTTTCCCCGCAGCCTTGAGCCAAACCCCTCTCCTGCCAAGGCCCAGACTGCAGATAAACCAGATGGTGAGTTTCTGCTCCGGCCGATGCGCAAAACTAACCCCAGCAGCGTCCAGCGCTCCCGGATGCTCCTTCTCAGCTGACCGCTGGTGACCGCTGTCGCATTTACCCCCCCTCCGCCCTGTCCCAGGCTCCAAGACTGCGGCCGCGGGGAGCTCCGGTCCGTCCTGCAGGCCGCCCTGGGTCACCGACCCCAACTTCGCCGACCGCTTCCGCCCGGACAAAACCAGCACCGTGGTGACCCAGCACCAGCAGCCCGTCCAGCCCACGCCCATGCAGAGCCGCAGCTCCATCCTGCAGGCGGCGCAGCAGGCGCCCGAGGACAGCGGGAGGACCCCGCTCTGCGGGGCCTGCAACAAGATCATCAGGTGAGACGTCCTCCTCACAGGGAGCGGATAATGTCAGCCCTTTAACGCATCACGCATATTTTAAGATGGTTAATATGCAGAGTTGACAGATTGTGCGTCTGCAGCAAATTAAGTCCGTCAGCATAATTCACACAGTCTGGCGACATCTTTTATCACAGAGGACAAGCATTATCCTGTCATTTCACTGATAAAGAGAGACCTCACTTCTTATTCCGGTCACTGTTGCGAGCAGCCAGAAGGCAGACATTCCAGAAGAGGTAGAAACAGGCCTCCAGTTTTCAGTCCTGTTTTCCCAAAGAGGTCAGCGTATCCCCCCCCCTCTGCTCCCTCCCTATCAGCTGTAGGCGTTTTCCTGCTGAGCTCCACGGCCGCGGATCAGCGCTCAACACATTCGTGAGGATAAGGTGTGTTTTTCAGAGGCCGGTACCTGGTGGCGCTGGGGCGTTCGTGGCACCCCGAGGAGTTCACGTGCTCCCAGTGCAAGCTGGTGCTGGAGGAAGGGGGCTTCTTCGAGGAGAGGGGCTCCGTCTACTGTACCAAGTGCCACGACAACCGATACGCACCTAACTGTGCCAAGTGCAAAAAGAAGATCACAGGGGTGAGACCTTTTTGTCTATAAACGATTCTACTGCCTCAGCTGGTGTTTTATTCTTGTCTAAAGGGGTGAAAGAATGCGTGGCTGGAGGCGGATGTGAAATAAAAAGTGTGTTTTCTCTTCCTGAATCAGGAAATCATGCATGCCCTCAAGATGACCTACCATGTTCAGTGTTTCAAGTGCGCAGCCTGCAAGAATCCCATCAGGAACCAGGCCTTTTACATGGAGGAGGGGGAGCCCTACTGTGAGAGAGGTGAGAGCCACCACTCGTGCGCAATCAGTTCAAGCTACGCTCCGGAAAGTGCTACTTTCAGTCTCTGAAAGTCCTCCTTTCGCAGATGTTCCTCAGTAACCCTCATTTCATCTGTGAATATGCAAATTAGCCTCGCCTGGCATCAGGTGCTCGGCTTGGCTGTCACTCCTAAAGGCCTGTAGGTAAAGTTTGGGCTTTGTTTGTTACAGACTTGACAGCCTGCTGCTCTTTTTACACATTTCCAGGGCTGCTTACTGCACACTTAACTTCAGATAAAGCCTTCGTCAAACTGCCAGCTATGACAGACTGTAGCAGAAGTGGAAATGCTTGGGCCCTGTGCTGAGACCTTATTTGTCTCTTTATAGATACACATTGAATGTCTAAGCATAAAAAGATACCACGGGGACACGTTAAACAGGTTAAAATTCAGATTTTTTTTTTAATTAAAGGGGTCTCAGCTGCACATTGTGGAAAGTTTCATGAGTAGTCATGGCGACAAACTCTCCAAAAAGTCACACTTATGTGGTTATAAAAGGAGCTGCTGGGGGAAAAATAAAACGGTTGGAATCACTTGCCATGTCCTCTGAACGGACCCACTGAAACTTAAGCTGTAATAGGAAGTTTAATTCCAAAGCTGATTTAGAGCCAAACACAGTGATGCCTCAGCAGAAAATAGGAAACATTGGCAAAAGAAAAAGTGCGCTCCAAATGGGAGTGTGCAGATTGATTAGTTTCAGTGCCACTCGGGGAACATCTCGACCCGTGTAAGAGGCCCTGTAACTTCACGCATGGATCAAGTCGCCCCTATTTATGATAAATCTGCTCTGGCTGGATGTATGTGTCAGAAGAGAGCTTGCACCCCAACGCACAGCCTTATTTACTCGATTAAAAAAAATAAGGCTTTTTTTTTCTCCAGCTATCTGTGACAGACTTTAGAGCTGTTGGCTGTGGGAGTTTGTGTTTGTGTGAACCTGGCTGTGCAGACCGCACTCCATCATGATGTTTTCATCTGCGCTAATCTGTGCGGCTGCAGTCCGCTCCATACATTCCTCCGTGGGGTTTTATGAACGGGGCACACGCCTCTATTATGCCATAAATGATTTAGCGGAACGGCGTGCGTCTGGCTCAATACTGAGGCTCTGAGGCGAGCCGTCGCTTTATCGGAGGGCAAAGCCAGGAACCTGAGCACTCACACTCCGAATAACGCCTTTAGCACTGATAAACATTCTGCTGCCTCAGCATCTTGGAGGGATTGTACAGCTCTCAACCACTCACTCTTGAGAAGCGGCGCTACAAGCCGACACTTTCTCCGGAGTGCTCGTGATGAAAGAGACTGGCAAATCCAGTCAAGTATCGGGAGCAATTTCCCCTCATCCTAATCCCCCCCTCCTTACTCCATGGAAAGGGCCTACTGCTGAACAAATATCTTAACGGCCACGTTATCCGATGGACACTGAGGAGAGGAGCCACTGTTTGGCATCAGCACAGCTTCACCCATCCTCAGTACCTCCACTCAATCCCCCGAGTGGCTGTTTAGTGAGATAATATTCATCCTCAGCAGCAGAAGACGGAAGTCACAGAAGCCTGTTGACACTCTTTTAAAAAAAAAAAAAAAAAAAAATGTAATAGATGTGAATATCATTTTATATTTCCTCTCGCTTCTTCTCCTCTCCAGACTACGAGAAGATGTTTGGCACCAAATGCCACGGCTGTGACTTTAAGATCGACGCTGGCGACCGCTTCCTGGAGGCCCTGGGCTACAGCTGGCACGACACCTGCTTCGTCTGCGCCGTAAGTCGTTTTGACCGATCCGGCCTCTCTCCGGCCCCTATCTTGTGTCCGTCCCATCGCAGTGACACCTGGACAACCTGCCCTCCTCTCTCAGCCTCAAACGTCCCCCTCACTCTCCGTCTTTTAACCCGCCACCAGCTGTCCCCGTCCGCCGCTTCTCGTCCCGGGAGGCAAACTGAGAGTGAATCCAGTGGGCTTGTCTGCGCCGTCCAGCAGAACTCTGTGCAAATTCACATAGTCGCTGGATAAGTCTGATTTCCCCTCAGCCCTGGTTTCTCAATCTGTCTCTCTGTCTGTCTTCTTTCATCTTTAAAGCTCTGCCAAATCAACCTGGAGGGTAAGACGTTCTACTCCAAGAAGGATAAGCCCCTGTGCAAAAGCCACGCATTCGCTCCGGTGTGAGGGAGCCCTCCCCGTCTTCAGAGGAAGCAGCACTCCTCTCCTCCGCCTCCTCGTTACCCTCTTCCGCCCTCTGACACACTCTGCATCCCCTCCTTGCCCACCACACACAGAGCCCCGCTCAGTCTTTTTTCTTTTTGCAGACTTTTCTATGCTCACGGCCGCTGACCCACTGTGCCTTATGGGTCACTTCTGATGTCACTGGCTGCAATACTAACAGATGCGTTGCAACACTGGGAGCAATCAAGGAATTATTTCCGAGCTCTCGCAACTTATTGATATTCCCTTCGAGTTTCTACATCCAGTCACCTTCAGCTCACCCAGATTTAATCGCCGTCGTAAAGAAGTCATTCCTGTTCAGTCTACAGTGACATCTTCCAAGTTCAAGGAGTCAGCGAGCTTCTAATAATTGCACATATTGCAGTAATGATCTGCTTCTTCTCCTGCATTAAGCGTGGGGAGGTGGTGCCCCCGCGCTGGACCCCGACCCACACACTTGTTCTGTGTCCTTAATGAAACGGCGGTCAGTCCAGCAGAGGGGGAGTGGCAGATTTCTGCTTGAGTGAGCTCATCCTCAAGACTTTGAAGTAGAGTACGTGTCACTGCCGCTTCAGTAAACCTGAATCTCCCGTATGCTTGTGTAGAAATCCTAAATTTGTCTAATTTTTGAGTCACTGAAATGATTTAAGAAGATGATTCTGGGTTCGTTTCAGATTTTTCACATTCCGGTAGAGCAGACATACATTTTTAGATTACTTTTTTTAAGTCTGCAAAAATGAATTGCATCTTTTTTTCCTTTGTGTTGCAATGATGTTGTGATCTTCCTTGGAGTGGAGTACTTTAAGCCATTGTCGATTATGTATTTATATTGCTTCAGAAATGGCATTTAAGTGTTTTAATAGCTGCTAAAAGTTTCAAATAAAACAGTTTATTACCGCAACAGTGATCTTTTACTTTTTTTGGTGGTAACTTATTTTGAATGCTTCTGTACGGATTCCTGCCGGCAAGACAACATCCTACATTGTAAAACTATTTCAAATCTGAACCTATTGAGATTGATTGGCAAGTGAGAGATGCCTTATGCTCTGAGCTCCTAAATTTGCAGAGTAAAATCTGAAGCAACACCTTTGGGGTACAATGGTTTATTAGGAATACTCATGAGATTATCCCAGTTTGGCCTGTTTGTGAAGTGTTGCTGAAGTTTACTATAAAGCAGAGTGTGAATACTAAGATGAATTGCTCTGAGAGTCTGTTCTCTTTTGGTGAACACTTGATAAATTATTCCAATTATTAAGATGCACTTCATAGGGAGCTCCAGTGATATAGTAAAAAAGGGCATGAAATATAGATGGATATTTTCAGGGAGTCTTCTTGATGAATTGGTCCTACACAACACCCTTTCAGAGTTGACGTGTAAATATAACAAAGGTCTATTTGAAAGAAAAGTTTGTTCGTATCCTACTGCTTTGGTAAATTAACTGGATTAATAGCTTTAGAATTAGGCATTAATATTTGCTGTGTGGTTTATTCTTCATGCTACAACGGCTAAATGTCTACCATAAAAGATCCATCAAAGAAGGAAATGCAGATGGAGAACATTTGTGGAATAAATGGTAATACTGTAGATGCCATTTGTCTACAACACTCTTATAAATAAAAGCTGGATAACCAACCTCCCCCACAATGCAATTAGTTTCTAATTTTAAGAATAGAAATAAGTGTGATGAGTCCTTCCTTAATATTAGAATAAAAACCATCAAATCTGCCACTGAAACAACACTGGAGCTCCCACACATCTGCAGCCATGCAGCAACAGCCCGACCAGATCTACAACACTTCGTCCCATCGGTGCTAAAATCCCTGGAGGAGACGGTAAAGACCCTAAATTCATCAACATGCCATTCAGACAATTAACAATACCAACCAGTTTGTGCATCAGACACGCTGATAATGGTCAATACATCACTCTTATCATGCACGTTTCTCAGCATTAAGCAGTTAGGGAGCGATCTCTAATCTTCCCTTGATTGGGAAAGTTCTTGAGAAATTTGAACCAAACATTTTCTTAAGTGCAAACGGTCTTATAGACAGATTTCAGTCTGGTTTTAGAAATAAATAATAATCATGGAATTCATTTAATTGAATTCTATTTATCTGAACACTGAAGTCTGTTAAACATCTGTTGTTGTGCAGCTGGATCTTAGCTCAGCTTTTTATGCTGTGGACCACAAAATCCTTCTGAATAAGCTGGAAAACTGCATGGGGTTACCAGATCAGGTTCTCAGTGGTTCAGATCTTATCTTGAAGACGTGTGCTTTGTTGTTTCCATTGGCGAGAATAATTCTGAGCTTATTCCGCTGACCTGTGGAGTCCCGCAAGGGTCAAGTCTTGGGCCACTAATATTCAACCTCTACGTGCTTCCTCTGGGTCAGACCATAGGTAACAGAAATGTTAATCATCACAGCTATGCAGATCAGATCGGTGTCCTTTCACCAAATGACTCTGGTCCACTGTACTCACTCTAAGTAGAAGCTCAGGTTAGGACCAAATAGGGTGAAAATGCATTTAGCAGCTATGCTGTAAATAGATGGGATGGACTCCCTCTTAATATCAAACGTGCCCAGACTCTGAACCCACCTGAAGATAAACTGAAATGAAAATTTTAAATTGTTTTTTATTTTTCAAGTGAATTTATTTAATGTTCATGCCTTTGTAAACCACTTCCAGTCGCTGTTGTGTGTGAAATGTGCCACACAAATAGACTTGTCTTACCAAAGAAGTCTGGGGTCACAAAACCGAGTGAATACATATTCACTGTGTAATCTACAAACAGCCAACAGCACATGAACTGATGTTAAAGATGCTTGAACAGGAAGAGAAAAAGCCAATTGAAAGCAGGAATCATCAACATTTTCACAGAAGTGAGCAGTGAAAAACAGATGTCTCTGAAGTGACATTAAGTTGATTGTTTTCTTTGCAATGGAGAGAAGATGGAGGCGAGGGAGCCTTTGCCTGTATTAAAGTGTAGATGGTATTTGAGCAGCCACCTCCAGTTTTTCCACTAGACGTTACTACAAATTGTTCCTTTGACATGTAGCTGAACAGGACACTTCCATAATAATAAAAAAAAAACATCTGAAAATGCCAAAAATGTATAGCTTTTAAACAATTTGACATGTAGATATCTATAATGTCCATTATAGTTGATTTGGCCGTTTTTAAAGAAAAGAGTCCAGTCCTTGATTTAACAATATATAATTTATTTACAACAATTTCGGATTTAATTACTATACATACCTTTCTGAAATGTCATAGATAGATATATATACATAAGGCCAAGTAAATACTTGAAAGCACTTAGAAACGAATTTCCAAAATTCTACCCACAAATCCATATCATTGTCCAAAAAGTACAGAAAATCTCCTTTAGCAGAAGTTTTTCCTTTGCCACAAAAGTTTTGACAACAATTTACATCGACAATAAGGAACACAAAAGGTTGGAAAAAAAAACAATAGAAGGATTATACAATTGCATAAGCGCTGTGGCATGTAATAAATACAGCATTTTGACTTGCAGAAAGGCAAGGAACATTGAACCAAGGAACTAAATAGAAAACCATCCACAAGTACAGAAGTCTATTGTTCTTAGTTAAAAAAGAAAACAGTTCTGTTAGTGACAAGGAGGTGCGCTCACACCCAGCTTTACTCACACACATTCGCACAAAACACACACGTCCTCGACACTGAATATTAATGAGTGACAAATATTACAGTGCTGAGATGCAACATCTTTTCCCCGAAACACAAGGGGGTGATCCTACAGTAGAAACTTTGAACAAAGCATGTGTGTTACTGACACAAATCTACACAGAACCAACAGGCCCGGGTTTTTATCATGACAGAAACTGTATCCAAAACACACAGTAATTGCAAACCTGTTGGATGAGTTGGATGTAAAGATAGATGCTGAACATCTTGGCGGCTGGTGAATTACATTACTGAAATGTGCTTAGGCAACACATCCAAGACAATGACAAGGGTGATAAAATTTCACACACAGTCTGACTGTACAACTGCCATGGCTCATCTAAACATGCTGTGTCAACACTGGCCTGTCAGTGTCCAAGAACTTATGTCCTCCTCCTCTGATTAGCCTTCACACAGTCCCAGAGAAGTGATTCAGTACGCATCAGTGACTGCGTCTTCCTTGTATTTAAATGCTTAAAGTTCTAGAAATTAGGACCAACGAAATATGTAGACAAAACGTCCAGTGAAACAGCCTCTAAACCCTTAACACTGCAAATCACTGCTAGATCGCCAAAGAACAGTATATAGGCAAACACATCACGGTTTGGACTTGACAAATGCTGCGCCAGTTAAGTGTCTTTTTTTTTTTTTTGGCTTCATATCAAAATATAATTTACATTTGTTTACAAAGGGATAAAATGAACTGACACATATTACTGCTCAAACAAATGGCATAAACTCGCAATAAGACAAGGAGCAAAGAAAAGGAGAAAAATGAATGATATGAACTTTATGTCCGCTGTTCAGACGAAACATTAACTCAGTCATTCTACGCTAGCGGCAAGTAAAAACAGTGCAGAAACTATGTATTAATGGATACAACATGAGTATGCCGTGGACTCAAACAATATTCAGAAAACTTTGGTTACCAATTCTGCTGATATACAATATGCAAAGTGACAGCACATGGCTGGTATAGAAAAAGTATTTACATATTACATGGGACAATGATTTAGGGCAATCATAACTTCATTTCATAAGGGAATAATCTTAGCGATTCCGTCTCTAAAAAGGTATCAATTCATCTCATGGCATCTCTATATAAAATAGAAACAGTGGTGTAAGTGTTCAAAAAGGGGAGGCATATTTATTACGGGGGGAGAAAATAGCCAGTTCTGAGATGCCATGTAGAAAAACAACAACAAAGAATCACCTCAAACTAAAACAACAGAGGAACATTTCCCTTCCAAAAAGAAAAATCAAAAGTACATTCCGAATATCTGACAATCATAACCGAGGCTCTACTTAATGTTAACGCATGGAATCACAACAGATGCTAGAGGGAACTTTCCCGGGTGTTGAAACAGGAGCTCATTCAGTGTGCGGGGCTTTCTTTACAGCTTTAAACAGACTACTTCACATGCAACCCTGAGGCAGACAGAACTATGGCTAGGTTAGGATCGCTCACACCTCTCCGAAGGACACAGCCGGAACTCTGGTCTTGAACTGGATTCATGTTTGCCTGATAGGACAGATCCATTACTAAGAACTTACTGTGGAGCATAATGCAAGTGTGTGCTGGGAGGTTATGGATTGTTACTTGAATTAGCTGGGAAACATTTGTCATCTTGGTAAGAAAAATGAACAAAAAACCTTTTCAGTTGCAGAGGAGCGACAATATCAATAAGCCACTTTCAGCTTTAATTTGAGATCCGAGCCTCTCTGTGATGTGGAAATACTGTTTGCCACACAGCAAATATTGAATTCCCACCAACGCTGCTGTATGAATAATATAAACAAAGCTGCACAATTACTGTTTCAACATGACTAATCTAGTGAAGATTTTGAAGAATTTGTTGTCACATTTTCTGTGGCAAAGTACTTTACATTATTCATATACTCATACGTTCCTATACTGGAGAATTAATTTAATCAAGGAGAAAATGTCATTTAAGAAATGAGTTTTGACGACATTCAGAGCCCACAAATTTGTGAGTAGAAAGCCTTGCGGGGCTGTGGCTCCTTAATTAGCTGTGAAATCTGAAACTGAAAAACACCACTATGAGAGAGTGGGGTAATATACTGTAACACATGTAATAAAGCTGATGGATCAAAATCATGCTCTTTAAATAGAAATGATTTTAGTGAAAGAACAGTGCTAGACCCACTTTTTCTTGGAAACGCAAAAAAAAAGAAAAAAGAAAAAAAGAAGAAGAATGGATCAGAGAGCCCAAACCTCACATATATTGATTTAGAAGCAGGAAAAGCTTTGAAGTGTCTCACTGAATCAAGATGTCAAGATGTTACATTCACAGTAGTGATGCCGGCTGGACTAAGAAGCGCACACACTAACCAGACAAGACAGGTTTCTGGGGTCTCACATACAATCTGTTTCAATCCTGCCCAGGTACGGGATGTGCTACAAGCAATCAGCGTGTTCAACAGATCATTTACACGTATGACAAACGTGTCACTGCTTTATCGACAGTGTATCTCTGATAATGTCCTGTAGTGAACCTGCTAGCTGCATATGGGATGTCGCCTTTTTTTTTATGACTGACGCCTTCTTAGGTGTAAAACGGATTTTTAATTCAATTAAGAAAATGATATGATTGATTTGCAAAATGAAAATGTAGTTTTCCAGTGATACATTGCCCCTTCTAAGCCATAAGTGGCCCGTTCAACAGAGGGTTACTTTAATGTTATGGTTGTGGACTAATTCATCTTTAAATCTCTGGTAGGAAATAAAGAGTCGCCTCCCAAAACACCAACCAAAGCTTTTAAATTCGGTCTGTCAAAGATTCCTCAGACGGGGATAACGCATAAACGGGTGGCTGTCTTTTAAAGTGAAGAAGCAGGACATTGGGATAGCTGTGTGTCGATTTCTACTGCTGCTATTGTTTAGATGCTTCTCGTGTTGTGAACTCCTTCTCTGCACCAGTCTCTCCCCTTTTTCTGGGTTAGCACTCGCCATCAGAGACCAGGAATATCATGGCTTCCTGTTTGCCAATGTCAGCCATGACGGTGGCCAGCTGGTTGATGTTGCCGGTGTGGAAATGTTGCGACTCCCACAGGTCCAGGATCACAGAGGTTGGGCTGGCTTTGGATGCAAAGAAACTCATGTGTCTGCAGAGTGAAGGAGAGAGGAGGAGGCCAAAGTTAGAGAGAGAGGATAATGAGGGATCGGGTAAGGTGCACACACACACACACACACACACACACACACACACACACAGACCCTTCACTCATTTTTTTCTCCCATAGAAGAGTCTCAGGAAAACCTTTCCGGTGGCTCTTTTATAGTGCTGCAGCCTCTTGTAACTCTGTCACCGTTGGGCTTTATAGTGTGTTATATTGCTCCACCCTGATATGCTGTGTTAAAGTAAAAAAATGATAAAAGTTATAACAACACGGTCCAGCTCTTGAAGCTGCCATCAAACACAAAATGGCCTCATTTGAAGCTCAGCGCCATAACCCCCATTCCTGTTTGATTGATCTCGAAATTGGTCCTAAATCCCATTCAGTAAATCCTATATGGACTTCCACTGTTAAGTCGGATGTGACCTTTTCCATTTTAGGAGCACCACCTTCACAGTCAAACCCAATCAATGACAACAAAGCAGTGGGCCCAGCCAGCTGTGTTTGATGTTGAGTGGGAGCTGATCCCCACAGTACCTGAAGATGCATGTTTGATTTAATGGCCTTTTTCTGTTCTTCAAATGTCCAGGGCCTCGAATGCTCCGCAGAGCACGCACGACATTAAGAAACAGAACAGCACTTGCATTTGGGACAAAGAGAGATTGTGCTGCGCGAGTGTTTTGGAGGGAGGGGAGCGGAAAAAAAGAAGGGGGAAAAAAAACACAACTACCTGTTCTATTCACCTTAAGAGAGGTCTGAGAGCCTGTTATTTTCTGGTATTGTGGACCTGCTGAAGCCGTCTGTGACGGCTACAGACGTGTGACTGCTTTGGCAGAACACACTGTCACTCTGCCATTTGGAGGCAGTTGGATTCTTTAGCACAAACAGCCCTCTCTCTCTCTCTCTACATCGGGCAAAAACAACAAAGACAAGTGACGCTAGGACAAAATGTCTGGAAATAAACCTCTGTGCCTTAATTCAAATGGGAAAAAAAGGGGGAGCCTTGGCCTGGACTCTGACATGTCGGCCATGTTATTCACCTCCCTGTGTGAGGCACCGGCTTATCTTGTACGGCTCAGACACAGCTGTTTCCACAGTTGTGGGGAAAATGTAAAAAAAAAAAAAGAGGTTCTTGGCATTTTAAGTTTTATTGATTGCTCTTGTTCCACTACAGTCAGAAGCAAAAACAGGAATACAGGATGACAGAATGCCAAGAAGCCGCTGCCCTTTCAGGAAAACACGCTGCTAAAAACAGATCAAACAACAGAGAAGTTGTTCCTTCCTGAAGTCTAAATGAGAATTGATTATGTTGAGCAAAACATAGCTAATTAATCCTGTAGTGCATCAATTCCATTTGTAATTAATTTGGATAAATGAAGTTGATTGGCCAAATTAAGTGTTCCTATTTTATTTCATTACAAGGTAGAAATTAAATTGTAGGATGAGGAATCAATGCCGAGCTCCTCTTTGTTACAGGTACTCCGGTGATAAAGTACAGTGACTGAGAGAACCAATTGGTCTGAGGTCGGCACTGATCCAAACCTATTCCATCTTTTCCCCGCTGATGGGCAGCAAGTGTGCAGCCTTTCCAATTATAGCTGTTAAGCAGGATGTAGCAGGTAGCAGTTTAGCTGCAGACTTTAAGCTGCTTACCTGTTTGGGAGGAAAAAACCAAGGTGGGGGTCATGTTTCTTGCAGAAATGATAGCTGTATCCATCAAGTCCACATTAATCCTATAATGTTAGCCGAGTCAAAAGAGGATTAGTTCTCTAAGGCGTTACTTTGTTTGCCTTCAGGGCAAATTTGTTCGAGTTTGGTGAAACACTTCACGTAGATTGATAGTGAAGGGTTTTCAGAAATTAGAGGTATATATAAAATTCCTGTAACTAAACGGTGAGACTGAATGCTCTCTTTCTAAGTAGTGCACGTCTGCTGCTGCACCCTCCTCTTCCTGAGAGCTCAGACAATTGGTGCTTCAGAGCTTTGTCCAAGGTGCCTTTTCCGACACACTCCAGCGATGGTCAGATCTGCAATTAGGTGAGACATTATGTTCCCAGAGAAAAGTCGGTATTTACCTCTCAAGCTTGAGTCTTTGTGCTAGCATTCTCCAGTCCGCTCCGTTGGGACACGGGGCGTCCAGGCTGCTGCAGATCTTCTGCCTGATGAGGTACGGGATCTGAAAGGCGCTGGGCCCCGCCAGAGCCGTGGCGCTACTGTCCATTAACAGAAACTCGGAGTCCAGCGCCCGAGTGTCCTGGTGGAAAAATAACCGTTAAGCACAGAATCTGCAAATAAACACTTCATCACTGGCGCGTTGCTCTAAGTGAGCGCTTATTCCGGGTGTTACCTTGGCGATGTTAAAGTCGAGGCCAAAGCTCTGCCCCTCCCCCTCCACCTGCCACACACACAGTTGGCAGGTGAGCTCACAGGTGCTGAGGCTGAGCCGCTCCAAAGTGAACGTGCAGTGCAGGTACCGCTGGGAACCGTTCCAGATGTGGTAGAAGGGGATCTCCTGCAGAAGAAACATCGAGGAGACGCAGTCAGAGCTGCATGTCTAAAACACACCGAAACAGGACCACCTGCCTGGAGCACAGAGATTATCATTAATTACCCTGATGTAAGCTGCCATCGTCAGGTCAGAATTGGCTACGCAAATCAGAGGCAGCGAAGCAGCAATATTCAAGTACGTAAAATGCCTAAATGTTCCGTTGCTGAGGAATAGAATCTCTAATGGGAATTAAAGCGTGACCGGCTGACTGAGTTTATTACCAGAGATAACAAACTTAGAATTTTAAGAGATTACACACCATATCTGTTTAGCATTTTCATTGACTTAATTCTATTTCTGCATTTATGAAGCATTTCTAGGGCAGAGCTAAAAAATGATGAAACATCATACCGCCAGTTTGTGAACAGAACTCATCGCACAAGTAGAGCATCTACTCAGGATAAAGCTAGAGTGTGTGCCTTCAACTCTATGGAGTGGACCCTTCCCAATGAGGACAACACTTTTACTCTTCTGATGTATATTCATGACTTATTTGAATAACCCAAGAGAAGCACAATCCTGATGGTGGAATTTAAGGCCCCACATACTCCCTGCTTTACCCTGAGTTCAACGGCTAACAAGACCTCGGGTTTAGATGCGAAGCGGGGCTGCAGAACATCCTGCTGGCCAAATGGGGGCACTGTTACCCAGGCAGACCTGACACAAAGTGAGCCGGGTGAAACGCACAAACGTCTTCAAGGCGCTCCAGGGAGACTAAAGGCCCCTTTGACTGCACTGCTGAGAGGGGAACAACACTTCCAAATGAACAGACGCAGTCCAGAGAAATAAGCCTCTGCGCTGGGTGCATTGTTGCCGTTGCCGCTCGCTTGGCACAGTCGGCGTGCTCTCTTTGGGGACCTGGTGCTCAATGCTTACATAGTTACGGCCAGAACATTTTTCTAGTTCTCTTTGAATAGCCCTTGTGTTGCCGTCACTGGGCTGCGGTGTTTCTGGCCCCGCAGGTATGGAGAGTGGGCTCGTTCCAAAATTCAGACTGCAAAACTTCCAGGTGTTCACTTGGAGCTTTATTTTTCATCTGCACTCCTTTTAAGTGAGAGCACCAGCTAATATAATCAATCAGCTTGCACCTTTGGGTTGGTTCACACAACCCCGCTCCGAGCACACACTCTTAAAAGGATGCACGCTAACTTTGCAAGCACAACCCAAAAGGTTCCTTTGACCCCAGTAGGTGGCTTAAAACTCCCTGGGCAGAGGAGACCTTCAGTAATAGACTAAAAAATGCTCCTTTGTGCTAGTCTTTAAAGTCGCCAACTGAAATCCCACCAAAATGTGCTTATTTCAAACCCTGGGCAGACCAAAATGCTTTAAAACTTTCCTCAGAGACTGGCAGACCCTAGATTCTCCCTAGTAATAAAAAGTTGTTCTAAATAACTTGATTCTTTAATATCACTGGACAGCTAATTTCAAGTAACTTTGTTGTTATTCAATGTTTATGCATTTAGCATTGTGACGGAGCATTTTCTAACTGAGAGTAGAAGCATAGCTAATATGTGGCTCAATAACTGTTGATACAATAATTTGACGGATTCAGCCAGGCACTTGTATTACACGTCTGCGCTCCCTCTCTGATCTGGTGTGACTCCCTGCACCTGAAGCCCCCCAGGGCACGCCAACACACCTGGTAGCCAGCAAGGAGCTTGCTCCTCCAGTGCGCCTGGGGCATGTCATGGATGGACAGGCGCAGATTGTGGTAGCTGTCTTTGAAAAGCAGAACGTGAGGCTCGTCAATCAGCCGGCCCCCGAGCTGGCGCTCCATCTGCATCACCTCCTGAGGAGAGAAAAACAAGCGGGGAGAGGCGTCAGGGCTCAGGGAACGCACATTCACGATCACAGTCACAGAGGTAAGTCCAAAAATGAGCAACGCAATCAATAAGTGTGACCTGTTCACACATCCCTCCCTTACAAAAATGTATAATTGGGGACAAGGATGTCTATTCACACAGGAGCAGAAGTAAAAAGAAATCCATACAGACGTCAGCAGCGGCAGGAACATCCAGAATTTAGATTCAAACGGAGAGACGCTTACAAATTCTTCCTCGCTCACACAGGCACTGACACACGCACACACACGCACACGCACACGCACACGCACGCAGCATGAGCAAGAGGCAGGGATGCAGTACGTCTTACCACCCAGTATATAGTTTCCCTGTATGCAGCTGCACAGGACTGGACAGGCCTGTCTCCACAGAGCTTTTATGTCCCCACAAGGCCGATCCCCTGCTTTGGTGTGTGCAGCCTCCAGCAACCGCCTCTGAATGCAAATGGAGACGCCAGCCCAGCTGACTGGCTACCTGGGCCGTGATGAAGTAACTGAACGAGCCATTAGTCAACTGCTCATTGTTCTCGCATGGCAAAACTCCTTAATTTCATTTTTGTTTTTGTGCCAGGAGAGATTTGTAAATGCATGCTTAATATTTTAATCTCTGTGGGACTTGCTCAGCGGACCATTTGTTGCCATCCAAATGACCATCTGGGATGGGATGATAATATCCGCCACATTTTCCTCTGATTTATCAATTCGCCTTGACCTGGATGCTGCACAAGTCATAAAAAATCCAGCTTTTTGGATAACTCTCCCAAGTGCCACCGCACACTCCAAACAGACGAGCATATTACAACAGAGAAAACAGACCTCTGAAATTAGCAGTGTGAAAAGACCTCAATAATAAGATATGTTATTTTAATCTGTCTGAGAGGGAAACAAGGAGACAGCAGAAGGAATGACAGGCAGCCAGAATGTGGCTCAGCGACAAGGAGACATATCTTAAAGACAACAGCAGCAAGAGGGAGATGTGCGTATAGATAGTGGCCATATGTTGAGCACTGCATGCCAGCATGGTTGCCCATGGCATGATTTCAGCAAAGACATCTAATTAAGGAGGAGAATGGCTGTAATTCTATGTGCACAATACAGATTCAATTTTCCCCAGGAACGGGCTGGACTGATTCCCATTATAATGAGACGGAAGCTGTTAATTATCCATTTGGAATCCCTACCTGTGTTATTTGGTGTACCCCCTCCTTCGCCGAATGATCTCTTTTTGGATGCGCTCGGTAACTGAATTTCCCTGTTTACTCAGCGTCTTGGTAATTTCCCCGTATGCTTTGTGCATGTCTTCCTGTTAACATGAATATTACGCCCTTTGCGAATATCCACCTCGAATCTTGAATTTAGATTGTGTTATTGTTTTCCCACCAAAACGAATTAAAAATACACAATTCTAAGATTGGATGAGGCGAGCTGGAATATAGTCCACCCTCCACTACCACACTGGAGACTTGTGATGTGACCCGGCACACTTTCTCAGAGAGGGAAGGTCGGACAGTGGCTGTGAATCAAAGCGTTGAGGTCTAATGAGTTAATAACAGAGGGCAGTGCATTCTCCACAGAAAAGCCCCCTGCTATTATGCCTCTTACAGATACAAAAGGCACATTATGTGGGCTGCCAGAGAGGTTCATTTAAACAGTCCTTAAGCGCAATTATTTGTTGGAGGCGATTAGCATTTCAAATTGGCTGGTGGACTTTGATCAGGTCTCTGACCTACAGACACAGATCTATAGGTCTGTTTGGAAGAGAAATAGTGCAGAATGCCAATTATCTTATTATCAACATCTAGTCGCCAGCATGAATGCTAAGTGGCCTATCCAGCGTTTTGTCAGGTTCAAGGCTGACATGCCAGGATTACAATCAAACAAGGTCTGGGACATGGTCCTCCTGCTAAATGACGATAGCAGCAGGCTTCCAGGGGAAACGAGCACGGTATGGGATAAAGCGCTGCCTCTCTTTAGGAGCGAAAATGTCCTTTAAAAATGACACTGTGTCACTTGCTGTTGTTTATGGGTGTCAAGTGACTGTGAGTGTGTGTTGGGAGTGTGTCTCTGTACAGGATTTCAGCATATGTTCTGGACTGAGAGAATAATGGCCCTCCTTACGCCCCATTATCCTGTTAACAAATGACAGCATGAATGAGCTAATAGATTAGAAGCTAAATTTGACCGTGTTATTTAGGCTTTCTGGGGGAAAACAAAGCAAGATGTTGAATGAGTTCATCAAAGCACATATTAATCATCTCAGAGCTATGTTTTGTTTCTATTCAGTAGTAATAAAAAGCTGTGTCTCTTAAGGCACCTGAACAGCTATGAAGACACTGAAAAGCATGAGACCGGAAAGCTCCTGGGTTAAAAAAAAAAAAAAGCTTTTGTTCTGACCAAATCCAAGATAGCCTGGGGTGTGTGAAGACTGCATTTTGAGTTCGGCAGACCACCCCCTGACATTGGATGAAGCTGGCTAAAGAGCGCGGGCTGGAACTGGGTTAGTGAAAAGAGCAGGAGGAGGAGAGAAGAGAGACAGAGGCAGCTTAACATTTGTGTCTCCAGGTCACCAAAGTGCCCAGCTTTAGCAGGAGAGATAACAGGATTACTGCAATCATAGCCACAGTTTTCTATGACTTCAACACCCTTTACACCCCACTCCTCACCCATCCCCTCATCCTCTTGGCATGGACCAGAGTTGGGAATGTGATGGACTGGGGCCTGTTCCTCTGGGAAACAAGACACACTCATACAGCTAATCTCCTCAGGCTGGTGCTGACAGAAAGAGGTTAGCGGCTGCACCAAACTCACTCTCGCAACAAAAACAGCCTGCCATCAGAAAAGCAATGCAAGCTAAACAAATCAAAGTATTAGCAGAGGCCATATATTAAGAGCCGGACATCTACAAAGCTGCGGCTTCTCCTCAGAGCAAGGTCAGGTTCTTACTTGTTGTACTAGCTTTGTGTAAAATAAACTGATGAGCTTAACAAGCGCTGATGGGGATTATGAGCAGTGTTTGATCGGTAATTAGTCAAGCTACATGCAGTCTGAAACATAGAGGCTTCTCATAAACTTGTGCTCACCCCTCCACTATTAGCCACGCCGAGCCCTCATGTTTAAAAATGTTCATTCATGGGGACGATCCATTTTCAGTGCTGCTCTTTTCAGGCAAATGCATTTGTTTATAGAGAGTAGGAAGGCTATGTGCGCTCCATATATCTGTGTATTTGTCAGCGGGATGTGACAGGCTTTTCCTCTCTGACTGAGAGTCTATCAGTCTGAGCTCCAGTGGCCGTGCCCGCTACAGTCAACTCTGATTAATAACTACAAATAGAAGGGACTTGTCTGCTCAGTAATAAATGGGGACCCTGTTTGCTAGGGAAAAGATGCACATTCTGGCCGATAAATCACAGAGCAGGACGAGAGGAACCACAGCACACAGGAGCACAGAAATATAATATAGAAACAATTTCTCAGTTGGGCTCAGTGATAAAACTGACCGTCTTGTTTAACTTAATGCTACCAATTACCAGCCTGCGTTTCACTGTTTTTTCTCCCCCTTGCATTTCCTATGAGGACCTTTTCCAATAGTGAGATCCAGAGAAAACAGGAAGTGTTACACCGTGAGTGCTGCCTTTCCTTTTTCTGACATGTGAGAAGCTAAATTTTAGTGCCAAATTGTAGCTGGCTACTTTCGAGATAGCAAAAACATGCCAAAGTGGAATCACATTAACAGTTTATGAGCCTTTTTAAACACAAATAAGAATAATCTCTTGAGGTCAAACACTGTGCAAAAAGAATCCAGGAGTTATTTAACCAGCAAGACATTCAATTAAACACCCATTTAACCCCGGGACATACAGTTTTACAATCAAGAGACAAAGAATCAAATGTTTGAGCTTCATTCTATGAATACAAATGTATTCAATAACAGAGTTATTCTTCCGTTTCAAACACAACTTTTAATACAGAGGAACTTCTGCACATTTGAATTTCTGTGGCTGCAAAATGTTAATCGAACATCTAACAATGATGATTAAAGATCCAGAGTAGGAAGAAAGGAAGTAAGGATGAGAAAAAGTCTACGTTTATACGATAGGTGCTTTGTGGGGATTGGAGTGTACATGTTGGTAGACTGATTTTTTACCGCTGAACAGCTGAAATCCAAAAACCTGGAGCTCATAGGGTGGATCATTTTAAAGAACTGATACATTAAAGTTCTGGACTAACTAAAATGGTCCTCCTGCTAAATGACGATAGCAGCAGCATGTAAAAACATCCATCTGAATGTTTTGAGGACATATTAAGGAAATCAAATGCAGCATAAAAAAGGTTGAATGATTAATGGATAAAAATAAACTATAAAAAGCTGAATTTAATTACAAACTGTGTTGCACTACGGGCCTATTACGGTTTCTAAACAGTCTCCTACATAAAACTGAGTGACATAAGTCTCACCTCTGAAATATTAATCTGACAGATCGTGGGTGTTTTTTTTAAACCACTCTACACGTGTTCTTGCTTCCCAAGACACAGACATGTAGGTGTAGGGGAGGAACACTTAGCTATCAGTAAACACAGATATCTATCATTATTGTTTCACTGTTAAAATAAGGATTCTGTTCAGTGGATCTGATCCAAGCCCACACACCGACGTCTACAAATCTAAAAACATCTAAAAGCAGTAACATATTCCAGTCCAGAAAAGACACCTTTGTTGGAAACTTTCCAGTTAATTAGACTTTGGTGATGTGTGTTGAAGGCTTGGTTCACTGCAGGTGTTTCAGTTAGCTGTAAGATGGCAGAACATCAGTGATGCTCTCTCACTGGTCTTGCTGGGAACAACCAAGTGCACAGTGAGGGCTCTACCAAACGGCGATTATGTCTCCTCTGCTGCTGTGCCAGCCTTGGCTGGGCCTACCAAGAGTGGGACACACATTAAATATTAACTTAATTGGTCCCGACAGAGCCCCGCTAACATATGGCACGCATCAGACGGAAATGTCACAGTTTCCCCAGAGCTCTCGTACACTTAGGATCAAAGACAATAACATTGGTTCTAATCTGCTGTAATATGGAGATAAGAGATTTGATGGTACAGTGTGCTCAAGTGTGGCATGCATGTGCGTGCGTGCGTTTGTGTGTCTGTCATCTTCTCTGATGAAAGCCCAGGGAGATTGACAGCCAACTTTGGAGAGAAATGCTCAGCCCCCTCTCAGGCTGCTACCGTCCCTCCTGTCTCTGAACATCTTTCTTTCTGTCTCCATCAAATGTAAAGTCTGCTCATAACACAGGAAATCTGACTTTTTGACTCAAACACAGGGTGCAAAAGTGCAGACTGCTTGAGCTGTCATAAATCTCAGACGCGCTGAAGGTTTTACTGTGGACCAACACAGCCATTCCACTAAACAACCCCCTGCTGCTCCACCATGGCTACAGACCACACTTAACTCTAATAGCAACCATAGTGAAAGTCTAATAATAAATGGTGCATTTTGAAGATAGTGATTAGTGATTCTCCAGGGAAGTTAATCTCCACTCAAAGTAGTGAAAGCACTTGCTAAATGAACTGCTCCCTCCATTATAGCACTAGGAGCCGCGTGGAGTCAAGATTACTTAACAGGGATGACCACATTTTAAATCACTCACTAAAAAGTACAAAGCCCTGGAGAAGCCGTGGCTTACCACAGGAACAGGTTGTGTGAGAGACGGAGAGCTAAATGGACTCAAGGGTGTGGATGGAACCGAAGAGCACGGCAGTGCAAGTGCTGGAGTAAACAAGCTAACATGTCCTTTTCCAGGCTATAGAAACGGATGATAAAAGAAGAAGAGCTAGTTTTTGTGCACTGGAAACCTTCCTGCACCAACACCGTATGCACAAGGTCATTTAAACAGTCCACACTGCAGCAAACAACCAGGTCAATGTTCGGAGTTCAAATAAACATAGCAGAAGTAGTTTTAGTAAATGATCCAGTTTTCACCGCAGATATTCCACATTAAATGTGTATTTTTCGATATTACAACACAGCAGGCAGCCATTTCATGCTGTAGCTGCAAAAAGTAGACAAACACCCAGTGCCTATGCACAGTTTTCATATGCTGTAAAGGTCCCACAGCTGTCCATAGATTGTCCTGGTGGTGCACTACTGCGTGAGGAGGTCAGCCATTACAGGCTGCAGAAGTGGATTCCAGTGGGAAGTGGCACTTGTGGCTGTGGGTGGTGTCAGCGAAAGAGGAACAGCTTAAAGAGAGACAGAGAGGTGTGGAGAGCACAAGAGGGAGCACTGAGGGTTTCTGGGAAAAGATTGGGACAGACTCTCCTTTTAATTTACTAATTAACCATGCAAATGAAATCTTAACAGGCTACTCAGAGGCAGTTCTCAGGGGAGGGAGCATGGCATTAGTGCCTGATTATACCCTGTCCATGTGGAGGGTGAAAAAAGGGAAATATGCTGCTGAACAAAGTGATGGGGAAACTTCTTGGCTCACAGCAGTCAAGCAGAACCTCTGATGGCATGAACGTAATGAAACATCTCTAGGCATCCACACTCACACACGCGCAGATGTATTGTTTCCATTTAAGGAGACACACAGTCAACACATCACACACCCATGAGCTGCATATTGTGTAATCAGGCCAGCAGCATAGTTAATCTTACCAACAACTGTGGTCATGTCCATCTCCAGACCTCACTAGTTTTCCCATATGAAGAACAATGCAACCTTATATATATATATATCTATTTAAGGTGTCACTGGGCTGTTGTTTAGTCAGTGCAGTCTCAGGTTTTACAGAAAATAACAGGCACCTCTGCCATGCCACAACCTACCTTAAAGACGTCCTGAGTGTCGTCCATGCAGTACACTCTGATGTTGTACTCCAGAGTGGAGCAGTACGCGTCTGAGAAGAGCACGAGCCGGAGGCGCTTGGCTGCACCCATGTGCAGCGACTCTCCCACCAGGGCGAATGTTCCCAGCTGCTCTGAGAACAGCCTGCACGTCTCCCCTTCGAGCTGGCAGTAGTAAGGCTCCGACACCAGCTCCTCACCCATCAGCAGGACGTCCTGGAGGGGGCGAGCGGGCAGAAAAACGAAAAACGCACCGTGTGGATGGAAGGTCAAGCACACCGCTTATGTTGGAGGTGAGGGTAATGTGTTTGCCTCAGTGCATGATGTGTGTATGTGCAGGTGCGTGTTGAAAAGGCCTTTGGTTAGGATTTGTAAAATGTGCTGCTGTTCAAAAGACCCCAAACCTGACATTTCCCACTGTGTGACTTCAAAGCCTGAAGTCTTTAAAGTAAGTTTCTGAGAAGCAGTTTAAAAAGTGAAACTTTTCTTCTCCTATTTTACAAATTCCCATTTTACCAGAGAACAGTTCATGACAAACTGACATAAAGACACACAGTCCCCTCCAACAAAGACACACAACCTATAGACCACCATCAATTTACTTAATAATGCATGAACGAGGTACTCAATTGACATGAAAGAAGACTCGGATAGATTCCTGGCACGAATAGAAGGTTCTGGAGAAATAAAAGACTGGAGGTGCAGTAGTTATTGGATTATTGAGATTTCCGGAATTTCCTTCCATGTTTGTTTGAGGTTTGTTAAGAAAGGTGAAAACAACTTGCCAATTTATCTTGAAAACAACGTTAATGGCTGATACTGAGGAGCGTTAAAAAACACTCAGTGGAAGAATTAATTGGTTATTTAATTTGACATGGAGAGAAGGGGGATAAACAACAAATCTAAGTGTGTATTGGAAACAACACCTTGAATTTCCTGTCTTTCCTTATCACAACAGCATCACTAATGAGGACAACAAACTTGTGAAAACATCCAGTTGCATCACGCTGTAGGATGGTTTTTATTGAGATAATTCCACAGCTCTCTTGGCTAATTTGATTGAGACAAAATGGACTCAAGGGGAAACCATTTTTTTCCTAAGTTCCCATCATACCACTTGACTGACTCTTCCCATTAGCCCCTCATGCTGAAGAGAGCATTCTGCCTGCCAAATGCCCAGTGAGCCCCTCTAGAATTGATTCAACCAGACACAATCTACATCAATAGAATTAGTATTGACACAATTCATTTGCTATGCAACCACAATACAGTCTCACTTTTTCATTATCTTAATATTTCTTCAAAGTGGAACTGAGAGTGAGGCGGCTCAATTACGCCACAGAGCACTCCTTCAATTCTCCTCTTCTGTCTGCATGACTGTTATCCATCTGCGCTGCCTAAATTTACATCATCCTTTCTTGCAATATGTTTTTTTTCTTCACGAGATCTGCATTACCTGACTGTTCATCCTCCCTCTCCATCTGTCCCACCCTACTGTCTTCTATCGCTGTCTGTCACACTCTGTGGCGCTTTTCCACTCCCGTTCTCCCATCCACCTGGTGCTTCTTTACTGTGCTGGCCACGCAGTCGGGCCGTCGGGCTATATTTGGTCCAGCTGATGATTAAAAGTGCTGGTCTAACCTCTGCCTCAGACAGGCCAATCCATCCCACAGACACCCCACCGCTGCCACACAGGGGGGGAGGCTGAATAATTTATGCACAATATCGAACATGAAAGAAGACCTAGTAACACTCTAAAGCCCACCAGCACCCTTTCCAACCCCACTGGATTGTTGAGATTGGTATACTGCCTCAAACTGCTTTTGTTTGTGTGCAGGTGTGTGAATGCATGAGGAAAAGAAAGGTTCTTCCCAACCCTACACCACTGCAGTCCAGGAGTTCTGGCTACTTTTGGACTTCATAGAAAGAAAAAATGGGCAGGGAACTATGTAATTGGAAGCAGCAAAAATGGTCAAGGAGCACTCAGAAGTGTACTTTGAGGATCAGTAATTTGCTTAGAGAATTTCTGTTTTGAGAAACATGTTGCCTAGCAACCCTTGAGCCAGAGAGAGCCCGAGCTCCGAGCCTTTTGTTCCGGCCCGACGAAAAAACATCTGATGGTCAATATAATTCAAACCGTGGGGAGTAGTGCCGGGCCAGCCTTACCTGCGTATTGTGTATTTCAAGTCCCGATCGGTAAGAGCTTGCGCTTTTTACACAGAGCCACTCAGTAAGTTCACTTATACTTTACAGAGTCATCGACTGGCAGCTTTGTCTCTCTACGAGGGGTTTGTGTTTGAGTTATGGTGCAGTCTCACCTCCCAAGCGCCCTCATAGTTCTGCTTCTTGAGGCGGACGGCCCAGTTATCGAGGCATGCGTCAAAGCAGTGGTCCATGCTGAGGATAACTGGCCGGCTCAGGACCACCCCAGGAGGGCCACAACTCACGACAGGGCTCAGCAGGGTCTGGCAGCCTGCCAGGGGTAACCTACGCCAGGGAGAGGTGAACGAATTGAGATGAAGCGCCTATATTCATTGAGACATAAGTGAGAATTTATTGGCGTCTTGAAAGCAGGATATGATTCTGTCACCTCTGCAAATTATCTAACAGCTGTAACAGAGAATAATTAAAGCCTTCTGGACTCATTGAGTAGCTGGGCCAAGATGTGAGGACTGTGTCACAGCGGGCTGCAGTGACTGTGCCTTCAGAGGAGGAATGCAGCAAGCAAGATAAACAGAGCTTTTCAAACAATTAATTTAACTTAAATAGTTCAGATCCTGTTAAAAGGCTATGTTATTTATTTACATCCCTCCTCTGTGGTACTGGCAGGCTCTTAAGCCTTTCCTAATGGAAGTGCGGAGCATCAAAACAAACAGCCTAGTAGCATTCAGGGAAGACTGCCAGTTAGACAGTGCTAAAGAGACCCACCTTAAATCTTCCTTCCTCTGAACAGTGAGATAAATCTCATAGATCTTTCCTCTGGGGATGGCCTCGGGAGGAATGAGCAGACTGATTCCTAATGCAAATAACAACAAAGGGAGTGAAGGAGAGAGGGGGGGGGGAGTGAGCGAGAGAAGGACAGGCTCATTTGTTCTGACTGAACAACGCTTTTGTCATCTCACAAAGGAAGCCTGCCCACTCAACAAAACTGTACGGCTGCAAAAACAAAAAACAAATCCATTCTGAAGGTCAGAGGCAGCCTCCTTCAGGTGCAGCAGATGCAAATCTCTGCACTGGCAGCGCCACGTGTCCCCATGGTCAACAATTAGCTGAGACAAAAGCACCCGCTGCATCACGGTTTAAATGTCCTCCGTCTGCCACCAAGTAGAAAATTGAGACCATGGAACAGACTACTCCAGTAAAATCTCCTCCCCATGAGAATGCAGGAATGCACACCAGAGATTACAGAGAGCTGCTGAAGTAGTCCGTGGCATTTATGTTGTGATTCTTATGCCCAAATTACCCACAAAGAGTGCTCTTTAAAATGTAGGCCAAATAGACACTATGTGAAGCTATTTTAACATTGTCTTGAATGTAAACTGGGTCTGTTAACCATTAAAAAAACATTTGTTTGAATAGAGCCAAGGTGCCTGAATGCTCTTCAACGCATTATTCAGTTTTCCTAGTCTGAAGCTGTGATAAATGATGGGAGAAATCTTTTGACTGAGTCAATGCAAGTGTAAGGCTTTTTTCCCTTTCCTGCATTCATATGAGAGGATAGTGCCAATGCGTGGTATGTTCAGCACGGTTTTCAGTTAATCCAAGCATAACATTTCTGTAAGTGACAGGGAAAGGAAGTGCACATAGAGAGATATAGTAATGGTAAATAAATTAGTAAAGAAAATAAGAAAGACCTTTTTTCCCATAAGATACAGCCGTCCTAGCATCAGCTTATTGAAACAACCAGCAATGGGCCAAAAGGAAACACCACTCTTCAGTATAATTACAAAAGCTCCATACTAGGATACTGGGAAAAATTGTGAGCAGAATGGGGTGGGATGATGATAATGGACATAAAAAAAAGAAAATCATAGTTGCGTCACATTAAGCCGCCTAGATCCGTCTTTATTCCTCACACGACTGACTTTTGTAGACACTGACCATACTTAACCAGCTCTATCATTAGTCAGGACCCTAATTGGAATAATTTGTTCAGGGTTTTATTCCAAGAATCAGGGTTTTATTTCAAGAATACATTATTTTTGGCACACATTCATTTCATCTTGTCTCATCACTACCCCGAATGTTCATTTTAACTATTCATGTCGTGTTGTCTAGATGTAGGTTACTGACAAAGCATTTTGGAATGTGATGTATTTTAAATAGCGCACAGGGAAAAACTAGAGTTTCTGTGTGATTTAATATTTACTGTTTGTCTCTTGGGCAGCATGGCTGTTAACAATGCTGCCACATAGCAAGAGTGTTCCTGGTTTGACTCTCTGGGGGCCTTTCTGTATGGAGTTGCATGTTCTCCCCATGTCTGCATTATTATCTCTGGGTAGTCCGCCTTACATGCATATTACGTTCATTACAGACATTAAGTTGGTGAATATGATGGTGTGGTTGTTTGTTTCTGTGTGTTTCTGCAATCCACCGATTGAGGGTGTATCTCGCCTCTCACAACCTTACTATGAAAAAGTGGTAGAGCAAATGGATGTTTGCTTCTTTACAGCCTACTATGACCTGATAACATACCGGACCACCAGTTACAGAGTTAAACTTTACAGTGAGTCTCAGGTATAAATAAATTAAAAGTAAAGCACATGATTTAACTAAGTCAGCTAGAATGAGCCTTTCATGTATTGTTAGGGGTCCCATCTTGACCCCTTGTAGCAATTTACTTCCATGCCATAATAGCTATTTGTATCTTCTTTGTATGAAGCCCTTAAACACTATTATGTGTTTTATACTAATGTAAACGTATTAGGAATCCCATATGCAGGAAGATAAAGGCTGAATAAGTATGATGTTTATAGAACTCAGCTGTTAGCATTAATTTCTCCTTGTTAATGTCCAAACAGGCACATTAAAACAGGTGTAATAAAGCAAATAGAAATAGTCTTGTCCTCACACTATATCTCAGTATAGTACGAGACAGTAAAGTGTTTAGGTGATGCTTGTTTGTTTTAAGTGTTGCAGCACATGGCAAACTTGTAACCGATTAGCTAAATCTCTCTGCCATTACCCCACAAAGACAGAATGCTGTAAGAAAAAGGAATGACTAAGTAAAACTACTTTACCTCAACGCTCTAAATTATAGATCAAGAGTTTTCTTCTCCCCCTTCATAAATCACATCCGCAAGCATGGAAATTGTCCCTAAGTTGGTTTTGGCTCTTATTGAAAATAAACTAAAAGCTGTAAAAACGTAGGCTGACAGGTAACAAATTCACAGCAATGTTAGCAACTGTTACATTTTACATCCACAATGCTGTATGCACCCCGAGGGCAAAATCTAATTCCAGGGACTGGCATGTAGCACTTCGCTGCTCCTTAAGTGTACAGTGCTGTTATCTTGTCTGGTGTCACAAAGAACTAACAAAGAGCTAATGCTAATGTACACAGTGCCTACATATTTGACATGAACTGGATTCCAGGCCATAAATAATGATATACACAAGGAAAGAGTGTGAACTTTTATCCGCCCAAATGAGCTGATATATATGCACACCAGCGGGTCAATATGAGAGCAAAGAGGACACGCAACCAGGCCGAGATTACTTTGAAAGTAGAATTTACTTCTAATAAGATTTGTGTAGTATAATTTGATGCTTAAAAAAAAACTGCTCTAGAATGAAATAAGAAAATAAGAAAAGGGTAAATTACACTATGCTAGTATGTATGCACACCACACCATGGGTTTTAAGGAAAAGTCGTGGTGTGCTGAACTTGTATCCTACATTATGCATACAGGCTTCTTGTTGGGCTGGCTGCATCAATTCCACACTACTTATCAGTGTGGTACTCAGGAAATGCCTCTTAGTGCTGAGCTGTAAGAACTAAGTATACAAAATACATATCAGTTAAGTTCAGTCAGCGAGCATGGCAAACAGAAACCTTTAAGGACGGACAGGAAGAACCCACCTGTGTTGGGAATTGTCAGTCTCCCTCCCAGGAAATTGAAAGTCCCATAAGAGGTGTTGGCTACATCGCGTGGGAGTGTTTTAAAGTAGGTCTGAGTGGATAGCCTGCTCACAAAATCAGCAGGGTCCGAGTTAAGTTTGCCGTTGTGCAGGCTGTGGGAGCCGTTTGGGAGCGGGTCCAACAGAGGCCCGTTAGACATCGAAAACTTCCCGGTGGCATCGTGACGAGAGCGCAGGGTGCCTTGGTAACTGGTGGTGGTAGTTGTCAGATCGGGCTGGATGGTGAGCAAATGGGAGTTCTCTGTTTAAAATCACAAAAACACAGAAAGACAAAAGCAAATGTGTGACTCTCCAAGAGTGGCAGGTGGGATTCTACATCACAGAGACAGACCTCACACTCTCTAAAGCTGTTGCAACACACACAGACAACTGAAACAAACACAGAAAAAGGCATACGCTTTAGAAAGCAGAACATTAACAGACACATGGTTGACAGCACACAAACACAATTGCACCTAAAGTCAGTTAGCCCCCCCCGCTCTCTCTATGACTGTCTGTCTATTTAGCAAACACATAATCCATTCAAAACTGAATTCATATGCATCTTAGCCTCTTGAGCGCATAAAGGCCGTTCTTTAATGCTGAATCACTGGTACTGCAGCCTCGCTCACCATTTTCACCTCAGACAGTTGAATTTCTATTACTTACTGTTAAAGCTCACAGGCTCCACACAGGCAGTAAACATCGTGTGCACATTTCCTGACAATGAGGCGCTAGCGAAACATAATGTGTCAGGCAGACAAATAAAACAGCTCACACACAACACACTCACGCATCCATCATAAATCTTTCTTCACATCACAGACCGTTTTTATTTTTTTAACCCATCCAGACCGGCTCCACAATCACAAACTGCGAGGTTCGGTGGCACACGTAGATGGTTGCTGCACAGTCACGGTGGGAAGACGGACAGACGTGGTTAAAACAAAGAACAGTGTCCTACTGCTGTGGGGAGGCCTGCGTGGCCGCGGTGCCCACACACCTGGCTTACTGGGCTTGATGCCCATGGGCTGGAAGCCAGTGGTGAGGATGGAAGAGTCGGCCACGTCGGCATCCAGGCCCTCCTTTTTGCGCCGGTACACCAGGACAATCACGATGAGCAGCAGAGTCAGACACAAGGCCACGGCCACCATTCCCACGTAGAGCGCCACGTCCTCGGCCCCACTCACAGCTGCCAGGAGAGGACAATGAGAAATTCTGAATTAAAGAGTGAAATTTAATCATCACCGGTGTCCTTTTCTGTGAAAGGGGCTAACTTGATTTCGCTTGATTACATTTTAGACCTGACTTTTGAATTCAAAATGTAGGAAAATCAAATGTTGGATCACTATGTCAAAGAGGGTTTGCATAAGTAGATCTTTTATTGCTACGTTATTTTACTTTAAACAGTAAAATTTCCGGCCAGCATGCGTTTCTCCCTAATATATTTTTCTTTCTTTGTAACACCCCCATATTAGACAGGAAAATTCAAGCATTTGCTCTTGAATCCCCAGGACCTATTTCTTTTTTAAATATCTCTCTTGTTGAAGCATAGAAAAATCTTCCCCTCAAAAGTACAGTAAGAGAATGACAGCTAAGCCCAGAAAAAGACCCGTGTGTGTGTATGTGTGTTTTGCAGGAAAATGGGATTTGCTCCAGCTGTCTCCCTGGGCTGGTGGAATTTGGTGGTGGAGGTGGAGGAGGCTCCTGGGGCCTTTGTGGAGGGCCATTATGCCCGGGAGCCATGGGGGCGTAGCGCTGTCAACTCAACACAGTCAAGGAGGGAACGCATTGAGGAGCTCAGCTTTGAGCGATGGAGAACAACAGCAAAGGTTAAAGTGCTGCAGGCTGGTGTGTGCTGAGTTGACAACAAAAGGAGGAGGACTAAAGAGGGAAGAGCAAAGCAAACGTACCAGAAGGAGAATTAGAATGAAAAACAGGGAGGCAGAATGTGCCCATGACTGACAGCATGTGTGTGATTTGCATTTTCGCAATAACATGTCCGCAAAAGGTTTGTGTCAAAATGAACCTGATTAACATTTGATTCATCATATTTTCAGACGGTCATGCTTCTTTTTTTTTTGTCGTCTTAGCAATGTGGCATCAAACCGCTCGACAAGAGCAGCACTGAACTTTGGAAACATCGATTTGACACATTTTAATTGGTGTCAATGAATTTGTGACACATTAATGGCACCAGGAAAGAAGCAGAGCGGCATAATACAATAAAAAAAGGTATTTTTCTTTGAGTTTACCACATCCATTCTTCGGTTTGTATCCTAGCTTTTTTGTTTCCCTTCTATATTCAACATCTTTGACAAAACTGCCTGATTTAACAAAGGTTCATGAGAGAAAAGCCACAATCCATATAGTGCGTGATTATCTCATTAGAATCTGATACTTTAAGTGGTGGGATTATATGCAGGTAACCTCTATTGGAAGTCTGCATTATGCCAGAGTTCTCTTGACAGGTAATCAATTGTGAATGATTGGCCAAAGATAAACAAGATCATGTACATTGTTCAGAGCACACATCGCCCTTGTGGCATCAGGAGTCTTGTTGAATAGATACACCCTCTCTTTACTGATCATGCTGTCCATTCATAACGCCCATGCCTTTCCTCTCACTCCTCTCTCTGCCCATCTCTGTCCTCAGGGAAGCAAAGAGGTGTATTACTGTGAACAACCCTCCAACTCATGCAGTGAGTTGAATTGAAAAAAAAGACGAGTGATAAAAAGGTGGGGTGGGGGATGAGCCTTGTTAAAGTTCTCGAATGCAATCGTCTTGGTGAGTCTGAGGCCAGATGACGCAGTGATTTTTAGACTTCTGAGGGTCTGCTGAGAAATATGCAGCCTCACAAAAGACAAAAACAACACCCGTCAGCAAGGAAATGAGTCAACTTTTCTGCTGATTGGAGAAGCATAGCCCAACCATGGCCGCTCGCTGTTTACTTTCTGAGGGCACGTCAAAGACAACCTGGCTAACCTCAGATGCACAGATCCACTATCTCCTCGCCTGCTTTCCACTGCGTGCACCATTCTTGAAAGCAGACAATAAAGTCAGACAATTAGAACCCCTCGCCCCACCCCATCTAACCCAACCCCACCCCGCCTTTCTTCCTCTCCCCACTCCTCGCTCCTCCTCTGTTCTGGCTGTAATCTCTGATGGCTTATCGGAGCATCACTGAGTAAAGTTTTATCTGACCCACCAGGTGTCACACAGAAACAATCCCAATGCTCACTGCTACCACTCTCAGCTCCTGCTAGCCTACGCTCATTGATTTCCATGTTGCCAGCCAATAATTGAAAGGACATCCATCAAGCTTTAATTGACATAGCTAATCAGGTTTTATAATTGGATGGGCTCTACTTTAGTCCCTCTTCAACATGCCCTCTCTTTCCTCACACACTCTGTACCAATTTATATCTCCTTCTCCCTGTCATCCGGCATCCCATCCTCCACTTCCACTTGACTTAATTGCAGGCAAAGAACTTCAGATTCTCTTTGTGTGTGACCTGTCATCGTGATTGACACCTGCCCGTGGATCATCTGCAGATGTGATGAGCTTTTTTCTGAGATGACCGGAGGCCAATTTCTGTTCTTCCCTCTCTCCGAACTTTCACTTCATCTCCTCAGACTTGCTCCAGGGCTGGCTGGTTAGGGATCAGTTTCTGACTTGAGATGGGCCGGTATAATTTATCTCCTCTGAGGCAATGTATCTGGCCTCTGCTGAAGTTTGAATTCTTGCTGTATTGACAGTCAGCACAATGTCCACACCTGATAGTCCCCAGCTCTTCTAGTCTACCTGTTTTTTTCTCTCTGCTGCTGATAAATAAGAGCTTTGGAGCCTCCTGCGCCTCTTCGCTGCGCATTTATCAGGAGACCAGAGAATATATTTCATCCCATGGCCAATCCCAGTCAACTGCCTGAAGATGAATAACCCTGGAGTTCTTAAGGTCAGGGAAATATGGCTACTAAAACTCTCAAAGTGAACGTGACCATTACTATCTCCACAATACAGTCGTCCCATCCCTCAGCAGGTCCTGTTGAAATATGGCCGCAAATAAATGTTGAGCCATTTTTCACAGGGTACTGTGGTCCTGCTCTGGCAAACAATCCATGACCAAAACATGAACCGAATAAGACTTCAAACTTAAGAGCAAACTAAAGACAAACTGGTTAGATGCTCTTTGCTAAAGCATTAGCTACAACCAAAAATTGGATGCTACTGGAAATTAAGTTCATTACCCTCATTACAAACACTAAGCCAAATAATTGTTTTTATGTAGTTCTAATTTCCTGTGCCGGAGAATACGAGCGCTATTATATTTCCTCCCTACCCTCTCTGTGCCCTCTAACACCTGTCTGCCATTTTGGCTTTGGCACGTTGCCCACACATTAATCATTTCCCTGTGCTGATTTTGCATGGCTACATATTTGGCTTCAGTTGTTTTCTTTATGAAAATGATCCTGCCTGGATCAGATCTGTTTGTTTTTAAGCTGTAACATGAAGCTGAGGCAGAGCACTGACTCTCATGCGTGCAGTGCCCAAAACAATAACCTCATCTAACATATGTCATTTCTGGCTTAATGAGGGAGATTAGAGATGCTTGTGAGGTCCTCAGACAGGATAGCTTTCGTTACACCGTGACTCCCTCTGCAGCTGTTTTGTTCGATTACACTGAGAGAGAAGGGTGTCTTTTGTTTCAGGGGGAAGTGTTCCATCTTTGCTAATAGCCTGCAGACATGGTTGAAGTCTGGAAGTTGCTGACAAGCCAAAAGCGTCTTGCTACTTTGCTTATTTTAATACTTCACACAGCAATTGTCTATGGAAACGCATCTGCTGGGAACAGATTGGGACCGGCATTCTTCAGAGGCCAGTGCTTTACTCTGCACTGTCAGTGTAAATACTGAGTGACTCTGTGTGCGAGTGTGAGCGTGTCTGCGTGTGTGTGTGAGTAACAGTGACTGGCATTTTTGTGTATATATCTTGCCTCTCTGAGGAGGAGCTGCTGACCTTTGATGATGGGCCGACTAAACTTCCTGGTTCGTTGCACCAGCCAAACTCAACCCCGATATTCACACATCTGCACACACATACCCGCTAATACACATACATAATGCAACATTCACATACAGTAGATCTAAGCATACATTCTGCCATCTTCCACCTCGCCCCCAATGCATCAGTCCATTTGATCACATCAATCAGTGCAAGATACATAATTAAGTTTATTAATTCACTGGCTCATGTCAAATGAATCCCCATTAAGGCTCAAGTATTTACAGAGCAGATCAGCTAAAGATTACACTATTTATAGCATGTTCTGTTTTAGATGCCCCTCTCATACTCTTTGGGAGGGAAAGAGCAATATGTTTCAGCCTTTGATATCCAGGGAATGACAGAGCTTTCTCTTCATGTCCATCTGGTCCGCAGTGACCCTGTGGTGCTTCTTTCTGATCAGCTGCTGGCTTTGGCCTTATGAGCTCTGTGGTCTCTAGTCCCGACAGAAAAGACATGCCCCATTATTGATAGCAGCACCAGCACATCAGCTGTATTAAATTTAAAAATGTACAGTGGCTGGTCAGAGGAATAAAAATATTAGTTGACCCTGAGAATAATCCCAGCCCACACATACACCCCAGTCATGTGCCTTTTCGCAATCTGATGAGTGGTCAATCCTATGGGCAGGTCATGGTTTTAATTGTTGAGAGAGGTTTAAATTCTGAGCTCCGTTAATAAGTAAGTCAACAACGCAGCACATACTTAAGCGGCTGTCGTGTGTTATCCTAGCAGCAAGTATTGAACTGGTGTTAATTAGAAATGATCATCTGAAAAGGTCACCCAGGTGGAGGTGAGCTAGCTGTGGGCTGGAGGTGAAACTTATGTGTGAACAAGAGCCTGATGGAAAGACCAGCTTTACTTTCTGAAGACTTTCTAAGATGAATTATCTCTAAAATCTGAACCAATAAGGAGAGTTTTTTCTAGTTACAGTTTCTCCATCAGCCTCTCCTCGGGGACCAATCGACGTTAGTCCTTTATACCTGTTCATCATGCATGGTTTCTGATCTACTTATTATTATTGTATATAATGAAAGTTTAATTTTCTTCATGTAGTGTATTGATAAATGTTAACAAAAATATTTTTTTAGGAATATCAATTTAGCCTCAGTTAACAATCAACAAATGAAAAGTATCTTCTCTATTTTTCCCCTTCTTGGAACAATGAAGGTACAGTTTGCAGAATGTTTTGCACTCACTCTGTGGGCACTGCTCACTGGTACAGTTCTGAGACTGGAGATCAAGCCCCTGGCAGTCCTTGCCCCCAGTGCCGGGTGAGGGCTGGGTGCACTCCCTGCTTCTCCACATCGAACAATCTGCGCCGCACGCCGACCACTTGCTCCACTCACTCCAACCGCCGTCCACTGGAAACACACATGAAAAAAATAACCACATAAAGCTCTTTTTCGGACAGAGATGCTTAAACTGAAAAAGCTAAAACAATTTCACTTTAGTTTTCAAAGAAAACCTATCGATCAACAGGCATACTGAACAGTTTCAACAAACAAAAGAAAACAGTTTGAACAATTCAAACTCCACAAAACAAATCAGAGATGTGAAGGTTGTGGGTTTATTTTGTGTGTGACACGGGATCTCTGTCTGATGCCTTCACATTTTAGAAAGTACAAACCTGGCAGTGCTACGTTATGATGACATGCAAATCGGCTTGCGCATACTTAAATCCTGCAGCTGCATGGGGAAACCACAACATGTAAAACTGCTGAGGGGAGCCGTACTGTCTCTTTTCTGCTTTCATTGTTTGCTTTTAACATGGAAATCAGATGCAGCTAAGTTTAAACCCCATTGGTGTGAAGGTGCTGCATGTAGCACTGTGGCTTGAAAGTCCCAGAGGTAAGAAAACCATAGCCGTGCAGAAATGCTGGCATTCTTTCCCAGGTCAAACCACCACCAAACACCAACTGATAGACTCTAAAGTATTTTGAGCACATCAATATTTGTGAGAGTAAACATAGAAAACAATGAAGTTTTGGTTTGATTAGTTTGTGACACAACATCTTGCTTTACCAGCTGTGGTTGTACCTGCAGAGTGACTGGATGCAAAGCACAAAGCAGGTGGGTATTACTCTCGGCAAAGAAAAATGTGCATTAAACGTAGTTCAGCTATAACTCTGAGCACCCCATCATCAGCACAAGCAAAATGAGACAAATTGAAATGGGTCTGTAATAGTTCTGAGCACACGGCGGTAAGAAAGATCAGCAGCTTTTCCACACACAGAGAAGGAGGCTATTTCACAAAGCTGGGGGTAATTTGGCGTTGTGGCCAGTGGGGCTGATGGCTGAGAGTGATATTGAGAGTGACACAGCACCAGGCCTGGGGAAGGTTACCGTTGGGCTAATGGGAAAAAGAGCAGTAATGAGCTCTCATGGGGAGGGGAAAAAAAAGTGTCCTGCTTTTTTTCCCCAAATGAAAGGATGAAGGGAACCTGATGAGGATCACCTGCACACACACACACAAAAGGTCCTCACACACCTCTATGACAGCAGCAACCCTTTCCCCTGACTGACCACAGGTGCAGGGAAACTTTAGTGCTCATTAATCCCGGCAATATAGGGACATGACCCCTTGGAGAACAGGTCATCAGGCTTTACCTAATACAACATAAGTGAGGCCCAATACTGCAGCATAATCGTACCAAAAATTGGTTCCAGTTGGTTTTCAGGAATATTTTCATTTGGAAAGCCACGTAAAAGCCAACATGATCAAATGAAACCAAGTGTGAGAATTAAACTCTGCTCCCACACGAGCCTGTATGTGTGTCCACGAGTGTGCACAAATGAGTATTGGAGTACGTTAAAGCATTTGTGTGTTAGCACGTGTGTGTGATGGGATGCTGACACAGCTTAGGCGTTTTTGCAGAGATTCATTTGGCAGAGAGCAGGCAGAACCAATCAGATAACTGTCCTTGTTTGGCATTGAGTGGTCCCATCCTTGAGCCAGTGGGCTGATTATCCAGGCTGGGAATGAGAGTGACGGAACATCCTAATGAATATATCATGTTGCCCCACCGTTTATCCACACCACAGTGAAATAAAGGGATGAGGTCAACATCTGCCCTGATGAGGTGATGAAATTCTACCTCTCTTTTCTACCACAAAAGGGAGACTAATGGCCATGCAAATGACATTTTGAGAGAAAGAGACTGGCGCAGAAATAGAGGGACGGTTATGAGAATGTAGATGCGAGTCGAGTACTGCGACAAAAAGCTGAGGAAAATGAAAGAAAGACATCTCCTTGACTCCCTGTCTCTACATCATATCAGAGGGGGGAGTTTATTCAGAACAAAGTTCAGAGTTCAGAACAAAAGAATACAGGAACAGCACTAAAACAACTCTTTTCTTAACTCTATAAAGACAATAAGAACCATTTTCAAATGCAGGTAAGTAAGAAAAGTTACACTTTGCCATAATTCTTTACTTTATTTTTTGTAAAATTGGATCCAAATCTAGTTCTTTTACCTTGTTAAAGTCGACACAAGAGAACTATAATCCACAGCTGTGGCTTTCCTTATCAAATTCCCAGAAAGAGATTGTTACAACTATGGCAAAAAGCACCATAGCTGATTTTCAATCATGCAGCACCACAGGTTTCAGGTCAGCCAGGTCTCTGAGGAGGGACAGTAATACAATAACCCAGTGGCAAGTCCCCATTTGGACATGTTGCCAAGGAGAGAAGCAAAAAGAATTCAACCATTCTTTACAGGTCAGTGGGAGGGCCTGTTTGAGACTCTGCTGTTCAAAATGACAAAGGCTGCTGATGGACACAGTCCGAGATCATCGAGCACCTATGGTTTCCATGTCCTTGAAGGGAACACAAGGAGGTGAAAAGGTACTACTGAGATCAGCAGGACGTTCCTCTGCTCCAACTGTACTGTCAATACACATACACAATACCTTCTCCTAATCTCAGAGTTCAAAGAGTGAGGGTTAGAAAAATAAGGTTTAAATCCTCTTTTTTCATGCATCACAGAAGTGGGGGATTCACTCAGGATTATAGAACAGACATTTATCTGTAGAACTTACAAATATATATATATATGTATAAACTGAAACAAATTAAAGATTGAGACAGAGTGGGGCATGATCGCGGTGGTCCAAAACAAATGCCAACAAATGATTTAAAATCATGCAAGGTGTCACCAGATGGCCACCGCTTTTCACAGCAAACGAATGTGCTTGCTGATACATTTATTTTTCACAGATTTCATTTAGTCCAAGGATAAAATATGCAGTCTGCAAAGCAGCCAATGATAATATCCACAAACACGTGCTTACATACTTTCAAAGTAGAATTAGACGTGTGCCTGCAGTGCGGGAGCTTAACATGTGTACAACACAACCATGCACAAACACAAACTCACAAGCGCACGCGCCCCAAGTCTGTACATTTTCCATCTAGCCTAATTCTCACGACTCCTCCGGCAAGCCAGGGGGATCAGTACCAGTATTTGAATAATTCACTCACGTTAGAACTCTCTTCAGGTTGTTTGGTGTTCTGTCAGGGAACGGTTCATTCGTATGGAGCGAGCGTTACGTTCAGACCGGAGACTACCATTGGCTACTGGCAAAGATTTTCTGAGACTTTGCGGAAAATGCTGGCATGATCTGACATTTTGCCATGACTGTTGGCTCTGTCCACAAGTCAGTGCAGAGTCAATATGAGTCCAAGGGATGGACTTCAGAATTATGCGGGATACTCAGCCGGATATGCTGGCATGGAGACAAAGGAAAAGAAGAAGGCAGAGAGGGGAAGGAGAAATGGAGATAAGCTCTTGCGTAGTTTGGCTATTTGCTGTCTCAAGTGTTGATCTGCTCTGCTCTCAGCCTCGGGCTTTAGCCTCAGCCTCCTCCACAGCTCCCTGCGTCTCTCACAGCACGGAGCCCATCTGATCTGCCACACAGGCCTACGCCAACTCTCATTAAACACTTTGGAGACTTGGACAAAAATACAGATGAGCCTTACTGGTTTCACACTTTTCCAATGAGAGGTGGGAGCTCACATTTAGATACAAGAGTCATCGTGACTAGATGTTGGTAGAGTTTTTATTACTGATGGCATCAGTTTCTGAAAGCTCAATGCGTTTGTACGAAAATATGCTTTTGCGACTCTTCTGCTCCGAAGGAATCCTGCTACTTTGAACATATAGTGCTCCAAATAGTCCCTTTGAAAAGAGTTATACCTAACTTGTGCACCTAAGGGACACATTTAAGCACTTACAAGTTGGTGACTCCATATTTAAACTGATTAGTCACTCGTTTGGGCTAATACAGCTAACAGGATTTTTGGTCCATAAAAGATGAGTACAGCATAATTCGGATGATTAATGCGTTAGACAAAACGAATCACAATCCCACAGCAAAAGCGGCTAAAATCCAAATCCAGTTTTCTGTTAACCCACTCAAAGCCCGGATGCTGAAAGTTAAATGCCCCAGATAGACAATGATCACCATGGAATCTGAAGTGTAGATAATTAATGAAGTCTTGATACAAGACCGGCATTAAATCATGTAATTTTTAGAGCTCAGCTGAAAAACAAAGGCAGACTAAAGGAAAAATCTCTCTCAAGGCTGACATAAAAAAATAAAGAACATTACTTCTGAATCCAAATGTCAGCTGTGTCTGAATGAATAACTTGATGTCTATCTGCAGCATTACCACTCCCCCATGTTATTCTGCTCAAGTCTCTTTTTCAGTTGAACTATTGAGGCCCATGAATGCAATACACACAGTGATGACTGAAGTTGTTATGCACTAAGCGGCGATGTTCTCCCAGCTTGGCTGCTCTCTTGGCCCTTGCTGATTGTGACAAAGAGTGTCTATTCATGCTTTCTGGCTGACGATTCATCTATTTGTAAATTGTGAGACTGATTAATTAAAATGAGGATTGATATGCATATGAGGTTGTGAGTGATGCTGGGAGACAAAAATGACAAGAGCAGCCAGGACTTCAAAGGCATGTCTGCGGGTTCACGAGAGCGTCGGTGTGGCTTGTGACTGGAGGCAGCAGCTCCTCATCCCCAGGCTCTGGTGCAGAGGACTCTGGCCTTTGAGGGAACTCTCTCCAGGTGCGGACATCTGGGGCTGTCTGTGCCGCTGATGGTACCAGTCATAGACTGGCAGCGAGTGAGAAAAGAAGGCAAAGGCTTTTCTGTGGCCAAATAACAGGACTGACAGGGGTAAGTGGGGTCACATTGCTCTACCATCTCTCATCAACAGAAAAAAAATGAGTTCTTTCTCCTCCAAAGTCTCTCAAAAATGTGTTCACAGGGAACAATGCAATTTTTGCCACAGCACCCTCATGGCTGGAATTACACACTTTCTCCTTGTGGAGTAAAAGAAAGAAAGAGGAAGGAGGGGTTTGGTCTAACAATAGAAGCTTGGACAGACATTAATCTCTTTAAGCTTATGGAGGTCAGTATCCTTCTTTTCTGTGGAGGAATGTCAAGCATCCCTGGGCACCCCTCTAATTTTAATTCCATTACCAGTTGCCCCCTCTCCAATAATTCCAACTTCATCCAGATCATTGCGCTCTATCTCACATTTGTGTTTCTTTTGTCTTCCTCCTGCTTTATTCCAGTGGGCCATGTTACTTACACTCATGCTTGACATCCAGTGATGTCTTTACATGGGAGATGAGTAACACAACACCCCGATTCACAGAGGAAGATAACCTTTGTTTTATGCAGGGAGAAGCTGCCACCGCCAGAGGTGTTGTATTTCCTCCTCTGCTATTTACTGAGCGTGGGAGATTTCTCCTGCGGTCAGCAATGGCTGCAGCGTCCCAACTGTCTGCCCCGATGCTCATCTGCTCGCAGCCAAACAGCCAGCTCTCGGCTTCTCTCTCATTGTTCTCGGTGTCTCTTTGGCTTTGTCTTCCTTACGCCGTATCTTTCCATCTGTCTCTTTCGCTGCTTGCACCTTACACCTCTGTCTTCCTATCCTTCCCTCTCCCTCGCCATCTCCCCCTGTCAGGAGGCTAATGTGGGACTGCAAATGAGGCAGCTTGACTTCCATCTCAGGCCTGCAGAGATCAATATGTGTTGCTCACTATCAGGCAGGACACTCTCTGCCTCTTTGACGCTCTCACAGGGGAGACCGGGCCGGCAAATGAAATGCCCTGGACTCCTCTCACGTAAACATGGCATGCAAGCCACCATAACTCAGCTCTTTATTGCCCGTATTTACTACTCAGCTTGAACAGCAAATAATAACACATGTACTAGCTGGTCGATCACAATGCCATGGCTGGGACTGTGTCTTTTCAAGGAAGAGTGTCTCTGAAATAAAAGTTGGGTCTGTGCATTGTGCAGATTAATGAGAGGTAAGTAAATAAAGTGTGATAATAATAAGATCCTTGCAGGGTGAGGTCTTACGGTAGGGACTACTAGGCTCTGACATTGCTGTGTAAGCGATCTAACTGCAGAAAGCAAAGCCTGGCAGCTATAAAAAACACTTCAAGGTGCTTGTGCTAAAGGGCAGCCAAAATAAAAAAAATGATTTGATGACTTCTAGATGCAAAAAAAAAAAAAAAAAGCAAAAAGGAAGCCACAGGAAGCCAAGCGCCACAGGACAAACAGGGTTGCCTGGAGTTACCTGGACAGGTGGCCACACAGGCACTTTTCTGGACGTTCTGCCCTTCACAGGATGTGCCTCCATTCAGTGGGGTGGGATTGGTGCAGCTCCGGCTCCTCTTCTGCCAGCCACGCCCACACACAGCACTGCAGGACGACCAAGTGGTCCACGTGGACCAGCCACCATTGACTGTCAGAACGACGTTGGGGAGGGCAGGATGAAGGGGTTGAAGTAGGGGGGGGAGGTTGGGAAGGAGGGAAGGATGGATGAATGAAGGGACAGAGCAGCCAGGATTACCCGACATGCAGAAAGGAAAAGACGTGCGCTGTGCTAGGAAAATCGTGACTGTTTTTACACTCCACGGTTTCCTCGCTGGAAGGAGAGCAAACGAAGAGCAGGAGCAGAGGCTGCTTCTCGTGTACGAGCCGGAATTATGGCCAAATCAAGAGGAAAGTAAACTGCTTCAATAGAGAGAAGAAACTGATCTGACATCTTGCCATCTTTCTCTTAATTTCCGAGGAGAGTAACCAGTGGATGTTTCAAACATTCCCTCTAAGTTTGCCAAGGTTTTGCAAAGATATCATATACAACATTCATAAAGTCATACATGCCTTCAAGAAAAACCCGTCCCCTGGAAATGCCAACACACTTCTGAAAGATAACTTCCTGAAAATACCATTTCCTTCACACATCCACCCGCCTGTTCTATAGCCTCAAAACTCCTTAAATGGTAGACAGCATGTGTGTATAATTCATTCCTATTTTGTATGTGAAACTGAAAGTTCAGACGGTTCACAAACTCTGCACGCTGAATTTCTATCATTGCAGCCACTTACTGATCCCTTGCTTGCGTTAACTATCAATTGGCACATAATAGGTACTACACAGTGTCTCTCAATCGTGGCAGGTAATTACATCAAATCATGCAGGTTCTGTCCCTGTATCTGCTATGCTTACGAGGTACAAAGATTCCTGATTTATTGACCTGAACAGCACTGTCGCTCCCTGGCTGTACATACTCGCTTCCTAATTTCTCCCCCTAACTCTCTCCGGTGCTTGTCGTGGCTGAATCATTTCCTTGCCCTCTCCATGCGATTGATTGCCCGCAACAGCGAGGTAAATTGCCAGGCAACTCGGCCCCTGATTACCTCTTAGCACAGAGTAGTCACACCATCCATGCCTTGTTAAAATGCATCTCTGGCCTCCTGTTGAACTCCCTTTGAAAAGCAGTTGTTATTATGACTTGCTACAGCTAGGAAGAATAACTACTATGACACAAAGCTCTCAGCTAAATTTTTTTAGTTTTTCAGAGAAACACTTGCTTTCCTGATCAATGAATTGAAACTGCGATTTAACCTAAAAAATACACACGTCAGCGTGTGAAGCCCATTTCCAGAATGACTGTGGTTGCACATGTGGTTGAATTGGTTTAGAATTCTGTCCAGAAAAAACGTCCATAAATTTCAGTTAACAACAAACTAATCAATTACAATCAACACAAGGCATTATTTGGCTTTTTCATTTTCATGCTGGAGGCAAGGAAGAATGCATTGAAATGAGTGTTTTGACACTGCATGCTCCAAATGAATACATTTCAAACATTCATTGTCAAAGTACACTCCTTAATTGTCAACTATAATCGGTGCAATGCGGGCTTTGTTAAACATTTGGACTGCTGAGAAGGTACAGTTATACAATACCGGAAAAAGAAAAGAGCTTTGAAAGCAAATTGAAGCATTTTGCAGCACCGTGAATCACTGTTTATTTCACATTATTGATGTTACACGTTGGTATAAGAATAAATCTATTAACAATACATTCCAAGTAATTTTTCTTCAAATAATGTATTTTTTTGTGAATAAATGCCAATTCATCCCAATGCTCGATATGGAATTCCTTTTAAAGCTCTGAAAAAGTGGTATCCTCTGTACAATGGATGCTAAATGAAAGCTCAGTATGGCAACTGATAAGTTAAAACTACATTTCAATTAAATAATTGTCATATCTGGTCATCCTTTACTGGTCCCTGCATTCATGTCAAGGTAGATTCTGCTCTGCGTATGCATGAATTGAATTTACAAAAAGCAACTTGACTTTAGTTTTTCAAATGATGAAATTTGCAGGCGTATTGGGCAAAACATTATTGAATGGGACATTACTGTCAGATTTACTGTGCATCTGATGCCATCTATAATAAGGTCTCGAAAGCTGTGACCCAACACAACACTTGTGCGTCTCATTTAAATATGTGGGGCCTCCGCTGCATCAAGCTAGGACCATACGACTTATATTATATATGTATAAATTCCAAAACTACTTCTCTTCAGACTATTTGGTGTTGTGAGTTTTTATCTCAAGACAGTTTTGCATACTATTCTTTTTGTAGTGATTTAGCTAACAAGATTAGCATATTTTACTGAGAGGTTACAAGTTCCTTCTTACAAGGTTTGCTATCACTTAAAATCCACCAAAGCTGCACTTTTGCATGGAGATTTGTGAATGTGAGGTAGAGTTTATTTGTGTCTTAGACTGTAACTGCTGTGAAACAACTGTTGAATCTTTTAATTCCAATATTTCTTGCTTTGTTGTGCAGCTGACTGTAATTAACCCCTCACTTCTTCAAACAAAGCATCTCGCAAAATACAATGTTGAAGTACAGCGACAAATCAGTATAGCTTTTATCATCTTAGTTTGGACAAATAAATACCTTAACTGTACAACAAGCTTTTTTGTCCTTTTTTTGTCCTTCATATAATATACATCTGATTAGGTTATATTGTCCAAAGGCAAAAAGAATATACGTTACCATTTGTATTACCAATATAGTTCCATCGGTTTGCATACACTACATTACTATTAAGTGCATCATGGTCTTTTTTTCTGGAAATGGCAAGAAAAGCAGATATGTCACATATCGTCTGCAATTCTACATTTCTGGCTCACAGAGTGGCCTTCATGAGTCATCCTCACATAACTATGACCCATTTGCATACAACTAACGAAAAATACGCGCTTTCTCAGCATTTCAAAAGAAGTCAGTCTGCTTATCAAGTCAAGTCAGTATTTACAGTTAGCTGTTAATTCAATATCTCTTCTTTTACTGGACCCACAACAGAGGAGGAGGATGGCAACCATAATGTTAAAAATTGCCAGCTTTTTCATGGTAGATGCCAGAAGCATTTCAAGTTGGGCTAATTAATGTGCAAACACACAATTATAAATCAGTGTTTGGGGAATTACAGAGCTGATGTGTGCAAGCTGTCATCATGTGCCACTAATGTGTTACACTGTATGAAGCTAGTCTGTACTCACAACAAGTAGACTTTGAGATGTGAACCTAATGGGACAATAAGAATCTATACACTTGCATATACTTAATGCTGGAGAGTATGAGGAGATTTATATGGAAACGAGGAATAACGGACGCAAACATAAAATCATATTTCTGATCTGTTTTGTGGTTTGTATGTTTGGGAGGTAAATAGAGCTGCGACCTGTTGTGGAGCATTTCACATTGGTCCAAAAAGTTAGAATCACCTACCATAGACCAGGACTGTGGCAGAGGTGCTTTTGCGGCGGGCGACAATGTTTTTGGCCACGCACGTGTAGTTCCCTGTGTCGGCAAGGCGGGCTTTTTGGATGACAAGATTATGGTCAGCTGTGATGAAAAAATTGGGGTCACTCGCCGGGTCGATCACATCCTCGTTTCTCTGCCACTCCACCTGCAAATATAGATATATCAGTCATCTAAATTCACTCCAACTAAACCGATATTTGCTCTGGAACAGCCTGAAAATATGTGGACAACAGATTTCTGTATATGTTTGTGTGTGCGTGAAAAACAAGTGGGCCGCACTTCTTCGGTGGTGCAATCAGACCCAATGGAAAGAGACCATACGCATGACTGACATGGTTCTGATAATTAGCTTACTTATAAGGCTTATTCACTGGGATGTTGATAATATTTTCCTCAGAGGAGAAGGCAGCTTTTATCTCCTAGCTGCTGGTGGTCTGTGAGCAAAGCTTTCAATGTTGCGTGTAGCCTCTGCATCCACTTGCAGAGCACAAAACTGATGTTATTCTTTTCTCTATATATTTTCAGATTGGCTTTTTTTCTTTCTTTCTTTTTTTCTGCTCTCACTTGACCTTGTGCTGTCTCAAGAGAAGCAACAGCAAGGCAGCGTTGTTGTTGGTATTACTGCCAGTTGTGATACCACATTTAATTGGGCTTTCTTCCTCTTGTGCGCTATCTCTATTTTCTCCCATGGTGACTTCTGCTCTGATGTTCATTTCTGGTGAACCGCAGTTGGCACCTTCCATCCAATTTCTGTGCAAACTGTCCCTACACTGTTGAGCTGTGATTGGCTCGTCTGCTGTCTCTGGTCTCTGGGCTGTCTGAGTGGCTGGCCTGAGCTCCTGTTGTGTTGTTATTAGAGCAGTTAGTGCCTATCTGGGAGCGGGAGGATGCAGCGCACGAGGTGAAACAGCTGGCACCACTCTGGTCCTCTAAACACAGACACACCAGTGAGAGATGTGTACATGAGTGTATATGCGAGACACAGAGCGTGGACAGACAGCAGAAACACAAAGTGAGAGATAAGGACAGAGTGAGGCAAATAGATCCATTAATTATGGATAGGGCTTTGGAGATGCCAAACAGGGAGTGAAACCTCCAAGCCTATCCTGAATGATACAACGAGATGAAGTGATATATGGCTTCTCAGAGATGTAAGAGAGATAATAAATCAATAATGGGGAATAATTAGAGGTGTAATTCATCCGTTTAGGGCTGTCTGTTCCCTGGAGGAATGTGCAGAGATGCCATTGAGCGGAGCCTGAGCCACTTTCTGCTCCTCATCCTCCCGGTGAAGAAAGGGTAAAGGGATGCGAGATGTGAGCCTATAAATATCTCCTGTATCTGTGTCTCACCTCGGCTTGTGGCACACCCTCGGGGGGATGGCAGCGCAGTAACACCTCCTGGTCCAATGCCACCTCTTTACCCTGCGGCTCCTCCTCAAAGTTCTTTCGCAGGTCTTGCAGAAATAAAGATGGAGAGAGAGACGTAACCAATTAGGACATTTGGAAGAGGTAGTGACATTTGAAAGAAATCCTCGTGCTTGGCCAGCGTGGCCTGGTGATGCTTCTAAATTCCACTCATGAAACGTCCAGCCATGGCCTTACTGAACACGTCGCACTCTAGTTGGCCCCTAAGCCACAGTGGGATCGCTAGCACCAACCATGTTGCTTATTACAGGCGGCTTGGCCGGTCCAGGGATGTTTGTCTGCTGCCAGAGGGACCAGCATAGAGCAAAAGCAATTGCATTACCCTTCACTCTCACCCACTCTCCTCTCCGGCATCCGCCAGCCTCCAGCCTCCATCTGTATGACGGCTTGGAGCAGCCACACAAAAACAAAGCCCTGAGGCGCCTGGACAAGAGCTCCAGCAAGCCTGGCTGGATACATGGGGCTTCACATTACGTCTCATTGAGCACTCTCGCTGTTGCACAAAGTCCTGCAATATATTAGTCTGTAAGCCCCGGCTGTGAATTACACAGGTAAAAGTGGCAAAGCTTGCTCCTTGTGGGGGAAATAAATGCAGGTCTATTTGTACCAGATGAACTGGGCAAGCTGCGGATAGCTGTCAGGTTGGTGCGAATTTGATGAGTTCACTCCTTGTTTTGACGATTATTGTGTTGGGTTATTGTGAAGCGGAATTTCTTTAAACATGCACTGAGCTTGTTTTCACTAATCACACTGAGAGAAATACCAAAAAAAATGAAATGCATACATTTATGATATTCAGTTATATTGAAGCACTTAAGGAAGCTTTTGATAAAACGATTTTGTAAGATTTCAGAGTGCAACATTATAAAATGTTATATACAAGAAGTAGGAGAGTGTGCCTATGGGTCTCTGAAATGTGTGTCCTTACCTAACATTTATCTGCCTGTGTTAGGCATGACTGAATAATGACTGTATTCATAACATGTCTGATGATTTTCAAACTGCGGGACATTGGGCTTGTTCTGGAATATTGCATATTTATGTGGGAATTAAACACAAAATGCTTTCGAATATTCAAATGTAAAATGTCTCCTCCTACTAAAAGTTTTGAGGCTGAAGCGAGGGATGTGTCTGTGTTCCCCAGACAATATAAATACATTTCAAATCTGTTTAGATAGCTGATATCCTAAATAAATATATTTATCTGTTGAAAAATGGGTGTATACATACATTGCTCTCTCTTTTTCTCCACGTATATGTATACATAAATATATAAATATATTTAATGTATACTTATAGATACACACTATTACCTGATATATGTAAAACTGTTTTTTTCATAGAGATTCCCTACTAGTTCCTATAGAAACAGGCTGAAACAAAACATGATCCTTTAACTAAACTGTAACACTGTTTTGCAAGAGATAAAAAAGCTGAGGCAATTGTGACTTGAAAGTCATTCCCCCACAACCTCTCAGAATTAAAAAGAAAAAGAATTAATTTCCTGTTATTACCGAATTACATACAAGATGTCAGAGGCAGCCAAATGCATTTGACACTGAGCTCATTTTAAAGTGCACTTACAAGCAATTCTGATGTAGGCTTTCTGGCTCTTCTGGGTCCCGGTAGTGCTCCAGGCAACACACTGACACCAGTACTCATCGAGGCCGAAGATCTTCTCCACCTGCTGTCTGGTAATTTCAATTGTCACCTGCATAATTGGCAGCGCTGCAAAGAATGCACAGAAATAAGAGTCAGGGCGCTGAACAGGACGTCTGAATGGGGCCAATTCCCATCACCTCGAATACCACCAAAGAGTTAAATGATGGAGAAAAAAACAAATTAGCTGAACTGAAACCTTCAGAGCATTTTGTACCTTGAACTAAAGCAGCAAAGTCATTAAAAGAAAAAAAAAAGCCTGGCAGAATAAACAAGCAGAGGACCATAATCATATATAAACAGAGTGCTTGTTAACTGAGGAAAATAAGACGAGAGGCTCACAGCTATCCTTGGTGTAATTTGTGAGGCGTTAAAGCGGCAACAGTTGGAAAAGAACACGGAAGCGCTAAACAAACACAGAAAACAAAAATACTCAGCGTAGCCTGCTTTGGTATTATCAAATTTGGAAGCGCTGGGAGAGTTCACAGTCCATGGAGCATTTCCGCAACAGTGTTGATATAAAAGACGCAGCTGTGACATATGGTAAAACTGGCCTTATTGCTTTTTCAGTAGACAGGAAGGATAAGCCTTTAAACAACAGAAAACAGGGATGAAATCCATGCTATTAAACTGTCCAAACAATACAGGGTTCCACGCTTTTTTTATGGCAGAGAAGCCATCCTTTATTTAATTTTCCTTTGCACTTATATTTGGGATTTTCAATCTGGGGGCATCTATTTATGTTGTGAGCTACAACCCTGATCCCGTCTACATGCTCCCCTCTGCTTTAGCTCTGATGGAGATTTAGATGTTTGCCATGACCATCTCATATTTTTTTTTTGTTTTGGAAAGAATCACGGATCATTTTTGATTCGCAGAGGAAAACATCCTACAGACGGGGGGGGAAAAAAGAACACACAGCTCAGTTTATTCAGATTTAAAGAGGAACCTCTCTTCAACTGTCATTTGCATAGAAGCACTTTGTGGCACTCTTACACTCCCCTCACACACTTGATCTGTCTGCACTGATCATTTTGAACCCCAGACGGAAGCTTCACAAAGTGCACCTGTCACGGCCCCAAAACTATACAGTAATTACAAGCAACTCTCGATCTGAAAAATCTCACCAAAGGCAGTTTTTTTCTTTTCCCCCCCGTTTTCTTTTTCTCCCAAATTACATCCAAACTACTGGGATCTAGCACAGGCCTGTGTGAGAACAGACCAGTGGTAACAGGGGCTGCTGGGGAGGAAAGTGGAGTGGCTTCATGGCCGGCGGCAGGCACAGGCAGGGATAAGTAGCTGTGAGGGTCACGGGCAGAGCGATGTGTGCTAGTGTCGAACTGCAGAGGATTTCGCTATATGTGATCCCAGTAAATGTGAACACACGTGCAGTGAATCCAGCCCTGAAGCGCCACTCTGAGTTTCAACAGCACCCTATGTTCCGATTAAGATTTACCCAGCGCACTCGTGTGTGCGCTTCACCAACAACTCGTCTGAAAAGTAGAAAATAGTGATAATTTGCATCTTTTTCAAGGCTTCAAAAATTCCCTTAGTGTAACTAAGTGAAAGTGGATCACTTGAAAATGAAAGCTGGACTGAAAAAAGGCCCAGTTTCCTCTTGTTGCCTTTCTGAAGTCGAGCTCCTTTGTTAGATGTGTTTGTACACTGATAGGTGCGAGTGTGCAGTGAGTTTTTTGGCACAGACTGAGAGCACCTGAAAACTAAAATAAATGGCTAAAGTAACAAAATAGGTATTATAGAAAATGAATGTAATGGAGAAAGAGAATTCCCTTGCTTTTTTCCTACAAATCAGCAGCATGTCAGCATTCAGCCAAATTACCATTCAGCTTATTTGTGTTATATTACATACGGTATGTTCAGAACACGAAAAGCACCATTGATAGAAAATGAATGATTTATACCTCAGTTATTATAGGTTTGCAGTTAACAAATAATCCAGTGTTATTCGCATAACATAACCATTATATTTAAATTGTTTTTGTTCAAATTCATAAAATGCTAATGAGGAACACATGCCGTTCAGTTGTAGGGTGGAACTGGATCATCAATGTGATACATGGCTGCTAACCTGAGAGTAAAAACCAAATTCTGAAAAAAAAAAACCCTCTGGCTTTCTATGCAACAAAATAAGAACTTCTGATGGCCATAATTCAAACTGAGCTCAGAGGAGTTCATGTGCGCAATATGGGGAAATATATCTGAATACATACATTTGAAATATGACATTAAACAGTGTTCTGGGTTTAGTTTGACTCTACTTACAGTAAGAATTCTTTTGATTAAAGCAAAACCATCTTTTCTCTTTGAACTAGAGGTTGAAACGACTAAAGATCTGTATGGAGATGCAAACCATGAACAAAAGGAACCTGAGGTGAGAAATCCTAAGAAGAGCAATTTGAAGCTCTGCCTGTCAGGATAATTGCATTCTGTTTCCATATCTTTTCCTGTCTCCATAATTACCTGCTTTCTGTGTCTGACACCTTCCAGTAACCCTCCTCTGAGTCACTCTGTCCAATTTCAGTTCAATTAATAAGTAGGACAAAAAAAAAAGAAAAAAGAAAAAAAAAACTCATCACTTTGTGATCAAAATACTAATTTTTATTGTAGTTAAGAATGATTGACCCCCACCCCCACCCCCTCTATTTATGGGTGTTTTCCACAATATACCTTCTTTAGAATAAAAAAATAACATGATAAGAACTTTATCATCACTCCAAGAAAACACTCCACTGGCTCATGGAATGCAGTTTAGCTGGCACAAGAGTGGCTCCATTACATTAATATGGATTCATAAAAATATAATCAGAGAGCTCAGAAGTGTTAGGACATAAAGAGAGTAAGAGGAAATTTACGCTTCCTTTCCAGCAAAAACCCTAAGCTTGCCCTCAAAATTCCTGTTAAATGATAATTAAAATATGACACGATTCCCTGAGCGTTGGGTTTGATCTCCAGCCCATTTATAAATGAGTTCATATCCCACACCTCAGTGAAATTAACGTGAAAATTTTAAAGGGTGATTATGTGATTGACACTGTATGAATCTTAGGCTTAAAGCTGAAACGGTGATGAGTTTATTTTCTTTGAAGGGGAAAGGGGTAACTTCGCAGGCTGTGCTTAACTAATAAAATTCCAACACCAAAAATAATAGAATCAACTTCTTGATTTATTTATATCAGTACGCTCTGTGAAATTGGAAAAAGTAAGTTGTGTTTTAAAGAAAAAATATCATCAAATATTAAACTCACTGCTGAATTTAGAACAAATATATCTGAGTGTAATTAATTAATTGTACATGCTGTAGTTTCAATCCCAAAACAGCTAGAGCCTGCACTGGTTATGTAAATACTGTCACTGATTTAGAAAATAGACAGTGGTTTATGGGAACTTGCAAACATAGACTCTTTCACTCAGCAAAAACAGAAATTGTACTATTCAAACAAGCTTCAAAATGAGTTAACTTTTCACTGGCTGTTATCCACATTGGTTGGTAAAGCTCCTTGTACGTGCTTGAAAGATTCATATGTCAGTGACAAGTAGCAAAACGACTTATAAATGACATTCCTCTGAAAATGTTCACACACATAGACCGGACTGAACGTAAGAGTTTAAGCAGCCAATACCCAAAGAAAAATCCTGGGGAACTATTGACTTCCCTCCATGGAAGTTAAATGTTAAAAAAAATGGGAGCTGGCTCCAGAAAATGAAAGTTCCCTTTTTCAGTTGCACAAGCGTAAGAGTTAAATAGAAATTTACATGGAGGAAGAGAAACATTTCTACCGAATTGTAAAATATGTTTAAAGAAAATGTGTTTCAGTGGCCCTCTTAGCACATGGCAGTGAGAATATTTAAAATGATGAAAAAAAAGGGAAAACACTTTCATCTGGATTTGGTGTGATTTTTGCCTTCATGCTTGAGAACAAATGTTCCACATTCATTCTTTTCTATTTTTAAGCAAAATGTTGTTTTCTTAGTTTGCCTAATCAAAATATATAAGTTTGCCACCGTCTTACCTCTTATAACTGTTGAAGGTGTAAAGCAGTTGGAATGTTTGATAGATTTTAGCAAATAAATCCTATTTCAAATGATCCAGTTTTGTAGTGAAATAAATTAGATCTCCTGAAGAGCTACTGACTGCTGGCTCGGGCTTAAAGCCACTGGACAAACACTTTAGTTCTTTCTCCAGACTTGAAAAAAAAAAAAAAAACTGTAGAAATAAAAAAGCACTGATACAAAGTGACTGAATTCATGAATATCCTGACCTTTTTTGTATAGAGTAGCAACATGATGAGTCTTCAGGCAATAGCGTACAACACAAACTATCACAAGATCCACTCGCACACACAAGCTCAAAGGCCACATCCATATTTACTGTATTGTGTTTAATCTGTAGCAAGGACAAGATTATTTACACATTCAAATGTGCAAGAAGAAGAGTTGCAGTTAACAAAAGGAACGAGGTCACACTGTGAAAGCCAAGACATCCATTTCTGTGTGTGTGTGTGTGTGTGTGTGTGTGTGTGTGTAAAATGAGTGTGTGGGTAAGATGAATCCCCCCCTGAGCCAACAGGGGCTCAACAAAAACAGGGTAAACATCAGTGGACTCAATCCCGGGTGAGTCGATATTGGGCTTGTCTGAGTCCAGGACTTTATTTTTCTCCTCTTCACTCTTGTTTTTGCTGGCTCTGACCTCAATTCCATAGGGGTCATTTGCTTATCAAAGGCAAGGACCGGAACTGGTGGGTCCTGAGTGTGCGTTCATTGTGAGCAAGGAAATTCAATTAGGTGGCACCCTACAGCGTGTGTGGCCGGGATTCATCAGTGGATATAGGAGGATTAGGGTTGGCTGGCCACATCACCATTTCAAGGAGGACAGTTCACAATGGCTGACGGGAGACATCTCTGATGAGCGCTTTTAAGGATGCACCGTCCGTGCACTCCGGCAGCCAGTTAAAAGCAAACTGAAAGTGTTCCATTTCCAACCCTGGATCTCCTTTGTACCAGATGGCATCAGTGTCATAACTGACACCGCAAGAGTCCAAAGATTCATT